GCGGGGCCAGGGAAGCAATGTCGATGGGCACGGATTTAAAGGGAGACAGCTCACTACTCAACCCGAGCCAAGTTTTGCAGCCCAAGGACCAGCTGGTTTTCCAGAGGAATCAGGAAGCCAGTTTTTAAAATGAAATCCCCTGATTATCAAAGTTTCAACAAGCCATAATTTTTCTTTTGTAGGGGTTTTTGTCTGTTGTGTTCTCTGCACTGCTATACTGCTAAACTATCCCCACCCTGGACAGTTTCAGTACGAGCAGGGGGGCTCGCTCAATAGTTTCTGTCTGAATGAATATGATGGAAAAACACACAGAAGGGAAGAAGGCTGGAGAAGAGTAAAGGTAGTTTTTTAAGGAGACAGAAAATACAATCAAGAAATGATTGTGAAATATCTTGATCACTTGCATGTCTTTCATAAAGTACAGATCAGGACACAGGGTGGCAATATACATTACACATATGAAGTGTCTGATTTCATAATCAGAAATTATGAAAGAATGAATGTGTCAGGCCATCTGGACAGGCAGCCCTGGGGCTCCAGGAACACACTTCATACTGGCCCACAACACCTGCCCTCGGTTCTGAAGGTCACTATTGTGTTTGGGGTGGGGGTGCCCCTAACCACCTTCACTTTCCTCCCAGAGCCCCGGGAAACTACAAACTGCAATAGGCCTATCAAGGCAGCTTCTGAAATGCCCTGTGCCCACACACTGGGAGGCAGTCCAGGAGGTGGTGTGGGCACCCAACTGTCCCTCAGGGCCCTGCCACTGCCACCAGGTAGAGTCATTCATTAAACACCCAACTTCTTAAGATCAAAAACGGTGGAGAAACCACAGAGGGCCCTTAGAGGTGGTAATTATCTTCTGGCACTAGGTTCTGCTGCTTCACTCACAACCCCATCCAACAGGAACAGAAATTGGGACTTGGGGCAAGGCCAGGTCAAAGAACCGTGGGGTGTGGAATCTACATCCACCTGCCTCCCGCCCCAAGCCCCAGCAACCATTGTAGAGCACACTGGTTTATGCTTCCCCACAGCCCTCCAGCTGCCAAGACTGGGAAGGCTCAAACGTGCTTTCAGGCAGCCTTTGGGCTCTCAGGGCCCAGCCCCTTCTTTTTGGCACCTTCCAGCCAGTTCCTTTTTTTTCTATCAAACCCCTTCTCCCACCCCATCATCAGTAACCTCCTAAAATAGAGGGCACTTCTCCCTTGGGTATCTTCCCACCCACCCTGGCAAGTGACTTTCTATCCCTACTTCCATTATCCTCCCTTCTTCACAAAGCTTTCTAGGTCAGAATCCCACTGGGCTGATAATCATCTCACGAGAGCTTTGCAACTTAATAAAAAGGCGTCTGCACAAATCTCTAGTGAAATTCCAATAACTACCTAGTAAAGCAATCAGGGCAGCTCCAAACTCTCCATTAAAAAAAAAAAAAAAAAGTCCCAAGGGGGTAAGAAAAGGGCGCCAAGGATTAAAAATACAGATTCCTAGCCCCGGAGATGCCAATAGAGATCTAATGGGTAAGTATCTGGGATAGGAACTGACACTCTTTAGAAGCACCCCAGTAGGTTTGGAGGGGTTCAGTGGATTATAACTTCTGGGGGATGTGTTGTGGGATTTGGGAGGGGAAGACTTGTGGTATCTACATTCTGGAATGTTTTTTGGGAAATCTGAGTTTTGAGGACCTGAGTTGTGAGTCCCGAAGGGCCTGGGTCCTGCTGGGACTGGGTGTTACGAGATCTGGGGCCTGGATTCTGGAGATGGTCTGGGTTCTGGATTATCTTGAATCTAGATTCTGGGGACCTGGAGTTTAGGTTTTAAAGAATCTGAGGGTCTTGATTTGGAGGATCCTTGGTTTTGAAAACGTATGCATAACCATCACCACAAATGTCCCTCACACCCCTACGCACATAGGTTCTGCCCCCATCCCGACTGCATAACTGACCCCACGGTAAAAACCTCCACTTTAGCGAGTCTGGGGAGGGAGGGGTGGAGGGCCCATGGCAAGAGGCGCGTTTAAAAGGTTAAGGACTGCCAGAATGTGGGACTTGTGGCAACCTCTTGGTGTAAGAAGACCCCTGAGACCCAGAGAGGCTGAGTAACTGGCTCAAGCTCACACAGCAAGCTCCGGCCCAGGCCGCAGGGTGGGCGCTCACCTCGATGAGAGAGTAGTTGATCTCCACGTCAGACTTGACGAAGCCCCCGCAGCCCACCACAATGTCCTCAGAGCCGCACGTCGGTAACACGTAGTTCATCATCAGGAACAGGATGGCAGCCACCACCACGGGCTCCGGCGGCCTACCGCCCCGGTACACCCGCATGGTCCAGCCCCCCGCTGCCCAATCCTCCGCAGACCTCAGGGTCCCACTCCCCAGACAGCACGCTGCCCGCTGCTTCCTCCTCTGGGCGTGGCTGACAGCCAAGCCACACCCCTCCACCGCCTCACGCGTGCGCACCCCCAGGCAAAATGACTCCCGCGCAAGCTCAACAAAAAGAGGCCATTTGTGCCCTCTGGAGGCCTGGAGGACTCCGCGCACCGTTTGACGCGCGTTAAACGTTGCAAGGCGCGTTTAAGTACAGGTAGAAATTCCAAAGAATTCTACTTTTGGAATGCAGTATCCATGAAACTAGAAAGGATGAGAGACTGTTGATCGAAGAATTCAATACTTTCCCCAAATCTTTCTGACCCACGTATCCCACAGATATATAATCTCAAAAACTACTTTAGGAATTTGTATAAATTGGGGCATGTTCCCATGATAAATGATCAATAAAGTTTTTTTTAAAGCAAAATATAGGTCATTTAAATTCAGCATAACATTCGAAAAGTATTTAAAATCTATTTTAATCCCAGCTCGAATAATATCTGCATAGAAACAAATTTTGAGGGATTTTCCCCATTAGCCAGACATGTATGCCATTTAATTTACTTTGAATTTCTCCTGTGAGATAAAGCCTGATTTGTCTGAAAAGAAGTTTAGATTCACTATGTTGTATTTTGTCCCAAGGTTGAATGTATACTATAACATAGACTGAATTTAACTTCAGGTCACTACATTGAAATACACAAAAATTTCTTTTTCTGGCCTGGCATTTGGAATTCTTCCATTTTGCTCCTAAAAAAATCTAGTGCTTTATTTTGATGGTTTTTATATTTCGGTTTTAAATGACAAGGCAAAAGAGAATTTCCCACTGAAATTTGCCATTGTGGCTAAGACTTAAGTGGTAAAAATTGTGAATCACAATGATCTTGCACTATACAGAGGTCAAAGCCCTCGGACTGACTACAACAGATCCACTGAGATGCTCTGTCATGAGAGCGTCTGATTTCAGTTTCTCAGGCTGAATTCTCACATGAAATACAGTGAAACTCTCAACTGTTTGATTATAGAGAGAAAATATTTAAATAATTGTTATATTGATTGAGGTTCGCTATTTATATAACTACAATTGAAATATATGACCTTTACCCTCCCTGACATGAATCCCTGGTCTGTCTTGGCAAATCACCAGGGATTGAAAGCCACTAATTAGGAAATGTTGGCCTATGGAACCATCTCATTTTACAGAGTGAGAAACAGGCCTGGGGAAGGAAAGGGACTTGTCTAGGGCTCTGCGTGCAGCCATGTGATATTCAGAGAGCTGGAAAGTAGATTTGGAGTCGCCCAAATTCTGTTTTTGGCTCACCAGCTGGTTTCCTCTATTTTTTTTTCCTGCTTTCCTGACAATTCGCCCTTGAATTTCCAACATTCCCTTCGAATTCATCTTCAAATATACAAAGAAATAAAGGACTAGGACTATGGCAATGCCAATGGGGAGGAGGTTGCAGGCAGAAGGCGCTCACACCTCCCCATAACTTCCAGCAGCCTCCACCAAAAACACCTCAAATAAACAGACACCATTTAAATGGAAACAGCAGATCTGCTGCACTCAGCTCCAAGATAAATCCTCGGGTTCTTTGTGTCCCTGCTCTTCCAAAAAGAAGTCCCAGGCAAGAGGATGGCTGAAGGGGAAACAAGAAGAGGGGAAATTAGGCCTGGGGAACCCACGTGGTTGAGGCTGTAGGAGGCAGAAGAAAGATGAGGGCAAGAGCCTGAGAAGCAACGAGGCAGCATGGAGAGAGCAGAGGGCTTCAGTTCTGCACCCAGACTGAGCATCCATGCTTGTCTGTCTGAAAAAGCTGAGTCTTTCCTTCCTGTCCTGAAAGGAACACATGCTCACTGCAGAAGGAAAGAGAATAGAAAAGGAAAAGATAAGAAGATTAGGACTCCCACAATACTGCTGTAGTGCATTTCTATCTTTTTATTGTGCATATATGTCACAAAGAGTCATTTCCAAAAAGAACTCATAGCTGAGGACACAACTTGCTTTAAGACCCAGGAGAAGAATGTAAATGACGTGACTTTCCCACTTTCTCCACCATATGCCTTTTTTTTTGGCAAAATTATAGCCTTTTTTGTACTATGACCTCTTTTTTCACTTAGCATTTAGCAACCATCCCTCCAAATTAACATTTTTGCAATGGCACTTTGAAGCACTGCTTAATAACCTCTGAATGAAATAATAATACTAATGCTAATAACTAACTTGCTGAGCATTTATCATGTGCCCTGCGCACTGTGCTAACCTCTTTACTAGTAGTCTTCTTAAAATCTTCCCCCCACCATAGAGGCAGACAATGTCCACCCCCACAGAGGAGAAGACTGCAGCTTAATCAGACAGCTCCGCCACCCACCCGCACTGTTGGACACTTAGCACATGCACACTTTTTGGGTTCTTTCATCAGGATAAGTTCCTGGAATCGCTGTTGCCCAGTGTTCAGGAAGTTCAGGGTGACAATTGCTGTGGGGGTGGAAGGTTATATGGAGATGCCACTGCACTTTCTGGAGCTGGGGTATCCCCTCCCCTGGAGCTCTTTCTGAGCCACGTTTCACCTCTTCTTGCTCCACCCCCGCTCGAGGCTGGACCTTGCCCGGGGCCTCGCAATTCAAAGCTGGAATCCTGGCCAGGCCTGCTGGGCTCCGCCTCTTCCCGGTCTAGGGGGCTGCCAGGGACTGACGGACAGACCTAAAGACAGACAGACAGATGGACAGCGCCCCAATGGCCACTCCAGGAGAGCCAAGCATGGGACCCGGAGTGAGTGTCCCCTGACTGCCCACTCCCCTTTTCCCACCTTGGTAGATCTCTCAGGAGATAACCACAAATTTCAGGCCAGATGAAGGAATGGCAGGGAACTCGATCCTTTTAACCAAGCTGGGCCCAGAAGAGCCCAGCCCCGTTAAAGGGGCCTCCAGACCTCCCGGCTATGGGAACTTTGACCCCTATTTACTTAAGGCTTTAGGGCCCCCATTTCTCTGATGTAGGCTCTTTGCAGAGGACTCTAGGGAGTGGAGTTCATGGGGTGGCAGTGAGGGTCACAAAATCCCAGGATTTCAGGGGTCAGGTAGGTAAGGCAAAAATAATAGTTGATGCCTATTTATTTTTAGGGGTTTTTTTATCCTCACCTGAGGACATGCTTATTGCTTTTAGAGAGAAGGGTTTCCTTCCTCTCTCCAAAGGGGGCGGGGGCGGGGAGAGAAACATCAATGCAATTGCTCAATCCATTGCCTTTCCTACTCACCCAGACCAGGAATCAAACCCACAAGCCTTCAGTTTACCGACCAAGGCTCCAACCAGCTGGGCCTCACCAGCCAGGGCAATAGCTGATGTTAAAATGAGGGCTTACTTTATGCCCAGCATCGTGCTATTACTGGTATTGATCCATTTAATACAGCTTTTAGAAGTTGAATCTCTTATCATCCCCCCTTTGCAGGGAAAGAAACTGAGGCACAGGGAGGTTGCAGTTTACAGAGCTGGTGAGTGGTGAAGTGGGAGGAGTAAATATTACCATTGGGAAGGGGTTGGGGGGCTATGAACACAATAGGGAGAGAACTGAAGAGGTCATGTTCTCTTTACTTCATACTCAGACTTCTTCTAGGGTTAGAGACAGGCCCGCAGAGGGGCTAAGGTAAGGATCACAAATCGACAACAAGGTCTGGGGTCATACAGGCCTACATGGAGTCAGCTCTGTCTCTTCCTACTTGTGTGAGCCCGAAGAAGGCTCTTCCCCTCTCAGTGCCTCAGTTTCTCAGTCTGTGAAATGGGAACAGTAACGCCTACTGCCTAGAGTTGTTGTAAGAATTAAGTGGCTGTGCCCAGAACTCATCAGGGAACCCAGGTCTCTTAGACTCCCGGACCCAACCACCTGTGTTCAAATCCCAGTACCACCACCTTCCGGCTGGGTAACATCAGCCAAGTTACTCAGCCTCTCTGAGCCTCAGCTTCCTCACCTGCAAAATCAGTGTGATAACTGCATCTACCTCCTAGGGCTGATGTTAGGATTAAAGGAGCTGAGAGTTATAAGGTATTCCAAAGAGTGCTTGGCAGGTTTTCATGTAAATGTTACGGGTCCAAAAAGTTGCCTGGCCCTGTAAACAGGTAAGTTAGGGGCCCCTGTGCTTTACCATCATAAGGGTCACCCTGGTGTTCCCTCAGGTCTGGAACCAGACGGAGCCTGAGCCCACCACCGACAGTGTGCTGAGCCTGTGCTTCCTGAAAACAGTAGGAGTCTGGGTGCCCCCCATGTACCTCTGGGTCCTCGGCCCCATCTACCTCCTCTACATCCACCGCCATGGCAAGGGCTACCTCCGCATGTCCTCCCTGTTCAAGACCAAAATGGTAGCTACTGCCTCAGAGCCTGGAAGCAGGCGATGGTTGGGCGGGGGGCAGGGAGGAGCAGGCTGGAGCCCAAAGTGGACATTCCTCCTATCAAGGAGCGCATGGGGTGGTAATGCAAAGGGAACTTGTTAACTAAACAGAGCAATGCTGCACAGCACACAGAGGTAAACTCAGGGGAACAAGGTCCACCCAAACAGATTGGTAATAATGAAGTCCACAAACAACCCAGACACTCATGCATTCCGGAGCAGCGTCTGACCACCAAGACCAGGCATTCGGCAAAGCATGGGGTGCGCAAGGTAACTTTAGGATAAACGCTTTACATTGTTAACAGTTATGCATTGATTTTTATGTTTCCTTGCTGTTTGTACTAAAGCACAGTTCTTAAAATTGTTAGGCATTTATTTTAGAGAGTTAGAAAAACATGGGCATTCGAAGTGGGGGCTGTTATGCTCAGCTGTGCCCTTCTCCGCCGGACTGCTGCAAGGATGCTCTTCAAGGCTCATTCATTCCCACACCACCTTGTTACCTTTTCTCCTGTGGCCAGCCATCTCCCTGTTGTTGACGCACTGTCCCGGAAAGGGCCCCGTAGCACATCCTGGAGGCCTTGGGGGTCCCACAGTCTCTGCCCCGACTACTGAGTTCCGCCACTGCAGCAGGAAAGCAGCAGCAGGCCACAGTCAACAAATAGGCATGACTGTGTTTCAGTGAAAAAAATTCATCAGCACTGAAATTTGAAGTTCATATAATTTTCACATGTCGCAACATATTTACTTCTTTCAGTTTTATTCAATGATTGGAAAATGTCAAAAACCATTCTTAGCTCACAAGCAAGACAAAAGCAGGCAGTGTGCCAAACCCATCCTGTGAGAGCCGCTGCTTCGAATACCTGAGGCACGCTCCCAGAGTGCCCGGTCCGGCCTTTTCTCCGCTCGCACGCACTCGCACTTGCTCGCTGTCTCTCATGCAGAAGAGACGCCGAAGCACTTTAGAGAGGGTCTAGAGACAAGCAGATTCCAACAGAGAGTTTCCCCTTGATCTAACAGTGGGGATGAAAGGAGACTTGAGGGGAGTGTACGTCCATTTCATTTCACTGTGCTCCTCTGTGCCTCAGCACCTGTCCCGGGCGCTGCTGGAGCACCGCCAGCATTTGGGAAAACACAGCCTTGGCTCGGGCCCCTGTGGTCATTACTACATGACAGTCACCAGTCAAGCTCGATCTGTAACACCCCTCCCAGCTTTTTCTTATGCATCTTCCACATTGGCACTGTTAAATTATGACACTGGTACGTGACAGCACCCCATCCAGAGTCACAGTGACATGGGGTCACTGTGCAGCTTGCCACCACCTCCGTTTTCACCCACCAGCCTTACCTAAACCTGTCTCCACAGGTGCTCGGGTTCACCCTCATAATCCTGTTCACCTCCAGTGTGTCTGTCACTCTTTGGAGAATCCAGCAGGGGAGGCCCCAGGCCCCGGAATTCCTCATTCACCCCACCGTGTGGCTTGCCACTACGGTAAGGACATCCCCAGGCTTGCTGGCTTGTTCCTGGCTATTGGTCTTCCTGCCGAGGTGGAGGGTGTGGGGCAGAGTGGGGGTCTCCTCTCCCCAACCCTCCCCCCGCCTTAAAGGGTGTGTCCTGACTCTCTGGTGCAGACCTTTGCAGTGTTCCTCATCCATGTGGAGAGGAAGAAAGGGGTCCAGGCGTCTGGGGTGCTATTTGGGTACTGGCTGCTCTGCTGTCTCTTGCCAGCCATCAGTGCCGCCCAGCAGGCCTCGCAAGAGGTAAGTGGGAGCCTGGGCCACCTGGGGAAACCAACATGGCAGCTTCAGGCCTCGGGTCCCATCCCCCTTCCTCCTTTTTCCACACATGACTTCTTCTCTACGCAGAGACACAAACACCACAGTTGCTTAAACTCTAGCAACTCACAAGCATACTCCCCCCACAGACATACCTATCATCCCACATGTCTTTTTCAACACAGATTCTCATTGTCTTACACACTCATGGCACACCCTTTACTTGCACACCAGACACACACTTTATGCATCACACAGCCACAGACTGAAACATCTCACATACACACACCTGCATACGTCCACTCACACTGTGCCACCCAGTTGTGGCTGTGCCTTCAAGTTCCCACACGACTCAGGCACAAACTTCCCACACCACCCACGTATTCACACAGCCCTCCCACACTGCCCGGCACAGTCACACTGGGCTCGCAAGCTCAGAGCCCCTGCATGAAATTCCACACTGGCCCCATACACAGAGGGCACAGGGAGGCAGGACAGGCAGCCACAGCAGACTGGTGGTTGGCAGTTTAATAAGCAAAGGAACTTACCTACAAGGCTGGACTTGGGCACTGCAAGACAAGATCTTCACACCCACCCGCCAGAATCTTAAATAGTTGATACAGTGGCCTTAGTGAGGATAAGTCACGTATACCGTCCAGATGGTCTCGCGACACCATGCCCTTTCAAGGCTGCGTCAGGGGAACAGGAGGAAAGTGAGGAGCCTCTGATTGCCCAGGTCCTGCCCGCAGATCAACCAGCAGTCATGTCCTCTCGATGAACTCCCCCAACACACACCTGCACACACTCCCCCTCACGCATGCAGGTTCCCCCTCATTCTCACCTGTTCTCTCCCTCACCAGTGCCCCCATATATCTGTATCTCCACACTCACTTTGTACATCCACCCATATTTCCGCTTCCTGATCTGGAGAGCAGCATTTCCACATTAGGGGGCATAATGGACCATTTTATCTGCAGAGAAAAAATATGTAACCTAGACCAGAGTTTCTCAACCTCAGCACTCTTGGCACAATTCCCTTTTGGGTGGGGAAGCTGCCCTGTGCATTGTAGGATGTTGAGCAGCATCCTCCACCCGCTAGGTGCCAGTGGCACTGTCCCCCCATTGTGGTAGCCCCAAATGTCTGCTGAGATTGTCAGATGTCCCCCGGGGGCAAAACTGCCCCCCCCCGTGAAAACCACTTGCCTAGAGGGAGCTCACCGAAGACCTCTTGAGCCAAATGGTTATTCCATCTTGCTCCTTTTTAAAAGAAGACAGAGAAACACCCTTCTGTCCTTAAGGACAGATTTTTACAAAGTAACATGTGTAACTAATGGGGAAATTCCACAGACCATCTGCTAATTAATTCATAAAGGGTGGGTTCCCACAGTTGACTTGTCACTCTGCCTGCCTAGACTCAAAGGGACTCCTGCCTTCTCTCCCACAGGGCTTCCAGAGCGACCCCTTCCGCCACCTGTCGACCTACCTGTGCCTGTGTCTGGTGGTGACCCAGTTTGTGCTGTCCTGCTTGGCTGATGGACCCCCCTTCTTCCCCAAAGAACCCCCACAGTCTGTAAGTCTCCGTGTCTCCCGCCCAGTGCCTCCCTTGTCCCTGTTCTACTTCCGGTCTCAGTCTCTCATGTGACTGAAGAGAGCTGACTACAGCACAGGCCTTTGCTTTTTTTATTCATTCCCTCATTCAGTAGAATGTGTGTTGCACGTCTATGCCATGGGTTGGCCAACGTTTTCTGTCCAGAGCAAGACGGAGATGCTGTCAGGCTCTGTGGGCCACAGGGCCTCTGTGGCAACTACTCCACTCTGCTGCTGCAGCACGGAAGTAGCCACAGACAGTGTGTCGACAAAAGGGCGTGAATGTGTTCCCATAAAACTTGATTTGCAGAGACAAGCAGTGGGCCAGATTTGGTCGCCAGGGCCGCAGTTTGCCAACCCCTGCTCTGTGCCCAGCTGGGTACCGAGGATCTGTACTGAAGAGGCAGATGTTGTGCCTCGTCATGCAGCTAATGCCCACGTCAGAGAACCAAACATTAATCGCATAATTACAGAGACACATGGAAAATGACAGCAGGGGCAAGTGCTCTGCAGGAGTACCTCATGCAGGTACTCTGAGAGTTTACGACAGGTAACACTGAACTAGTCTGTGAAATCCGGAAGGAATTCTCTAAAGAAGAGATGGTTGATCTGAGTTCATCTAAAAAGATGCTCAACTGCTTAAGTAATCAAGTTAAAACTATAATAGGGCCTTTTCTCTATGATAATGGCAGGAAAAAATAAAATCTGATAACCAGCCATGATGGCGAAGGTGTGGTGAATGGGCACTCTCAGGCCGTACTGGTGAAGGACATAGGCTGTGCAATTTTTCCAGAGCAGGTGGCAACATCTCAGGACAGGCCCCTCCCCACTTCCTCACCACATTCACCCAGAGGTACGGATCAGAATGCTGTCAGTGTCGTTCACGGTCCTTGCTTTGAGAACTGCCTGGGCTCAGTATGAACAACAGTTGTCCTTCCAGGAAACTGTTAGGTCTTGCCTTGTGGATGCTCTCAGTCGTGTGGCCCAATCCCTTTTTGCCTTGCCTGCTAGGAAGCACTGAGCCCATTCGTGTCTACCTCTGACTAGTAGACAGTGCACGCTGGTGTGCACTTTTAGTACTAAACTGATGGTCACTTCACCCCGTCTTCCTGTCCCTGGTTCCCCTTGCCACATGCTGGCCAGGGAATGTGAGACTGAGTTCTCCCTCTGCCCCATCTTTTGTCCTTACAGAATCCATGTCCTGAGGCTGGGGCCTCCTTTCCCTCCAAGGCCATGTTCTGGTGGGTTTCTGGGTAAGTAAGGTGGCTGCAAAGGGGCTGGGGTGGTGCCTCCGCCCACTTGCATTTGTTGCCCTGATTTGTCACCACCCTGTTCCCCACCGGGGTTCCACCCAAGCTTACCAAGGTCCATGGGCTTTCTCCATTCTGGCCTCAGTGTGTCCCTCTCAGTGCACCCGTCATACACACCCCGCTCCTACTCCCTCGTTGGAGTGACATCTGGGTTTGAATCCAATCCTGGCTCTGTCTCTTAGCCAGCCATATCACAAATATTGGGAGTCTTAATTTCCCACTCTGTAAAATGGGAACAACTCTACCTTCATTGAATGTGGAGTGCTTAGTGCTTATATAGAGCAGGTGCTCCATAAAAATCATCTCTTACTTGGTTTCATTCATTGCATTAACACTTAACAAGCACTTACTATGTGCTCAGCACCAAGGGTGAGAAGGTAAAGACCAAACCTTTATCCCCTGGAAGCTCCCAGGCTGGCAGAGAAGACAGATGTTTCTCCAGGGTCCGCATGCGGGCACTGAGGATGTCCCTACCCACTGCGCCCCCTCCTGACCACACTGTGGTCAGATTTCATAGTACCTACATTTGAATCCTAGCCCCACCACTTCCTAGCTGTGTGACCTTGGGAAGGCTCCTTAGCCTCTCTGTGCCTCAGTCTCTGAACCTGTAAAATAAGGATAATAACAGCATCTACCTCATAGGGTTGTGAGAATTAAATGAGATAAAGTTTGTGAAGTGCTTAGAGCAAGGTCTGGCCCATAATGAGTATTATGTAAAATAGCTACTAAATAAATGCAGAATAGCATGCTCTAGGGATATGGGATTGGTGGAAAGAGCATAGAAGTACTAGAAGAAAACAGACCTAGCCCTCTGTTTCCCACATGTAGTTCCTTCAAGCCTTTTTCCTTATTAGGGTATCATTCATACACAGCCTACTTAATATTTTTCTTTAAAGCAACTCAGTTTTTTTCTACTCTAACGGCCTTTTTAAAAAAGGAAACTTTCTATCACTGCCAAACTGGAAAAATCTATACAGCCAATTTCCATGTAGAACTCCAAACGTAATTTCAGTGAAAAAGCAAGCAATGTGAATAATTTCTGAATCAGAAGTATTGCTTGCCTGAGTTTGCTCTGTGTTAAGAAAGGGAACTTGAGCAGCACCAAACAAGACCTTCTCCTTGGTGTCATCAGAGAGATTAGAGAGACTTGAAAGGAAAATAACGCTCCTGCTACGGAAGTCTGCATTAATTACTGTCTTGAGGATGCGTGTTGGTTTGCATCCTGGCCCCGCCCCCAGAGGGCAGAGGGAGATGGGAGAGACAAGCTCCAGAACCGTAGGTGGCGGTTTTAAGGAGCAAGAGAAGTTGCCTGCAAGGCTCCTCTTGTGCTCCGCTGGACAAGGAGATCCCCACACCTGCTGGTCAGAATCTTAGCAGTTTTTGTGAGGCCTTACTGGGGTTTAGTCACGGTACCACCCAGATGGCCTCAACAACATCTCACTCTCTCAAGGCTCCTTGAAACAGCTCCCAGCGCAGGAAGAGCGGGCAGCGTGCACATTCCAAGGACAGGGGAGGGGCGAGGAGCCTCCAGTCGCCCAGGTCTAGCTCTTGGGTCAACCAGTGGTCACATCCTCTCAATGACCTCCTCCGACACGTGCCACCTGCAGTCAGTCGTCTCATACACCAGTCCCAGGTGTTGGGAAACACTGTCATTTTAAGGTGAGGAAATGGAGGTCCATGGATGAGAAGTGACGAGCTCAAATCGCAGAGCTGACAAGTAGCCTCCTGTGACAAATCTTGTGCCCTGTGCCAGGAGGTGAGGACAAAGACAAGTACTGTCTTTGTCCCCGTGGAGCTTAACATCCAATGGAGGAGAAAGACACTAAGTAAATAATCAGGCTGAAAAAGTAAATAATCATAATTGCAACAAGCATTATAAAGAAAAAAGCTCAAGGAATTATGGGATCTTATAATGGGGGGATCTACCTGGACAGGGCATCATCAGGTGGGCTTCTAAAGAAATCCTGCCTAAGCCAAGGTAAAGAACAAGTGAGAAGTGACCAGGTGAGAAGTGCAGGAAAAGAGTTCTGAGCAGAGTGGCATGCGTGTGCAAGGGTCCTGAGGCCAGGTGGCTGGAGCAGTGAGTGAGAAGGGGAGTGGGAACATTTAATGCTGAAAGAGTTCAGGTTTTCTCAACAGTGGTAGTTTTTATTTTAATTTTTAAAAAATCTCCCCCAGTGACATGTTTGCTTATTGATTCTTCTTTTAGAGACGGGGAAAGGGGAGGGAGGGAGAGAGAAGAAGGGGGAGGGAGAGAGACAGAAACAGAGAAACATCGATGTGTAAGAGAAACATTGACCAGCCACCTCCCACACATGCCCTGACCAGGGACCGAACCTGTAGCTTTTCACTCTGCTGGAAGACAGCCAACCCACTGAGCCACACCAGCCAGGGCTCCTCAGTGATAGTTTTTAATTCTGGACTCCTGAGTCCTAGGGAGGTTTATTTTCCCTTCTACCCAGGACATCCCTTGGTTAAATCACTCAATCTGTCTGAGCCTGTGCTTCCTCATCTGTAAAATGGGTCAGTAGTAATCTATCATATAGGCTCATGTGAGAATTAAATGAGATAACCTTTGTAGACTGAAAAGTGCCCGGCAAATATTAGGTGCAGTTAATGGCTTTCATTTTACCGAGGGGCCGGCAGAGGTGCCGAGAGGTAAAGCAACTTACCCAGGGTCACACAGCTACCAGACCAGGACTTTCTTAAAGGGGCAGAAGGCATAAGGAGCTTGCCCTGGTGACCCTCTTTTACAGGCTGGTCTGGAGGGGCTACAAGAGGCCACTGGGACCAAAAGACCTGTGGTCACTTGGGAGAGAGAACTCCTCAGAAGAACTTGTTTCCCAGCTGGAAAGGGCATGGACAAGGAACCGCAGTGCAGCCCAGAGGTGAGTGTGTGGAAGTGGAGAGAGAGCTCAGCCACGCGCCCAAATACAACCCCCAACCCTACCCTGGGCTCCACCTCCACAGCCCCCTTCTTGCCGCTGATCTCACTGAGCGTTACCTGGTCAGGCTCAAGGCACATTTCCTCCCAGAGTGCTTTGCAGGTTTCCAAAGGAGATGGACAAAGTGGCAGCTCCACCAGACCCTCAGGAGGAAGCTCGAGTGGTGAAATGGCAGGCAGGAAACAGAAGGGATATTTTAAGGTGGGGAGTGCAGAGTTTGGTGGTGGGTCATAAATGCAGGCAACTATTCACTTATTATGTCACCCGAGTGATTAGTCTCCTGGGCCTTGGTTTTCTTACTTGTTCAATGGGCATGTCATTAGCCCCTAACTCATAACTTATGGGAGATGATAAGAAAATGATTTTAGAAAAGAACTTAGCGAATTCCTCGAAAATGGCAAAAGCTCGAGCAAAACCAGTTACCCAGAGGACTTCAAGCTCTTTCTAGTCCTGTCCACTCTGCCTCCCTCTTGCCCTCTGTGGTACTCCTGGGAACTTCTGTGGGGCCCTTGCAGTCTGAAGAGCCAGTTTGAGAACCTTTGTTCTAGAGAAATGAGCAGACAACATTAATTAAACCTGGAGTCAAATGCAGACTTGCCATCAAGTAGTTGATGATTTTGGACAAGTCACTTGATCTCACTGGACCTTAGTGTCTCAGGGGACAGATGAAAGTAACTTAGCTCTGTGGGAAGAGTTAAGAGGTCCCCCTGCATACTCTAGGATTTTGTAGTGGTGGCTGCAGATGGCTGAATCCCACAAATTAGCAGAAGTGAGAGACAGACAGAGTGAGAGTCTATTGGCTCACATAGTTGAGTCTGGCTGGATCCAAGGACTCACATGATGCCCAAATTTTTTCCCTCCATCTCTGAGCTCAGCTGCTATCTGTGTATTACCTGTATGCCATAAAGCCATTGCTCCTAGCTCCTTATAGAAAATCCCAAGGAAAATTTCTGATTGGTTACCTCAAGTCATGTGCCTCTCAGGGGCCACTCCCACAGGCAGAGGCCAGGCCCCATGATTGGTTCCTTCAGAGTCACACAGAGAGGAGAGGGTAGAGGAGGGGCTACACCCCAGACAAGGGGTGTTGCTCCAAAAGGGGTAATATAAGCAAATCAAAACAGCAGCCCTCTCTCACCCAGACATATCTTGTTGAGCTTCCCCTCCACTTTTAAATGACTTTTGAGTGGCAGAAACCACTCAGAAAAGCCCTGGAGGTCTCACCCACTCTCTTCCAGCACTGGCTTCCCCTGCCGGCATGAGAACATTGGAGCTAGTGGATAGAAACATACTTTTCAGAGAAGACTGAGGATCCATAAGCAGTGGACAGAAAAGAAGGAGGAAGGCATGGTTACACAAAGGTCCAGCTCAGTCGTTTTCTGAGATGACTGATTATTCACACAGGGAACTTTGCTTTTGTTTCTGAAATATCTTTATTTTGCATCTTTGGAGGAAGGGAGAGGATGTCCTCCTGAGAGGTCAGGTTCCCAAGGTGTGCTTGGCCCACATGGTATAATGTTCTTCTTTTATGGGATTTTTTGTTTTGTTTTTGTTTTTAATAAGTTGCCAACATTTAAAACTTGGAGATATCACTTAAAAATCTGGAATTCTGATTTCTCTTAATGTAGACGGTAATGCTGGGTCACAGCCTCCCACAGGGCAATGGGAGAGTGGACCTGGGTGGCAGCTGCCCCGTTGGACAGGGCAGATGCTTGTCAGTTTGCCACAGCCTCCACCACTCCCCTTTGTATCCCCCAAGTTACACCTGGCCACTCACTCACACCCCTGCCTCACCCTGTGGTCACAGGCAAGTCCTGCACAAGTGGCCTGTGGTCCAGAGAAGAAAGATTAGACACCAGTCTGGAGACTTGTCTTGAAGAAAAGTGAAACCCACTGGAAAGAAGAACATTTGCTGCAGACCCTGCAGGCTGACCTCAGTGACTCAGAATTCTGGGGCAGGCAGCTAGAACAGAACTGAGTAACAGAAGCCCTCACAGCCACCTCTTCGCCCACCCCATTTGACAGATGGAAACACTAAGGCTTCAAGGGGAGGGGATAGAGCCGGCATTTGAACCTCAGTCTTCTGGCTCCAAGGCCAGCTTCAGTCCACCAAACTAAGTTGCTTGCTTGCTTGCTTCCTTCCTTCCACAAATCTTCATAACACTATGCGCCAGGCACTCCTGTTAGGCCCTTTGCCCACATCACACCTATTTCCCCCATCGTTTGGCAAGTATTAACTGAGCACCTACCACCTTCAGGAGCTCAACTAGGTACTGGGGGAAATATAAGCAAAAGGTCTCCCCACTGGAGTTCTAACAAGGTAAGTAAAGGAGAGAGCTGGAGTGCGTGAGCATGGCTGTGAAGGCAAATAATTCAGCGATGGGGTCCGATGGGGAAGGGTGGTCAGGGATGGCCTCTGCAAGGAGGTGACATCCTTTTGGTTTTCCAGACCCAAATACCAAAATGTTTGTGAGCAGCAGGCCATGCACGGCTCAGTGACAAAGAGCAAACCACAGCCCTTTGAGATGCCAAACCAAACAACAAGCCAGGCCAGGGATGAGGGGCAAGACCTTTGACCTTGTCAGTGAGAGTCTGGCCACCCAGACTCGACAAGGTTTTTTTCTTTTCCTTTTTTTTTCTTTCTGCTGGGTGGCAAAGGCCACAAAGAGGCACTGTGTGAACCATGAATGGAGAGCTGGGCTCAAATCTCTGCTCTGTCCTTGCTGTGTGACCTTGGGCAGTATCACCATCTCTCTGAGCCTCAGTCTTGTTCTAAGTAAAGTGGGGGGCCTGGGACACCTGCCAAGCAGGCAGGTTGAGAGGAGTCAGTGCAATCGTGCACGTGAAGGGCTGACCCCCGCGTCTGGTCCCAGTCCCAGCTCTGTGGCTGGGCATTGACATTAATGATAACCCCACCGGCTGTCAGAACTGGACAGGACGCAGAGTGAAACCGGCTCCATCCTGTCACACTCCAGGACACAGAGGCACAGAGAGGGGCAGACTGCCCCAGGCCACACAACCCGGCTGTCAGCAGCTGCATCACTGCCAGCCCCTCCCTACGGTGGAGGACCGGCTCTCTCAGGAGGGGTCCTCTGGCTTCTCTCTCCTCATCCTCCCTCACCCTGGCTCTCCCTGTGGCCCCTGGTTATGGCCAGGGTCCAGGGCTAGGGCAACAGCAGGATTCTAAACCCATTCAAACCAGTTCTAAACATCATGAGGGCCGGCCAGGTGTGGAAGAAGAGAAGGCTGCATACTGGATCAAAAGTGCCTGAAGGCAGAGTTGGGTTGACTTCTCAGCTGCATGTCCTTGGACAGGTTCACCCTCTGTGCCTTAGTTTCCTCATCTGTAAAATGGGGCAATACCCGGCTCACCAGGTTCTTAGGAGGACTAAGGAGTGCCTGGTACATAGTAGGTGCTGAAAGCATGTACATACCCATCACCATTCAGGAGGGCTTAGAGCTGCCCTCCTGCCCGCCCCACCCCTACCCTGCCTAATTGTCTCATAAGTGGGTGATCTGAGGGATGAGGAAGAAGAGGTGAAGAGGTGAGGCTGGATGCATGGTCATCCACATCCCCCCCCCCTGGTTGAGAATGAACCCTGAAATTCTGGGTGCTGCTGCTGACAGCTCAGCTGCCACCTCTGAGAATATTAATAAGATTGTCTTAGTCCATTGGGAGCTATAACAAAGTTTCATAGACGTAGTGGTTTATAAGCAACAAATCTATCTCCCACAGTTCTGGAGGCTGGAAGGTCCGAGAGCAAGGCACCAGCAGACTTGTTGTCTGGTGAGAGCCCGCTTCCTGGTTCATAGACACTGTCCCCTCTCTGGGACCTTACGTGGCAGAAGGGGTAAGGTGGCTTTTACAAGGTCAATCCCATTTAGGAGTAGTCCGCCCTCACGACTTCGTCTTCTCTTAAAAGGCCACACCCCCAAATACCATCCCGTTGGGGGCTAGGATTTCATCTTATAAATTTGGGGAAACGCGTTCAGTCTATTGCAAGGACCGAGAGCCAGTGTCTCTTCTCCCCTAAGGCACACGGAGAGGGCAGCGTTTGAAGGGAAAGGAAGCCTCCACCACGGCCAGGACGCCTCTGAGACCGAGGCCTTCCTACAGCAGAAAGGGAGCAGGAGGGGCCCGCTGCTGAGGGCCATCTGGCAGGTCTCCCGCTCCACCTTCCTCCTGGGGACCCTCAGCCTTGTCATCAGTGACGTCTTCAGGTTCACTGTCCCCAAGCTTCTCAGGTGGGTTCGAGCCTTGGGTGCCTTGCTAAGATCAGTGGTCCCACATTGGTGCCAGCAGGGGCCCTGCTCTCCTGCCCCTGCCTCAACCTCTGGTGCTCAGGGAACAGGACAGTGGGAGAAAGGACAGTGACAAGGACAGAAATAAATGAGAAAGCGACTGACCTGGGGGAAGAGAAAATGGGTGACCTCTACCCTGACTGTATCAGTTAGTTAAGAAAACACCCCCAAAAGGAGGGGCTTTACACCACTAATTTACTCATGAGAATGTGGGTCAGCAGTTCGGTTTGTGAGCATGCGCACCAAGTGTCTCCTGTCTGTCCAAACTTCCTCTGTAAGAACACCGGTCACATTGGATTAAGGCCCACCCACACAGCCTCATTTTAACTCTCTGCCTCTTGAAAGACCTCATCTCCAAATGCAGCTGCATTCTGAGGTGCTGGGAGTTCAGACTTTAACCTGAGACTTTTGTGGGGTACAACTCAGCCCATAACAGGAGGAAATAAGAACGTCACCTCTTGACCAGAGCTGCTGCAGGTCACTTTGAAAATGAGCACGGACAGTGGGGAAAATAATTATGGTCATTTTGGGGGGGAAAATCTGCTACGCCAGCTGGCCCTCCAGACCGGGACAGGTTTGGGCAAGGGCCACACCATGGGCACCTTCTCTCATGAGCTGTACCTTCCCCCTTCCTCTTCCACAAGCCTTTTTCTGGAGTTTATCGGGGATCCCGCGGCTCCGGCCTGGAAGGGCCACCTGATCGCGGTGCTGATGTTCATCGCCGCCTGCCTGCAGACGCTGTTCGAGCAGCAGCACATGTACAGACTCAAGGTGCTGCAGATAAGGCTGCGAGCGGCCATCACCGGCCTGGTGTACCGGAAGGTGAGCCCCGGGGACAGGGGTGGGCTTTTCCCTTCTCTCCGTCCCGTCCCGGTTCACATGCAGGTGCTCTGGCCAGGGAGCGTCACCTCACTGAACTGTTCGTGTAATCTGCGCCTGAAAACACTCTCACTCATTAATTCACTAACAGTTGCTTATGTTCTTGGTCATTTCTGTGCAGCCCTGTGTGCTCTGACCCTAGGGCCTCTCTGACCCCATCACATCACACACCTCGTTCTCTCTTGCTCACCCGCGCCCACCCTAAACACATAGAGCGCCCCTTACCTCAGGACCCATGCGCATGCTGTTCCCACAGCCCTGCACGTGGTCGGCTCCCACGCACCCCCATGAGGAGAAAGAACTAACCTTTGGGCTGTGCAGAAACCAGATAAAAGTGGGACTGTCACCTACATTAGCAGGCTACACTGCTCGTGGTAAAAATGACCCCTGACCCACTGGGAAACTGCCTCTGGACTGGAAGTTCTGTCAGGGAACTGGGAATACCTAGTGGAAGCCGGAGCTTTGGGCTTCTCTCTGTGTCGGGACTCTTACTCGCTTGGGGAGCCCCGGAAGGGAAACCCATGGGACTGTTGCCATTGGAGACATGGGCTCCATTGGGTCTGGAGCATCTAAGCCAGGGTGGCTCTGTCCCACGTGAGTCTCCTGTCACACCTGAGCTGTCACCTGGTGAAGGAGGGGGGCAGAGGGAGCAGCTCCTCGGTGGCCTCGGGGATGGCTCCCTTCGCTGCCCCACCTGCCTGCTGTGTCCCAGGCCCCTGTCCCCTGAGCACACTGGAGCTTTGTCTGTGAGCCCTGCCCCGTCCTGTGAGTCCACCTGTTGAGTTGAGGCTGATTGGACGATGGCCTGAGGGCATCGCTCGTCCCACTCCCACCCTTAGAGAAGCCTCCTCATCTCCTGATGAGCTCAGACTCCTCACTGTCCTCTCTGGGCTGCTTCTCTATGAACCGTCTTCTTATTTTCCACAGCTTGTGTTTTGACATCTGGGGCTTTACTGACCCAGGAGGGAGGGACCGTGCCTCCCTGGCTAGCCAGTTCCTAGAGACAGTAAATGACTCACCTGAGAGCGTACCTTTCATATGCAAACCAACCAATCCAGAGCCCACCCCTCACCCCCACCCCCCATGTATACGGTTCTCACATTCTGGTCCACTACCCACACCACCCTGCCCTAATCATTCCAGGGCCAGACAACCAGAGACAGCTCCCATGCCCAAGAGCCAGCTGGAATTATTGAAAGAAGCCAACCTAATCCTGCCCAGCCGGCCTTCCTGTGAAGACCACAATACAAGCTTTTGCTCCCCGTTTCCCGAGCCTCCCTCTGCCCAACACTGGTGTGTGCCTGACCGGCCCCTCTTGGCAGGGAGTGCCCTCCCCTGTTGAGATTTATGAGTATAAAAACTCTCCTGTCAATCATAGCCATCTCCTGATCTGTGGGCCTTGCCTTATCTGAATAATAAACCCCATATTTTAAATCACTTCTTCATGGCACTCATCATAACTGCCAGTAAAGAACGAGCTATGTAAGTCTTCATTTAATTTTGCCCCTCCCCCCAAACCCCACTCCCCGGAGAGCAAGCCCCCTGCCTCTGTGTCCACAGCTGCACTCTTGGTTCTCAGCTCAGGTGAGGCACAGAGAGTCAGAGATTTCGTGGAGAATTCCCACACTCATTTAGTCTGGGCTTCCTCCTTCACCCCCTCACTGTTTTCCTCTCACACTCAGCAGAGGCAGGATTGCAAGTCAAACTTAGCATTCAACTGGCTGGAAGGGGTCCCCCGTGGCCTGAGGGTTAGGGCAGACCTGGGGCTGCCAGAGAATCAGGTTGGTGCTTGAGAGACTCATCAAATGCCTGCAGTGGCCCCCTGACACTCTGTTGGGCCTGGGGCATGCCTCAGGCGTCCTCAGTTCCAGTCCTGCACCAGTCATTTGTTGGGTTGGCCAAAATGTCTTTTTAGTGTTTTCCATAAAATAACAGACATATTTTTCATTTTCACCATGTAATTTTATCGATTTGGATATTTGGAGTATGTCAGCTATCTCCTGCTATTGGCTTCTCATGGGTAGAGGCCAGGGGTGCTGCTAACCATCTTCCAATGCATTAGACAGCCCCATGGCAAAGAGTTTTTTGGCAAAAATGCCAATAATACCAAGAAACTCTGCAAATCACTTCTGACACATTCAATCAGTCACAGCACCTTCTGCATACACTATATAAATCTTCTTTTGCATTTTAGTTGCATTTTTACCTTTCTTGAAGTAATAAAGCATAACATGCCAAAAATGTTATATATCTTCTTCCATCTTCAATATTAAAACAGCTGCACAAAAATTCACCAATTTTGATGTTTTTTAAAATGAACGCTGATATGACAGCTGTCACAATACATTCTAACAAAATCGTTTTGACTGAGTCAAAGACAACTAAGCACTGCTAGAGCCATCGTACAGAAAAAACTAAACGAACTTTTTTGGTCAGCCCAGTACAAGCCCTCTGTGTCTCAGTTTCCTTAGCTGTAAAGTGGGTTAGTAATTCTGCAGCTGACTGATTCTAGTCTCACTTTTTTTTAGCACTTCTGAAATCAAGATACCTTCTGTCTTAATAGGCATTGATTTTTTTCCTTTAATGATTCGAAAATACATGGTCTTACGGCTTGATCTTAAATCAAGTGAAATACGGCAGAGCCTGGTCCATGCAGCAGTGTGGTGCGCTCATCACAGAAAACGATGACACCATTTATCAGACACAGTGCCTATGACACAGCTCTCGGTACACGGCCACCACTGTCGTCACAAATCCAAGGTTTTCACATATTATGTGATTGGCTATTATGACCCCAATGCTTAGGGATTTCAGAGTATTTTCATCTTTGTCATCTCCCTGGATTCTCACAAAGGCCCCGGGATTTTGGCTGAGGGGGTTTTCATCAGCCCACTTTCAGGACGCGTGGGGCTCGGGTAGTAAAGAAGCCGCCTCACCCCGCCAGGACAGTGCGGCTGCGCTCTCGCTCCCTCCGCGCCCTGAGCCTCCCTGCCCCCCCACCCCAGTCGCCTGGATCCTCCCCTCAGGGTCTCGTTCCTCCTGTTCTGCCCAGGTCCTGGCTCTGTCCAGCGGCTCCAAAAAGACCACCGCCGTTGGGGACGTGGTCAACCTGGTGTCTGTGGATGTGCCGAGGCTGACCGAGAACATCCTCAACCTCAATGGGCTGTGGCTGCCGCTCGTGTGGATCGTCGTCTGCTTTGTGTATCTGTGGCAGGTGTGCAGGGCAGAGGGCGCTGGGATTTGAGCTGAATCCTAACCCTTCCCCTCCTTCTTGTCCTCTTCTTCCCTTACGCCTTTCTCCATCTGCACACTGGGGCCTGGTGTAGTGGGCAGAGTCTGAGACAAGGATGGCCTTCACTTGACCTTGGGCAGTATGCTCTTTCTCTCTGGGTCCCGGTTTCTTCGTCTGCAAAATGGGGATGATAATGACGACAATGACGCCTTGGGTACGCTCTCGGGGTACCAAGGAGACAGATTAAGCCTGTAACACTGGGGCCCCAGCACCGTGGACAAAAAAAGACAAAACATCTCAGGGGAAGGAACTGGCTACTTAGTGTTCGAAAAGCATAAAGTGGCCGTGTGGCAGAAAACAAAAGCCAAACCCTTTTCTTCTGATTTCCCTTCATCTAGTTTATGGCACAGGACCTTTTTTAAAATTTAAATCACAGACTTTGGAGTGGGACTCCCTGGGCTCACACCCTGCTTTCACTACTTGCTAGCTCTAAAGCCTTGCCCAGGTAAGTCAGCTGGTCTGTGCTGCTTCCTCATCTCTAAGGTGAGACCTGTAAGTGACAACAGCACCCCGCCCTTGATGTTGAGGTGATGAGCTGACACCTGTGCCCACTGAGAACCGCATCTGGCACACAGCGGTATTCTGTATGCATTTGCTCAGATTAGTAATTATGCACCAAGGTGGGGCAGGTCATCGGAAGATCTTACTCCAGCTCTGCTCCAGGTGCAGGTGCAAGGTTCACGCATTTTTCTGTAAAGGACCAAATCGTAAATATTTCAGACGTTGGGGCCATGTGCTCTCTCTCAAAACTGTTCAACTCTGCCCTTCTAATGCGAAAGCAGCCACACACAATACTAAGCAGGTAGACAAGGTGGCGTGTTCCACTGGAACAATTTCTGAATACTGAAATTTGCATTTTGCATAATTTTCATGTGCCCCCACGTAGTCTTCTTTTTTAAATTTTCTTCAACCATTTAAAAATGTAAAAACCACTAAAATTTTTTGTACAGCTTCCGGGCTGTACCAAAGCCAGTGGGGGGATCTGGCCTGTGTGCCGGAGTTGGCAGGCCCCTGGGCGGAGGCGTCAGTGGCGTGCTGGTTGCAAGTGAGTGCAGGACACTCCCCAGTGCCTCCTGCTGCGAGGTGGCACCATCACTGGCCCTCTGCTGCTGCTGCTTCCACACGCCTGCAGGGCTGGGGAAGAGAAAATTTCTGACTCTGTACTTTGTACTCTGTACTTTGTATGCCAGGGCCTGGCATACAGTGGGTGCCCAGCAAGTACACATAGGGCACTCCAAGCAGGTGCTGACATGAAGTACATAGATGTCAGCTCTTGTGATGGGGCTGGGGGGAGGACGGACATGGGAAAATGCAGGGCAATTGCATGGGCGGAGCCACGACCCTAGTGAATCAGCAGGCAGCACACCATCACTTTCCTGGCCTCTGGTTCCTACCATCAGAGGATCACCCTGAGATCCTGCTTAGGGGGAGGTGGGCATCGAGATTGCAGATTGCTGTAGTTAGAAGCCTATACTTTCAGGGATCATTTCTATATTTCGTTACTAGAGAAGTTCTCTGAACCTATAGAGCAACCAGCAACAAGAAAAATAAAGTACCTAGGAATAAACCTAACCAAGGAAGTAAAAGACCTGAACTCAGAGACTGACACAATACTAAAGAAAGAAATTAAGGAAGATGCAAATAAATGGAAGCATATACAGTGTTCATCGATTGGAAGAACTAACATTATCAAAATGTCCATTCTACCCAAAGCAATTTATAGATTCAATGGAACCCATATTAAAATACCAGTGATATTACTATAGTTGGCATTTGTAGCATTTTACCTTTTATCAACATATCTTTGAGAATCTTCCGAACCTTGGCTGTGACTGCTGGTGTTTGTCTTCTGAGCACTTCTCTATTTTACCACTGGGTGGCACTATTGCTATATAAATGAAACAAAATGGCTTGCTTGGTAGTCCAGGAAATTTCAAAAATTGTTTTTGGCTAATAGAAGAAACCAAAGCCTACAGACTAGAAAGAGGGTGAAACTTCTAGAGCATGGGCCCAAATGACCTCAGTAGGAATCTCAAAGTCACAGTTACTTAAAAATCATTTATTCTACCCCTTACCTCCACATTTTCTTTTTTTTAAGGTTCTATTTATTTATTTTTAGGGAGAGGGTAAGGGAGGGAGAGAAAGAGAGAGGAAAACATCAATGTGCAAGAGATACATCGACTGATTGCCTCTCACATGCCTTCAACTGGGGACCTGGCCTGCAACCCAGCACGTGCCCTGACTGGGAACCAAACCAGCGACATGACATTTTGGCTCGCAGGCCAAAGCTCAATCCACTGAGCCACACCAGCCAGAGCCACGTTTTCCATATAAAGAAAGCAGAGCTGAGAGGGAACACAACTGTCCCAAAGTCACAAAGCTGGGGGGTCTGCCAGAGAACACAGGGTGTCCTGTTAAATATAAATTTTAGGTACATTTAATAATCCCTTAGTATAAGTATGTCCCAGTGTTCCATGGGACTCACTTACACTGAAAACTTATTCACTGTTTGTTTATCTGAAATCCTAACTGAACAGGGCAGGTGTCCTGTGTGTTTATCTGCTGAACCTGGCACCCTTGTCCGGGGTGAAAGGAAGACTAGGTGACGATGGGATGTATGACGTGAGCACTTGCCTTGGGCTGTGGGAACAGCTCTATTTCCATTTAACAGCTGAGGAAACTGAAGTTTCATTTCCTTGGGGAAGTCACTTGCCCAAGGCCACCTGAGTGTCAGAATCAGGATTTGAACCCAGGTCCTGAGTCCAGCGACCTGACCTCATCACGCTGACCAGGCATGCCTCCCTTGTTCCACCCATCCAGATGCACATCATGTGCTGAGTACATGCCCCATGTTGTGTGCAGTGTCGTTTCCACTCCCCAGTGTGCAAAGCGTCTCCTTCTAGTTGTCTGCCCCGTGAGTCTTGGTCTCCATGACCCAGTAGCTGCCTTCACCAGACTCCCGACACCTCCCCACCTTCGGAACGAAGTCTGAACCCCTGACCCCACCCCAGCCCCTGGTCCTGACCCACTCCCCCAGTGTCTCTGGGTATCTCGTGACACCCTCCCCTCTGTCTCCAGCTCCTAGGACCCTCTGCCCTCACGGCCATCGCTGTCTTCCTGAGCCTCCTCCCTCTGAATTTCTTCATCACCAAGAAGAGGAACCACCATCAGGTTTGGCATCTGCCCGAAGGGACACCCAGGGGTATGGGGGGAGAGCCCGCAGCAGGGAGGTGGGAGGGAGGTGGTGTGGGCCTGGCTTGGCCGGCAGTGGTGTGAGCCTTTTCAGTCGCTCGGGCTGGTGGTCCCACCGCGCCCTCTCAGTGGATGGCTGTTCCGTCCCTCCAGCATTCAGGCCACAGAGTAACTAGGGGTCGGTGTTGATGCCTCTAATCTTCTCACATCTCGTGAGTCAGCTGATCTGATTGGCCTCACCTTCAAATTGTTTCCAGAGTGTTTCTCCTTCTTACCGCAGGCCCTCCAAAGCCCCCTGTCTCTCATCTGGGTCCCTGCAGGGACCCCCGGCTGAGTCCCCACTCCTGTCCTCGCCCCCACCCAGCCCCCTCCACACAGCAGCCAGAGGGCACCTGGGAAAACAAAATGGTGCCTCTGCCCCATTTCCCTCGGAGCCAAAGCCGAGACTCCCTGGTGGCCACCTGCCCACTGTGACGTGGCCACCTCACCGCCTACTCCCTGCTCATTCCCTGCCCCCAGCTGCCCTTCCTGGGGTCCTCACACCTGCCCAGCTCCCACCACAGGGCCTTTGTGCCAGCTGTTCCCTTGGCCTGGATCACCCTCACCCCCCAGACGTCAGGTCTCCCTCCCCACCTTCCCGAAGTCTGGGCAGCCTCTCCTGTCCTCCCCGCTCTGGTCACAGCCAGCATGCCCTCCCTCCACCCCCTGCAGATGGGCTGCTTGGCCTGTGCTGCTTCGTTCACAGTGCTTTCACCTTCTAACCTGACACAGGACACACCTAGTTCTTCCACATATTGTCTCTCTGTTGTTAGAATGCGAGGGTCCCAGGAGCAGGAAATGCTTGTTGATGCAGCCTCAGCTTTTGGAATAGTGCTCGTCCTGGATAGTGTTCAGTAAACACTTGGGAGGAAGGAAGGGAGGGAGGGAGGGAGGGGCCGTATAGACTATTTCTCCAGCCTCTAGTCTGGCCTCTAAGATGCTGTCTGCACAGCCGCCCCTCTGACGATGCCCCTCAAGGGTGCAACAGAGGGGCCCCAACTCCTCTGCCTGACCTCCATGTCCCACCATGATCCAGGCCACTTCTGTTTCTCAGTCTGTTTCTACACACCCTCCTCTGACCACACTGGATGTCCTCTGAGCCATGCTGTCCCCCCATCTTCCCCCGCCCACCCCACCCCATTCTCCGTGTGCTCGGCACCTCCACATCACTTCTGACCTAGCTAATGTGTCACCCCCACCTCCAGGGAGCCTTCCTGATGGCACCACGTTCAGCTGGGTCAGGGCCTTGCCTCTGTTTCCAGTGCATTGGGGGCCTCCCTTTGTTATGGTGCATTATCTCCTGTGATGAAGACAGAGGAGATGACAGTGGCTGAGCCAGGACTGTGGGGATGAAGATGCCAAGAGGCAGACAGCCTGGGGCCTGGCTTGAATCAGCGGGATTTGCTGAAGGGGTGGTGTGCCGGCTGCAGGGAAGGAGAACTCTAGATTTGACCCTGTCTTCTCCCTTCTCTTCCCTCTGGTCCCAGGAAGAGCAGATGAGGCAGAAGGACTCTCGGGCACGGCTTACCAGCTGCATCTTCCGAAACATGAGGACGGTCAAGTGCCACGGCTGGGAGGGGGCCTTTCTGGACAGAGTCCTGCGCATCCGGGGCCAGGAGCTGGGTGCCCTGAGGACCTCTGGACTTCTCTTCTCTGTGTCTCTGGTGTCCTTCCAAGTGTCCACGTTTCTGGTGACGTCACCTTGGTCTCCCTGCAGAGTGTGGACTTGGGGAGGGAGTGCTGCGGGGGTGGGGGGGATGAGGTTGGTGGAGCCTCTCTTTGCAGACCACCCTGTCCACCCAAACGCACCTCCCTGCATCCTGCTCTCACTCAGGGTCCCTGCGCCCTGCTGGTTAGCAAAGGGGCCAGATCTTCCCTCTGAGGGCAGCAGTGCCTGGTGAGGTCTGTCATTCTCCTTGTGAAAGGCCAGGCTTGGGGAACTGCTGCTTCCACCACCACAGAGTTGGGACAGGTGCAAGGAGCTGCAGAGGCGGAGCCTCGAGCTCACCCTGCAGTGGCCCCCTCCCTGGGTATGGTGCCTGTCCTGTCTTTTCCCAGCTGATTTCACAAATTCCTGCAACATTAGCTTTCTGAACCGCGGCTCTGACTGCAGTGGCGCCATTGTGGACACACCTGCCATGACTCACCGCCATGTCCAGGATAAAACTCAAACCCTTCATAGAACAGTCCAGGCTGGTGACAAGCGGGCCAGAACCACTGTTTCCAGAAGGATCTGGAATCGTAGAGGCCATCTGCCATGACACCAGATGTCACCAACACATCACCACTCAGAACTGTGCAAGTACCATCGCTTAGAACCTGAGGGCTCCCCAGCAAAGATGTACCATGACAACAAGTGACCAGAAGTGACCATCACACTGAGGACCATCACACAGTGTGGCCATCACACCAAGTGACATCTAGAACCACAAATGCCACCAATACCTAGAGCCCTCAAGTGCCGCTGATACTTGCTATTTTCAAGGGATTCTCCAATCACAAGTCCCAGCCCCGGCTAGAACCGCAGAAAAGCTACCGAGGCAAAGACCTGTGGTTCCCCCAGTGCCTGGAACCGAGTGTCCAATGCCCACTGACACGGGCCGGGCGCGCTCCCTTCACCCACAGCGCAATTCGAGGGCAGCACTGGGCAGAGGCTCCCATGGAGCCCTGGAGACAGCGCTGCTGGCCCGGGCTGCCCTGGCCCCGCTCAGGGCCGCTCATTCACCCTTGTCTCACCCAGGTGGCGCTGGTTGTGTTTACTGTCCATACTTTGGTGACCGAGGAGAATGCCATGGACGCCGAGAAAGCCTTTGTGACCCTTACGGTTCTCAACATCCTCAACAAGGCGCAGGCTTTCCTGCCCTTTTCCATCCACTCCGTTGTCCAGGTGAGGCGGGAGGCCCGCTCGGAGGAGCCTTCCGGGTCTCCACCCACTCGCCATCAGTCCAGGCGGTGGCGGAGGGGAAAGGGGATGAAACAGAGCAGCAGACCGGAGGGAGGGGGCAGAGGCTACCGCGGAAGTTGTAAGCAAACGTCCGCAAAATGCACAGCCTCGCCTAGCCAGCAATTCCACGTGCAAGTATTCATTCCTGTTCCCTTTTTATACAAAGTAATTTTATATTATTTCTCTGCCTTTGCCGCCTCCTTGGGCGTGATGAAAACAAGATAGCAGTGGCTGGGCTGAGCCATCCCTGTTTAAATGGCCGCCTTTCTAGGCACCAAAGGTGGGTTTGGGGTTGGGAGCAGAGGGCGCCCCTAGGTGGACAAAGTTTAGAATCGTTCCTGATAATGGCTTGATAATGGCTTGATAATGCTGTGGGAAAGGCCGCCATACTCTCTCCCAGGGCGGGGTCTGCAGAGTGGCAGTTCCATTGTACTAGTTATGCCAATTAGGAGCAAGGAGGAAGGAGGGCACCACCACTATCCTTGTCACCACCTTCAAGCGCATCACTTTTTTTGTCACCTAAAAAGCTTTGCACTATTATTGCCTTGCAAGATTTCCCCACCATCTTGAGGCACCTGACACTCGAAGCCTGAGTTCTTTTTCTGCTGTCCCTGCACGGGTGACCTGGGGCTTTGGTTCCTCCAGGCCCGGGTGTCCTTTGACCGTCTGGCCACCTTTCTCTGCCTGGAAGAAGTTGACCCTGAGGCTGTGCACTCAAGTCCCTCCAGATGCTGTGAGTGCCGAGGTCAGCAGGGGTGGTATGGGATGGACAAGGGGACCTGCAGTTGGCCCAGGTCCCAGCAGGGTGGGGGGTGGGGCGTCTGTTGGCGCAGGATGGCACGTGCCGGCTGCACGATTAACCATGTGACTCATAAACTAGCACCGTGATGCTGCTACCTGTCAGTCACTCAGTGCCTGCCGCTGTGCACTCTGTGTGCAGCAGTGACCTCGCTAACTGCCCAGTCTTTGCCCTCATGTGCGAGGTCAGGCAGGTGAGCATGGCAACCTGTTCATCAAGCTGGAAAAGAAAACCGGAGAGATCCGCAGTGCCACTGTGTGATGGGACGTTCATGTTGGCTGGGCTTTCCTGCCCTGCCCCACCCATGTCTAACCTGGCACCTACAGGCCTAGGGGCACTGGCTGCACTGCTGCAGAGAGAGGCGACCCCTCTCAGGGCTCAGACCCTCCCATCGTTGTAACTCAGACATCACCAACCTGCTTACCTAGAAAACACCCACATGGTGGTGAAAAGCTTAGCTTGTGGTGCTGGACTGCCGCAGCCAAAATTTAGTCTCTGAGCCTCACTGTCCCCATCTGCAAAGTGGGCGAGATGACTTTATGGCACTTCAGCATAGGGCTGTAGTCGGGGTTAAATGACTTAAGTTTAAGTACCATACTGAGAGCAGGGCCCTGCACAAAGTCAGCATTCAGCACATTTTAGTTATTATTGTAAATATTATTAGAGAAAAAGAACTATGAAAGTCAGCAAAGAGCCCTTTAAATAACGCCATATTGGTGTATCTGAGGCTTACTCAGAGCTCTGACTTATTTTCAGGCGGGCACAGCTTCGTTCAGCTGAACCCATGTGATGCGGGCGGTCAGAGCTGGGCAGGCCCTGCTTCAGATCCTGGTCTGCCGTTCCGGCTGGCCCCGGCAGTAACTCCTCCAGCTCCCTGCTGCTGCACCCCACCCCTGGCAGGATATCCTGAGAGCCACCGAGAGCTAGCAAGCCCCCAGTTCTCAGGAGCTGCTCCATAAGTAGCTTTGGGTCCCTGATTACTGTGCCTCTGTCCCCTCTGGAGGGCCCAATGGACCCTGCACCAGAGACCCCTGGGTCTTATTTGAGCCACACATTTGACACACCTGGTCACCTTGCCTGGGGCCAGAGCCTCTCTCTCCCCCGTCCTTTCTCTTTGCCCAGAGGTGTACAACAGCGAGATTGCTACAAATACCAACACCCAGTGGGGACTCACCACATATTCATTGGAACTGCTCCAGATCGAGACGACCTGATCTCTCCTCACCACCCATGTTATAGATGGGGAACGGGGAGAATCCCTGCACCCCAGACTGTCGAGAAGGGACCAGCCCCCAGAGCAGGGCAAACAGATTCACAAATAGACACATACAACTCCAGTGAAATTTGATTTTTAGGTTCACAGAGAATGATTCTTCTGGTTATACGTATATCCCATGTCACACGTGGGGCATATTTATATCAAAAAAGCACTTGTCTATCTGAAATTAACAGTAAACTAGGCACCATGCCTTTTATCTACAACACTTCCCTAGAGACCGTCCGGTCCAGTGGGTGTCGGAGGGGCCACCTGCTCGTTAGACAGGAGGTGCTCAGGCCTCACCCCGTGGAGATTCTGGTTTGGGGGTTTGGGCTGAGCCAGGGAGAGATTTGGGTTTTGTTTTGTTTTGTTTTTAATCTTTCTGGGTTATTCTAAAGTGCATTCAGGGTCCCAAACCATTGATCTGGTTCCTAAGGAGACCATTGTCACACCCATTGTCCCAGTAATATTAGTAACTCCCTTCACTTTCCGGAGTCCCAGGTTGGATGATAAATTACGTCGGAAGCCCAGTAACTTTCCTATGAAGGACTAGATTGTACATGTCTTAGGCTTTACAGGACATCTGGCCTGCGTCGTGACTGCTCACCTCTGCTGTTGCAGCGTGAAAGAATCCATTAAAAACACACACATAAATTAATGTTTTCCCATAAAGCTTTATAAAAATGGATGGCAGGCAGGATCTGGCCCCTGGGCTGTGGTCTGTGGACCCGTGAGTTATTTAACCATCCCACGGGGTCACGCTCAGGCCGGTGAGTAGCAGGACACTTTGTTCAGTGGGAGAGACTCCCTGCTGCTTCGGGGGATGGGGGGAGCAGATGGGGCCTTGAGGGGGGGACTAGGAGGCCCGCCAAGAAGTTCTGGTGTAACTGGTCTTTTCTGCCTGCAGCTGCCAGGGAGGATTGCATCAGTGTGCAAGAAGGCACCTTTGCTTGGTCCCAGGAGAGCCCACCCTGCCTGAACAGGTACAAAAGGGCTTCCCCAGTACTCCCTTCCCGTTGACAGGGAGAAAATGCCAGAGGCTCTTGCTGCTTGCTAGGTGAGAGGTGGTGCAGGTTACAGGCTAGGCTGGAGGGTGGGTGAGCCTGGGCAGGCATTCTACCACGGAGACTCCTGGGACCAGTCCTGGCAGAGGGAGTCTTGGGAGAACAAGATGGGGCACAGGGAGTCTGAGCCTCCCTGTCAGGCAGGAGATAGCCTCTGCTCCCCAGACCAGTCAAGGTGCAACAAGAGAGGCCTGGCCAAGAAGGGACCCAGCGCTGTCAGCCATGCCCGCTGCTCTCCCCGCTGTGTCAGTCCTTACATCACTGTCACCTTGAGCCTTCAACTCTGTGGCTGGATCTTTGTAGCAGAAGACCCTCAGCCAATCCCAAAACACCCTATGGAGGGAACTTCCCTGGCCAGTGTCTGTCAGTGGCACTTGCTATGTACCAGGCCCTATTTCAGACACTGGGGCTGACAGTCTAATGGAGGGACACACAAGTACAAAATCAGGGAAAGGTGACAGCGTGATATTGACAGGGTCAGGTGTGGTAAGAAAAGGGTTAGGTGTGGTAAGAGAAGACCTCCACCTGAGGTTGTAAGGTGGAGAGGGGCTGAGTCTTGCACACGCCCGAGAGCAGAGCTTCCTGGGCAGTGGAAATAGCATGTACAAAGGTCCTGGGGCAGGAGTATGCCTAGACCCAGGCTTCTTCACCTCATCATTATTGACACTGGGGTTGAACAATTCTTTGTTGTGGGGCTGTCCTGTGTATTGTAGGGTGTTTGGCAGGACCCTCATTATATACCCCCTAGATTCTAGCAGGAACCTCCATCAGGTGCGATAGCCCAAAATATCTTCATGCATTGCCAAATGACCCCTGGGGGCACAATCTCCCCCAGCTGTGCCTGACCCCCAGGTCAGTGTGGCTGATGCAGAGCAGGAGGAAGCTGGGTGCCTTTTAAGGTTGTCAGAACCCTGAGTGACATGGGAACCTCCCGAGGGCTTCAGCAAGGGAGTGTCATGATTAACTCAGGTCCCTCTGGCCTCTGGGTGGAGGATGAATTGGAACAGACACCGAGGGCACAAGCAGGAGAAGCAGTGAGGAGCCTATTGTAATGACTGAGGCAAGAGACAATGCCAATTAAATCCTCCTGCCAAATAAACTCTGGGTGGTACATGTGTGTACACATGTGTGTGCCCATGTGAGAGCATGTTTGTTTGCCAGCATGTGCACTTGTGTGCATACATTGTATGCATATGCATGCTGTGTGCGCACACACACTGTGGTATTCCATGTGCACATGTGAGTATTTGTGTGGGGGTGCATACATGTGTTCCCATGCACATGCATGGGACATGATGGCCACTCGCTAGCCAGACAAGGATTGGGAGAAGGAAGGACTGCCACAGAATGTCCTCTTAGCAACCTGCTGGATGAATGACCAGTGGGAAGGGCTAGTTGTGTCTGGGGTTCACCTGTTCTGCACAGATTTGGGCAGGGCCCTACCAGGTGTGCATCTCCCCTCCAGGATAAACCTCACCGTGCCACAGGGCTGTCTGCTGGCTGTCGTTGGTCCTGTGGGGGCTGGGAAGTCCTCCCTGCTCTCTGCCCTCCTCGGGGAGCTGTCAAAGGTGGAGGGGTCCGTGAGCATCAAGGTGAGGCCACACCCCTGACTTTCTGATAGATTGTCCCCCATCCTAGAGCCCTTGCCATGCATCCCTACTCCTCCCCCTCCTCTCCATTCACTCTCTGCCTTCCACCACCAGCAAGAGCCCAGCACCTACTGCTCCTCCATAATTACTCCTACCTTCATCCCCACTGGCCTCCTCGTTGCCAAAGTGAGTTGTGTTTTAGGGTCCTGTGGCTTACGTGCCCCAGGAGGCCTGGGTCCAGAGCTCGTCTGTGGTGGAGAACGTGTGCTTCAGGCAGGAGTTGGACCCACTGTGGCTGGAGAGAGTCCTGGAGGCCTGTGCTCTGTGGCCGGATGTGGGCAGCTTTCCTGCGGGGGTCCACACCCAAATTGGGGAGCAGGTGAGGGGCTTGGGCCTTCCTGGGACAGGGAGGGGCTATAGCTGGGGCCATTTGCTTCCCTGAGCTGTGGGCCGTGTGGTGAGAGGGATGAAGGGGAGACAAGGGAAGTCGGAGAGAAAAGGGGCCCAGCTTAGGGCCAAGCACATACTAGGTGCTCAATAAATCATTATTAATGGGTGAATGGAAACAGAGACCAGGGACAGGCAGAAAGGTGTGGCAGGGATTGGTGGTGATGGGCTCTCCAACTGGGAGTGAGGACACCCAGGCCCCTTTCCTGTCCCGCATTTTTGGGTGACATTGATACAATTGCTCCCCGTCTTTGGGCCTCAGTAAAAGGTCTGGGCAGAGATATCCAACGAACAGGATACTCTGCATAGAGGTGTATACCTGGAGCTATGGATTGGGCAGGATCGGCAAACTGTGACCCACAGGTCAAATCGGGCCTACCATCTGTTTTTGTAAATAAAGTTTTATTGGGACACAGTCATGCCCATTTAGTTACCCATGGGCCATGGCTGCTTTTGTACAACAAGAGCAGAGATGAGCAGTTGTGACAGATACTGGGCCCCCCAGGAAAGCTTAAAATGGTTACTGTCACGCCCTTTATAAAAAAAGGTTGCTGACCCCGGATTAGGGAAATGAGAGTGGAAAAGTAGGAGTTAAAATTAAGGAAATGGGTGGATTTTCTGGAAAGGAGCGGAGAGGGTCCCCTGTGTGCGAGGAATGTCTAGAGAGGAGGACGAGGCTGCAGAGGCCAAGGGAAGGTCACTTCACGGCAAGGGGATGCTCAGTATCCTTGCTGCCTGTCCTCACTGCCTGTCTTCACTGCCTGTCCTTGCTGTCCAGCTACATCCTAAACCAAACACATGCTTTCAGGACCCTCCTCCCCTATAGCACACCTGCCCCAGGTGGCGGAAGCTCTGAGCTGAGCTTCCAGAGCTGAGCTCCAAAACCTTGGTGTTACCCTTGAGGCCTCTCCTTTTCTTACACCCACAGCTAACCATCAGCCAATCCTGTTGGGCCACCACCAAGGCAGACCCAGGGTGTTCTGGTCCCATCCACAGCCAGCTCTCCCTCACGCTGCCACAGCGGCCCCTGGCTGCCCTCCCTGTTTCTGTCCTCCACCCTGACAGGTTAATGCCAGGGCAGCAGCTAGAGGCAGTCTGTTCAAATGTAGGTCAGATCATGTCCCTTCTCTGCTCAGATCCTCCAGAGTGTCCCCCCCCCAGCCCCCGCAGAGTCAGAGCCAAAGCCCTGACCCGTCGCTGACAAGGCTGCCCCTCCATCTGGCCCCAGTCATCTCTTTAACCCCATCTCCCATCGTGCTGCACTCCAGCCGCATGGCTCTCCATGATGTCCCTTGAACACCCCAAGCATGCTCTCACTGCAGGGTCTTTGCACCTGCTGTTCCTTCTGCTTCTAAAGCTCCTTCTCAGGAGTCCACATGGTCCATCCTCTCTTAGTGGAGGGACCTTCCCTGACCACCTTTCCCAGCACAGCAACCCTGCTAACACTGGTACACCCTGCCTGCACCCTTCCCCTGCTTCATGGCGCATAACACCAGCCAATAGGTGATATATTTTACTTGTTTGCTTGCTGAACATCTGTCTCCCAACCCCACTCTCATTTGAGTGGAACATCCGTGAGTGCAAGGATGGGGTTTTGTTCAGTGCTGTGTTGCCGGAGCCTAGAATGCTGCTGGTATGAAATAGCCATGTAGTAAATATGAATGGAATGAATGGATGGATGGATGAACAAAAATAAGGACTGAAAAGCTGCCGCTGGATTAGACAATGGGGAAATGAAGCCTGGTGTCCTTTAGGAAGGTGGTATCAGTGGGGACATGGGAACAGAAGCCAGATTTAAGTGAAGGAAGAAGTGAGTGGGAGGAGAGGCAGCCGTGGAAGGAGTCTCCAGGAGGCTTGTCTGAGAGGGGAAGCAGGAGGCTGGGTAGAACCTGGGGAGGGGTGTCAGCTGGGAGCGAGTGTGCACAGCTGGGAGGTGGCCCTGGAGGACGGGCACAGGAGCCATACCTCGCTCTGACGAGCAGATGTGGCCGTGGCATACCCGCCTCCCCCAGCATGCAGACTCGGCTCTGTCCCTCCCTTGTGGCCACAGGGCATGAATCTCTCTGGGGGCCAGAAACAGCGGCTGAGCCTGGCCCGGGCCGTGTATAGGAAGGCCGCCGTGTACCTGCTGGATGACCCCCTGGCAGCCCTGGATGCCCATGTTGGCCAGCACGTCTTCAACCAGGTCATTGGGCCCAGTGGGCTGCTCCAGAAAACGGTAAGTTTGGGGAAATGTATCAGAGGGCACAGGGCAAAGGCAGAGAAAGTTTTAACCCAAGTCTAGCTCACCACCACCCTCCTTGAGTCCAATTTTCCTCTTTGTGACAGTCAGTTTTTGCTGTGACAATGCTACATAATAAACAACCCCCAAACCTCAGTGGCTTACAATAGCAGTTTTTTGTTTGTTTTTGCTTATGGGTCTGTTAAACTGCTGCAGCTCTGCCTCACTCAGGTCACTGGGTTCAGGCGAACTCCTTGTTTTGAGACACAGGTTGAAGGAGCCCCTCTATTTCTCTATTGTGACATGCTGTTTTCAGTAAAGAGTGTGGGAGCACAGGAAGAGCTGTGCCCCACTCTGAGCCCAAGGCACCTCCTGCCCCCAACCCCCAGCTCTGGGAGGTGTGTGAGCACCTGAATGTAACTTCTACCCCTTCCCTGCCCAGACACGGATTCTCGTGACCCACGCCCTCCACGTCCTGCCGCAGGCTGATTGGATCGTGGTGCTGGAAGATGGGGCCATTGCAGAGATGGGTTCCTACCAGGAGCTTCTGAACAGGAAAGGGGCTCTGGTGGCCCTTCTGGATCGAGCCAGACAGCCAGGAGATAGAGAAGAAGGAGGTACTGGCTGGACTTTGCTGGTTCTCTGTCCCTGGCTCCTGCCCAGGATCCCACTGGCCTGAGGGGACTGCTCTGGCCACCTCTCCCTGCAGGCCCAGGCCTGAGGTAAATGGCTCTCCTGAGAGGCTACCCATGCCCCTGGAAAGAGCCAGTGCACTGCCCATGAGCCAGGGCCTGTGCTAAAAGCATCTATAAACATACATTATTTCACTTGATCCTCATGATACCCCTTTGAGGCACATGTAGTTATTGCTGCAGTTTCACAGATAAGCAAATTGAGGCAAAGAGAGTTAAATAGTTGCCCAAGGTTGCAAGATTAGAATTTGAGTTTATGCTTATGACTGCTACAGAGACTGAAAAAGGTCATTTGGTGCCTAGAGGCCAGGAGACCCAAGCCATGCTAGCTAGGGGTTCTAATGGTCCAGAGAACACAATGCCTGCTGGGAAAATGATGATGTTCTGGAAGTGAAGTCACCAACCCAAGCTTGCCCACAGTGAGTGATGATAAACTGCCTTTGGCACCTCACCTGCAATAACTCATTTACTCATCTCTATGCACCTGTGAGGTCAGCACCTTAATTACTTCCATTTTACAGATGAGGAGACTGAGGCCCAGAATAAGGAAATGGCCAGAAGTTATGTGGCTTATAAGTGGTGGTGCTGGGATTTGAACCCAAGCAACTTGACCCCAGAGAATGTGGTTTTTCATCACTAGGCTGTCTACTGCCCCTCCATGATGAGGAGCAGTAGACAAAGACCCACAGCCAGCTGCCCCCCCAGCCCCAGGCTCTGCCTCTTCTGAAAATATCTCTTGAGCGCTGGGCCACCTAAGTGGTGATTCACAGGGTCACAGTCCTGGAGCTTGGACATGGAACCTGCCCAGCCTACAGAGATGGTCATGGGGCCAGGGCCCTTCCTGGGGAAGATGACACCTGAGGTTGGATAAAAGTGTGAGAAGAGTGTTCAAGCCCTAGTAAGCTGCTTGTGCAAGAGTGTCAGGGAAGCCACAGTAGTATGATTATGTTCATGTTTACTGCTGTTTTCCAGCCCCAAGTTAATAGCAGGTCCTCTATGATATTTACCGAGTGAATAAATGAAGGAATGAGTGATCAAATGGATAATGTCCCTGGAAGGACCCTGGGAGGATTGCGAGTGGTTGCAGGAGCCAGAGCAGTAAAGTCGGATGCTCCAAGAAGCTCAGGCCACACAGCCAGCAGGTGTCAAAGGCAGCACCTGGACCCTGAGGTCTTGACTCCCATCATGTGACAAGACCCCTTTACCTTACAGAAACAGAACTCACAACCAGCATTGAGGACCCCAGAGGGTCTGTTGGAAGCAGGAGGCCCGTGGGTGGACCAGAGAGGTGAGTTCTCTGTGTTCCTGAGAACAGGGAGGGCACGGACTGAGGCTAAAGTCTACCTGCAGCTCAGGCAGGGAGGGGGCAGCCAGAACCATTCTGGACTGGACACCGCTCAATACCCACTGTGGTGCTCAGTTGTGGGATACTTCGCCAAAAACTGTTTGGCAATCAAAATTATTAAGCCCCCAAATGTCCAGTTAACAGAATGACCATTTAGTCCTCTGTACTAAATGGTCACTGTAGATAGATAGGTAGATAGATATATGAAAGATGGATAGATGGTAGATAGATTGATTTGACACTGTAGATGGATAAATAAATACAAAAATAGATAGAAATGGATGGATAGATGATAGATAGAGATAGATGTTAGATTGATGGATGAATGGATGATAGATTGGTTAGTAAGTGATAGATAGACATAGGTTATTCCCTTTTACAGCTGAGGAAACTGAGGCACAGCGCAGTTAAGCAGCTGCCCATGGTGTCACAGTTAGTAGATGCCAATTCGCATTTAAGGTTAAGTCAGCCCACTTGTCCACAGATGAAAGGAACACACAAGTCTTCAACAAGTGAATTGTGCAAAGCTGATATTCTGCCAACCTAGATGGACAATTCTGAGGATAAACAGTAGGGATGAAATGATTGCAGCAAAGCTTAGGCCAAAATGAAAATTCCAAGAACCAAGTTCTGAAGGTGGGCAAATGAGCCCTTTCAGTGGAATGGCACTGGAAGGACAGGCTTGCTCCACCTGGGGTGAGAGAAGGCAGTTAGCTGCGCACCGCAGCGGGAGGCGCTCAGTGCGTTGGCGGAGTGAGTGCATGAACGAGCGTGCGAACGAAGGAAGAGCGACCCTTAGTGCTCAGGGGCTACCAGCGGCCATGAAGGTGGGGCGCACACGCCCCGTGGAGAGAGACACTGATTTGTCCTCATTTCCTGTAAATAACAGGTCCCTGAAGTTAATCCCTGAGAAGGACAGCACCGCCGCAGAGGCCCAGACAAGGGCTCCCCTAGGGGACCCTGACAGGGCAGGCCCGCCAGCCGGGAAGGACAGCGTGCAGCACGGCAGGGTAACACAGCTGCCCTCCCCTCCACACCCTCTGCTACTGCTGCCCGCAGGGGCCCAAGACCCGCCACCACCAGATACAGCACAGGGGGCGGGCAGTCACCTTTATTGAACACCTACTATGTGCAAGTGAGATTCTAGACACTTTCTCTTTCTTAATGTCACAACTACCCTAAAAGTAGATTGTGGCAGCTCCATTTTAGAGGCAAAGAAACTGAGGTCTTCAAGTGTTGTGAGAGGCTTCCCTGTGTTCTCATAGTTAGCAAGCGACCAACTTGGGCCTCAAATCTAGGTCAGTCCTAATCTGGAGCTTGTACTATTCCTTCTCTGCTGGTTTCTCCACTCACCCACCCACCTACCTATTCATTCATTCACCCATCCACCCACCTGCCCATCATCTGTTCACTCCTCTATCCCTCTCACCCAGCCATACACCCCATACACCCACCCACTTACCCATCTTCCATCTACCCGCTTACGTATCCATCCTCTCCCCCATCCACCCTTCCGTGCACCCATCCACACATCTATCCATCCACCCACCCACCCACAGGCCCATCCCTTTATTCATCCATCTACTCATCTACCCATTCGTTTACCCATCTGCCCAACCACCTGTCATCCCACCCACCCCTCCACCCAGCGAGCCTTTCCCAAGTGCCCATCATGTGCCAGGTAAAGTCTCTATCCTGGTAGAGATTGCTTGCTAGTGGGGAGAGACGGCTAACAGTTAGGTTAACAAGCAAGGTAATATCAGATAGTGGTAAGTGCTATAAGAAAACAAAGAAGGACAGAGAGGTGGCAACCAACCGAGGGTCAGGGGCCTGCTTGGATAGGATGCTCTGAGGAGTGACATCTGAGCTGAGCCCTAAGGGATGCAAAGGAACCAGCCCTGGAGGGGCAGAGGGAAGGGCATCTGGGCAGAGGGAACAGCAGGTCCAAAGGCTCCCAGGTGGGAAGGAGCAAAGGAAGGGACCCCAAGAGGCCGGCAGACAGCAAGGAGCAGGTACAATGAGAGAGATGAATGAGAAGTTGGGAATTTCTTCTGAGAGCAAGAGAAAGCCACATGCAGGTTAGCACCAGCAGGATGGGGTTAGGTGGATGTTTTCAAACTCCACTCTGGCTGCAGCTGTGAGGAGAACATCAGGTTGGTAGGAGGCGGACCTTAAGCAAGTGGCTTAACCTGTGTGTGCCTCAGTTTCCTGATCCGTCAGAGGGGGATAGAAGCATATGCCTGTCTCATAGTAGGTGTTCAATAAAGCATACCAAAGCCAGAAACTGCCACAGCCTATCACCTCTAAGACTCCCACTGGCCCTCTGGGGCTTCCGTAGAGGAAGGGGGTCCCAAGGCTAGGTGGGGCCTCTAATGGAGAGGTGCTCCTGTTGGGAAGTACTGAGAGAGGGCCTGTGTGGTCTGCATGGTGGCTCCATCTGCCCCGCAGGTGTGTTTTGGGAGCCTGACCTGCTTTTCCTCTCCCCCCTCCCCCCTCCCCCGGATCTCCCTCTGCCCCCATCCTCCCTACGTGTGTTACAGGTGAAGGCCGCCATGTACCTGACCTACGTGCGAGCTGTGGGCACCCCACTCTGCCTCTACGCACTCTTCCTCTTCTTCTGCCAGCAAGTGGCCTCCTTCTGCCGTGGCTACTGGCTCAGCCTGTGGGCGGATGACCCCACCGTGGGCGGGCGGCAGACACAGGCGGCTCTGCGCGGCTGGGTCTTTGGGCTCCTGGGGTGCCTCCAAGGTACCCCTCCCTGGCCGCCCTCAGCCTCCGTCCTTCCATCCTCCTCCCCCGTGGTGCTCAGGGCTCCCTGGCCCACCCATCCCTGGCGTCCACTCTCCTCCCCTCCCTGAGGGTCTGTGCCAATGTCCTCGGTCCCAGCCCAAACCTGCGTCCTTGAGACGGGAGGCGTGGGGGACACAACATATCCCTTCCTTTCTGGGATCCTCGGAGTCCCCACCAGGCTTGTGGGCAAATGCAGATCATTGGCCCCCAGAGGTCGGGGCAGCTGAGCACTCGGGTGGGGACAGACCCAGCAGTGCAGCTGGCTCTTCCTCTTCCCCGCACAGAGGGCAAGCCCACAGTCTGACTGCTGGTGACTTTCAGTACCCCCACCCCAAACATCCAGATGAGCCCTGTGTATTTTGATATCCTGTTGTTAGGGACAAACCTGTGAAGAACTGTTATGTCTTCTTGAAGAATTAACCCATTTATCATTAGGCAACACCCCCTCTTTTTCCCTGATAATTTTCCTTAATCTGAAGTCTGCTCCATTTGAAATTAATAAAGATACTAACTACATAGCTCTAATATACTAACTATATACGTATATATCTCAAACTTGTCTAAGCAGCAAGAGAATTTATTAGCTTATAGGACTGGAATCCACAGATCACTAGCTTCAGGTATGGCGGGATCCAGGGGTCCAATGAGGCTGTCAGAATGGCTCCATTTTCTTCCTGTGATAGCTTCCTGTCCAGGCAGCCTTCTCCCCCTAGTTATAAGATGGTATCCCACAGCTCCAGCTTGGATGCCTCAAAAAAGCAAACACCTCTTGCCTAAAAGCCCTAGCAAAGTCCAGGTCTCACTCTCATTGGCCTGACTTGGGTCATGTATTCATTGTTGGACCAACTGCAATGGTTTGCGTTGGCCAGGGATACAATTTGCCCCCACCCAGAAACAGGGAATGAAGTCAGACCCATTCCAAGCACATAGATTGGCACTGGGAGGAAGTGGATATATTCACCTCCTAGGGCTACCGTAAACCAAAACACCACAGACTTGGTAGCTTAGCCCAGGGGTTTCCAACCTCCGGGCTATGGACTGGTACCCACCTGGGCCTGTTAGGAACCGGGCCGCACAGCAGGAGGTGGGCTTGAATGTAATGCACTTGAATCATCCCAAAACCTTCCCCCTGACCCCGGGCTCCCCGGTCCATGGAAAAATGAAACTCATCCCTGGTGCCAGAAAGGTTGGGGACTGCTGGCTGAGACCAATAGATATTTTTATCCTCTCATAGTTCTGAAGCCAGAAGTCCTACATCAAGGTGCTGGCGGGACTGGTTCCTCTTGGAGGCTCTGAAGGAGAATCCATCCCATGCCTCTGTCTTCACTTCCGCCGGTTGCCGGCAGTCCTGGCGCTCCTTGGCCTGTGGCATGTCACCCCCGCCTCTGCCTCTGTCTTCACAACACCTTCTCTGTGTCTCTCTGTGAATTCTCTTCTTAAAAGGACACTAGTCATTGGATTTAGAAGGCCCCCTCAATCCAGAATATTATCTCAATGTCTTTCACTAATAACGTCTATAAAGATCCTCTTTCCAAATAAGATCATGCTCTAAGGTTCCAGGTGGATGGGGTGATGAGGGTGGCCAGATCACAGGATGGCTACCACGGGGTGGGGGAGGTCTCCAGCCCTCATGCTCTGACCTCCTCTCTCCCCCCAGCTGCAGGGCTGCTCGCCTCCATGGCCACAGTGATCCTCGGGGGCATCCGGGCGTCCAGCCTGCTCTTCCAGAGGCTGCTGTGGGACGTGGCACGGTCTCCCATTGGCTTCTTTGAGCAGACGCCCGTCGGGAACCTGCTGAACCGCTTCTCCAAGGAGACAGACATAGTAGATGTGGACATCCCTGACAAACTCCGGTCCCTACTGATTTACACCTTTGGGCTCCTGGAGGTCAGCCTGGTGGTGACAGTGGCCACCCCGCTGGCCATCATGGCCATCCTGCCACTGATGCTCCTCTACACTGGATTTCAGGTAAGGAGAGGCTGGGAAGGCTCCTGGGGCCAGCTGAGGTCGCCTCAGCCAGTCCCCTTCCCTTGGCAGGAATTGGTATAAGAGGTTCTGCCCAGCTGGGCAGTTGGGGGCACCCCGGGAAGAATCCCCAGAGACAGAGACTCCACAGTCTGTTTCTTTTTTTTTAATTTTTAAAAAATTTTAATCATTGTTCAAGTATAGTTTTCTCCCTTTTACTCCCAATCCAGCCCACCCACCCAACCCTCCCCACTTCCCTCCCATTACCACCCACAGTCTGTTTCTAACACCTCTGCTATCTGTGTCTCCCAAAGGTTCACATCAAAGTTCTTGATATCTAACACTTTGTCCTGTTGCTGCTGAAATGAGCTTCCTCTTCTCCAGTTATCTGGAAACCAAGAAGGCATTGCAAGGTCTCAAAGACTGTGTATTAGGCTAGACTCTTTCAGTGCCCAACCCAGAGACCAACTTGAATTAGCTTACACAGAAGAACAGAATTTAATGGCTTATGTACAGTAGATGCAGTGGCCAGCTGTCACCAAGAGGCAGTCATTCTCTTTGCTCAGTGGTTCTCAAAGTGTGGCCTTGGACCAGCAGAGGATCACCTGAGAGCTGGCTAGAAATGCAAATTCTCAGGCTCTTCCCACTACCTACTGACTCAGACACTATAGTAGTTGGGCCCAGAAATCTGGTTGGTTTTTTTTTAGCAAGTTTTTTTTTTTAAGATTTTATTTATTTATTTTTGGAGAGGGAAGGGAGGAAGAAAGAGAGAGAGAGAGAGAGAGAAACATCAGTGTGCAGTTGCTGGGGGTTACGGCCTGCAACCCATGCATGTACCCTGACTGGGAATCGAACCTGCGACACTTTGGTTCTCAGCCTGCGCTCAATCCACTGAGCTACGCCAGCCGGGGCAGAAATCTGGGTTTTAATAAAGCCTTCAGGTAATTCTGATACAGTCTAGTGTTTAAGAACCACTGGCTTAGCTCTATTTGGCCCAGTTGTGCACACACTGTCTTTTCACGGGGCAGGGGCAGCTCTGATAGCCCCTGGCAACCCTCTGCTCACAGCACCCCACCTTAGCACCCCCAGCACAAAGAAACCTTTTCTCCAGCTCAGCGTTCCTATGAGTATATCAATCCCAGGGAAGATTCTGATTGGCCCCTTATAGAGCACATGTTCATCCCTGAGCTGATCACTGGGACTGAAGGGATAGCTTCCTTTGACTGGTTAGGCTGTGTTCTATGACCACCTAACCACAACTGACAGGCCCACCCCTGGAAATCAGAAGTAGAGTAGAACAATCTTGGTGGGCAGACAAAAACTGTGGCCACCACAGTTCTCCACAAGTATCCCAGGTCTTCTTTAGGTCCTCTTGACTTGGGATGGGACTAGTTCTCCATCAAGAGCTTGGGAGTCAGGCAGAGGTGGGTTTGAATCCAGGCCCTACCACTTACTGGAGATAGAGGCTTGGACCACCTGCTTAATCCCTCTGAGCCTCAGGTGTTCTCACCTGTAAATTGTGAACACCACTGTTGCCACCTCACAATTACTGAACACTATAAAGGGCCTGGCATGCAGCCTGGGTGTTCAACAAATGCATGTTCCCCCCTGCCTGCCAGCTGTATACACCTGCAATCTCAAATCAAAAAACAACATAACATATACTACCTGTGCCTCATTATGTTCCCAGCACCTGGCATGTGACCATCAAGTCAAATAAATGAATTCGACTTGGCTGACTACTTTCCTTGTCCTTTATGGTTTTGTCCCCATGGTAACTGGCTCTAAGGGAAGCAGTTGGCCTTAGAGCTGGGAATGAGACATTTACACTAGATCAGTGGTTTCCCAACCCTATCTGTACCCTAGAATTACCCAGAAGGTGATTTAAAAATATCAAGGCCAATGTGATAACACCAGAGATTCTGATTGAATAGTTCCGGGTTGGGGTATTTGAAGCTTCCCAGATGATTTTTAAAAGAACCATGGAACTCCAAGGAAATTGGAGCTCAGAGAGGGTCAGCAACTGGTCCAAGGTCACACAGCAAGCTAACAACAGAGCCTGGTTTGGGACCCTGTACTTAGGACTGCCTGTGCTCCTCAAACTACCTCTCTGTGTCTGTGTCTTCTCCCTTCCTCACCTGCCCCACTTCAGAGCCTGTACGTGGCCACCTCGTGCCAGCTCAAACGCCTGGAGTCGGCCAGGCACTCCTTCGTGTGTTCCCACGTGGCGGAGACATTCCAGGGCGGTGCAGTGGTCAGAGCCTTCCGGGCCCAGGGCTCCTTCATGGCTCAAAACAATGCCCATGTGAATGAAAGCCAGCAAGTCAGTTTCCCACGGCTGGTGGCTGACAGGTAGGAAGGGGGCAAAGAAGGCCTTGCAATCTATCTGTATCCCCAGAGAGTATCATACTGTGTGGCCAGAGAGGTCAAGTGGCCTGCCCAAGGTCATGCAGCAAGTTGGGAATAAAGCTGAGGCTACATCCCATGAGTGCACCTGGCTTACATAGTGAGCAGACAGAACCTGGCCTGAGGGGTTCTCAACAGCAGGTAGGTGAGGAGGTGCAGATGTCTGCAAGAGGAAAGAAGTCTTTGTGGCCAGGCCACTGGACCAGCCTCTCTTGCTCTGGTGACAAGGCAGCTACATAAGCATCCTCAGCCTCTTTTGAGTACTAAGCAAGAATAAGAGACAAACTTTGAGCATAGACAGACACAGCTCTACAGCTACTGAGCTGCGTAATCTTGGGCAAGTTACATAACCTCTCTTTGTCAAAATGGGATTGCACTCATAGAGTGGCTATGAAGATTAAATAAATACACTCATAGCTAATACTTGTAACATGCTTACTACCTGCTCAGCACAGTTCTGAGCAATCTACATGGATTGAATTTATTTAATCCTGTTAATAACCCCATGAGGCAGAGACTGTTTTATACATGGTGAATCTTAGGCACAGAGAATTAAGAACTTGCCCAGGGCCAAAAGGTGAATATATGGAATCAGGATTTGAACCCAGGGAGTCTGGTGCCAGAGTATGGAGAGAGGGTCAAGCACACAGTAGGTACTCAATAAATGTGAATTCTTTTCTCCTTTCTGCCCAGATCCCCAGTCAGCTGGGGCTCTCAGGCCTTGTAGCTGTGAACAGAGTCTCAATGCCATATGCCTTCTGAGTAACCTGCCCTGTCCCTTCCTGGAGTCTAGCCTAGGGAGGAGAAACCTTGCAAACAATTAGAAGTACCTACTATGTGCAAGGCTCAGTGATTGCCATGCTGTATGTGGCATCTCATTTAAACCTCTCAACTGTAATGAATCAGATGTTACTTCACTCCACAGATGGGTAAACTTGGGTTCAAAGAAGCAAAGGGATTCCCCCAAGGCCAGCTGTCTAGGAACTGGGAGACCTCATCCTTCATTTACTCATTTGTTAGTTGGTTCCTTAAAAGGAAGCATGACCTGTTGGAAAGGGTATGTGCTTTCTGGTAACATTCAGACAGTTGTGGCTTCAAACCCCGGTGTCTGGGCTTAAACAAATACCTAGCCCTTCTGAGTCTCAGTGTTCTCAGCTGTCAAATGCGGACAGGAATGTCCCCTTTTGTAGGGTTGTCAGGAGGACCAGCTGTTATATGTAGTAAAGCCCAGAGTTTCCTAAGACAGGGATTTTAATGTTTGATTCATGGCTATGTCTCCAGCACCTCCAATATGCATGGCACATAGTAGGTGCTCAATACGTATCTGTGGAATGGATGAATGAGTGAATGGTAGAGTAGAAATTCAATAAAAGGTGGTGAGCATTTATTCCTCCACCCAGCATGTATGTGCTGGGCCCTACTCTGGGCTGGGTCTATGCCAGGTACTGGAGACGGAGCCCTGAATGAGAAAGTCACTGCCCTAAGGGAGCTCATAATCTACTGATGGAAAATGAGTGTCAAGGACTGATTAAATGGTTCCATTACAAAGACTGATAACTGCCATGAAGGAAGTAATCAGTGATGTATTAGAGAGAAAGGGAGGAGCAACCCAGGAGGGCTCTGTGAGGAGATGATGTTGGAGCTGACTGAACATGAACATAAGATGTTGGCCACGTGAACATGGAGGCTGGGTTCAGTCAGGAAGCACAAGGGTATATGGCTTGGCATACACCAAGCACAGAATATTGGCAGCATGGCAAAGCTTTACTAGAGTACCCACTGTGTACTAAGCCCAGAGCTGGGCACAGGTGAGAGAGGACAGTAACTTCCCCCACCTAACGAGCGTTGGTGGGGCCTAGGGTGTGGAAGAGACCCTTGTGGGCTCTTGTGCTGGCACCATGATTAGTCCTTGTGCCCAAAGGGGCAGGTCCCACGGAGAAGGTTCCTGCTGACCCCGCTGTTACCTGCCCCACCCTGCAGGTGGCTTGCTGCCAATCTGGAGCTCCTGGGGAATGGGCTGGTGTTTGCTGCTGCCCTGTGCGCTGTGCTGAGCAAGGCCCATCTCAGCGCTGGCCTCGTGGGCTTCTCTGTCTCCGCCGCCCTCCAGGTACTCCCAACACCCCAACCTGACTTCTGGGTGCAGGCAGAAGCAAGACAGACAGAGCCCTGCCAGCAGGACCTTCTGGGGTCTGAGTTGAAACCACAACCAGTGAGGAAAATGCAGCTCTTACAAGAGCTTAGCTGAGGTGACACTGCTGGCCCCTGAGCAGGAGTCTACTGGCCCCGAGCCTCAGTGTGCTCATCTGAGAAATGGGGTAGTGATCCCTCCACTTCACTAGCTGAGATAAAGTATACAGAGTGCATTTCCAGTGCATTGTTAAATTTTTGTTATCTACTAACAACAATCTTCAATGTCAGGTCATGAAATCTATAAAGAAAAAAACACATACGTGAGTAACATTCATTATGAATGAGGCATTGTTCTAAGAGCTTTGTAAACATTAACTCATTTAATCCTGCCCCCAGTCCCATCAGGGGTACTATCATTATCCCCATTTTACAGTTGAGACAACTAAGCTTAAGGATCAAGCAAGGTGAGACGTCAGAGCATGATTGGGGGTGTGCATTACTCTCATGAATGGCCCAGAAGGCCTCTCTGAGGAAGGGGCTGTGAGCCACGGCCTGGAGGAAGTGAGGGAGGAAGTGAGGGAGGGAGGCAGGAGGGGGAGCTTTTCTGAGGCGGGAACAGCAGAAGAGGCCCTGGGAGGGAGAGAGGGGCGTGGCCAGTGTGTTAGAAGAACAGCAAGCAGGTGGTGTGGCTGGAGAGGGTGGAGGGAAATGAGTTTGGGGAAAGGAGGAAGGACAGGTCACCCTGGTGAGGAGGTGGGCACGGTTCCAAGTGTGAAGAGCAATCAGTGGAGGGAAACCTCTCAGAACAGAAGTCAGGAGGCCTGTTCCTGCTGGCTGCCCTTGGGAGGGCCATGCACCCTCTCTGGTCCTGTCTCCCCACCTGTGTCACGATAGGTTGGACAAGCTGGTGTCCGAGGGCTCCTGTCTGCTCTGCTTACCCTGGTTGTACTGAAAGGACAGGAGTCCTGGTGGCCATAGCCAAGTCCAGTCCCCTCCTCTGCCCCACGGCCCTGCCTCAGGGGAGTTGAGCAAGACTGTGGGGCGGTTTTGCTCAAGTAGCCTGAGGTGTCTTCTCACACCAGGTGACCCAGACACTGCAGTGGGCTGTTCGCAGCTGGACAGACCTGGAGAGCAGCATCGTGTCGGTGGAGCGGTTGGAGGACTATGCCCGGACACCCAAGGAGGTGATGGGTAGCCCCTAGGGGTGGAGGGTCTGCCCCACCTGGGACTTATAGCAAAGGGCAGTGGGCCAAGGTGGATGTCTGCCAGGGGCTCTAGAGCCCCCACCACTGCAGGCTGGAGTCCCGGCCAGGGCCGCAGTAATGGCTGAGAGCATGGGATCTGGAGCCAGATTGGATCCTGGGTTCTTTGCTTCCTCAACTGGGCAAGCAGGTCATTCTTCTGAGTGACAGGGGATGGAGTCACAGCCACGTAACAGCAACATGGGAACAACACAACAGGAACAGAAGAGCAGCACAGCCACTAGTGATGCTGGGTATCCTGCAAGGGTCAGATGAGATCCCAAGATAAAGAACTTCCTATGGTGTCTGGCACACCACAACACTCACTCGATGCACGCCACCGCTCTTACTAGCCCCATTTCACAGCTGAGGCGCAAGGGGTGGAGTGACCCGTTCAAGGGATGGCAGTGGCAGCATTGGACTCCCTCCTGCCCAGGCCCACCCACTTCACAAAGACAAAAAAGAGGTCCTAGCCCTCTTTTTTGGTCCCAGAGGAATAGAGTATATTATTGGACAATTAATAGTGGCTAATAATAATTTTAAAAGATAAAGAATAGCGAACACCATCATTATTTTTAAGATACTAGATATTACTTGTTTTTAGCTTTGCTCTGTTCCAGGTCCCTATAAAATAGCAGTAAATATGCCCATTTTACAGAAGAGGAAACAGGCTTAAAGAGTGGACCTTTCTGTGAGAAGCCTGGGAGAAGGGCTTCTCTGACCCAGTGTCCCTTCCTGCCGCAGGCACCCTGGACGCTGCCTACGTGTCCAGCCCAGCCGCCCCCCTGGCCTCATGGGGGGCAAATTGAGTTCCGGGACTTGGGGCTGAGGCACCGACCTGAGCTCCCACTGGCTGTGCGGGGTGTGTCCTTCAAGGTCCACGCAGGAGAGAAGGTGGGCAGCTTTTCCACATCTTCTTCCTCGTGGGAGCCAGGCAACGAGGAAGCTGGTGCTCAGGGCCTTGGGGCCTTCTCCACATCCCCACCTCAGGGCCCCTCATCTTCAGGATGGGACGTGCAGAGGAAGACATGGGGAAGGAAGGAAGGAAGGAAGGATGAGGGGTGATGGAGGGCTGTGCATGGAAGAACAGAGGAAGGGTAGGGGGATGGAAGGAAGGTTGGGGGAATAGATGGGAAGATGGCGAGATGTGTTGGGGAAGGGGAAGATAGAGAAGAATACGCAGACAGAAGCTGGGTGGACCAATGGATCACCCAGGAAAGGTGGACAGATGGAAGGGTGGATGCTCAAAAGGACGATGGCTGGAGGGACAGAGATTTTGGGTGCGGGGGAGACAGCTCACAGAGACGCCCGGGAACCCTCTAGGCTTTGGCCTGCCTTCTCCTGGCCAGGTCTAGTCACAATGGCCTTGCCCTCCCATCCCTTGGCAGGTGGGCATCGTTGGCAGGACGGGGGCCGGGAAGTCCTCCCTGGCCGGGGGCCTGCTGCGGCTCCTGGAGGCAGCTGAGGGTGGGATCTGGATCGACGGGGTCCCCATCGTCCACGTGGGGCTGCACATGCTGCGGTCCAGAATCACCATCATCCCCCAGGTGAGGCCTGGGGGCAGGGCGGGCAGAGGTGGGAGCACGGCCAGGCCCAGCTCTGACCCACCGCCCCCCGCCAGGACCCCATCCTGTTCCCCGGCTCTCTGAGGATGAACCTGGACATGCTGCAGGAGCACACGGATGAAGCCATCTGGGAGGCCTTGGAGACGGTGCAGCTCAGAGCCTTGGTGGCCAGCCTGCCCGGCCAGCTGCAGTTCACGTGTGCTGACCAAGGTGATGACCTCAGGTAGGGTCGCCCGCCACGGCCAGGACCGAGTGTGGCCAAACCTCCCCCAGGGGCAGTCCACCCTGGAAATGTGGCCTCCTGGTAGATTGTCAGCCCCATTCTGCCAGGAATCACAGCGGGGCCCCACCCCTGACCAGCAGTCCCAAACTCCAATGCAGTCTCTGAATATCACGTTTTCTTTTCCTAAACTCGGCTTCCGAATGTATTTGGGCACAGAACCCTACCTTGAGCGCTATGAGGCTACTCATGGTCATTAGCTGCCCTGCTCAGCACTTGTTTTGCTGGAGGAACAACATGGATGATTTCGGGCGCTGACCCCATGCTCACTGCGGGTGTCAGGCATGCCCTCAAAAAGCTTTTTTTTTAATGTAGTAAAACACACACTATAAAATTTATCATCCTACCCACTTGTAAGTGTGAATTTCAGCAGCGTTGAGTATGTCCACTTCCCTGTGCCACCCGTCTCCAGAACTTTTTCCATCTTGCAAAATGGAAACTTAGGACTCCTTAAAGAACTATCCCCCCTCCTCCCAGCCCCTAGCAACCACAGTCTATGAATTTGCCTGCTCTAGGTACTTCATTGTTAAGAATGTTACCTAATTTGTCTTGTTTGGGACTGGCTTATTTCACTCAGCACAATGTCCTCGAGGTTCACCGATGCTGGAGCAGGTGTCAGAATGTCCTTCCTTTTTAAGGCCAAGCAATATTCCACTGCATTTCTGTGCCACATTTTGCTTATTTATTCACCTGTAGGTGGACACTAGGTTGCTTCCATTTGTTGATGATTGTCAATGTTGCTGTCGTGAACACAGGGTATAGTTGTATGCCTTTAAAAAACCAAGACGCTCTAAAAGAGCCCACCTGCCCCCGAAGGCATCAGGGTGCAGGGCTGTGAGTGGTGGTGGTTCCCTCTCATGAGAGACACAGGGCAGCCTGGTGGCTCAGAACACAGACAGGCCTCCAATCCGGGCTCCCCCATCTACCAGTTGTAGGACCATGGGCGATTTACTTAATCTCCTGTGCCTTGGTCTCCTCATCTGTAAAATGACACTACTAGTACCTACCTACCTGTACGAGGATTGGGTTGTATGTGTAAAGTTGTTGAGACATGTCTGGCACATAAGAACGATAAACATTCGTTCTAGTCTTGTGAGCTGCACTCTCACACTAATCCTGTTCCACAAAGTTAGCATCTGGGGCCTGAGACGCGCCCGGGGCTTGGTCCGGGGGTAAGGCTGCAGCAAGGCCCCGGCACCCGGCACCTGCACGGCCGAGGCAGGTTCTGGTTCGCTAGTGTTCACTGTGAGGGGAGGCTGAGTACGGCAGGGAGCAGATACCCTGGGGGCACCGGCCACGAGGCTTTGAGCCTCAACTTCTCCATTTGTAATTAGAGGAAGAGAAGCCACTGCATGCTGAAGGCTTTCCCTGTGACAGGCACTTTTGTGGTTTATCTTGTCCTCACAACCCAGAACAGAGAGACCATTTAATACACTACCCAGCTTTGTGGTCTTTATGAAGATCGGGCCAGTATATATATAGCACACAAGGATGTACGTGTCTGGCACAGAGAGAGCTATTGCACAGATGGGGAAACAGAGGCACAGGGGGTTTGAATGACTTGCCTAAAGTTACTATGGTCAAAATGGCAGGGCGGGGACTCCTACCAGCTCTGTGGACTGGGCACCCACATGTGGGGACGCACATGCACACCCCCCACGCCTGTGCTGTTGTGGGGGCCCATCTGTGGGCACACCCTGCAAACCCTGATGTGCGGGCACCCAAACATCTGGCCTGACTGTCCCACTCATTCCCAGTCTGGGCCAGAAGCAGCTCCTGTGTCTGGCACGTGCCCTTCTCCGGAAAACCCAGATTCTCATCCTGGACGAGGCCACGGCCGCCGTGGACCCGGGGACGGAGCTCCAGATGCAGGCCGCCCTGGGGAGCTGGTTTGCCCAGTGCACAGTGCTGCTCATTGCCCACCGCCTTCGCTCCGTGATGGGCTGCGCCAGGTAGGTCCCCCCGCAGCTGTCCCCAGGGGCCCCGCAGTGGTGAAGAGAGGCACTGGAATGGATTAGCAAGTGCCCACTGGACAGGGGGCAGGACTGATGCCCAAAGGGGGAGCCCAAGGACATGCCCCACAGATGCCTCCCACCAGCTGTCAGGGCCAGGAAACTGCTCAGAAGGCCAAGGCTCCTGGGGAGCAAACCTTGGAGCAGGCATGCTGGGCTCTCAGAGTGGCCGAGTGCCCAGGGTGTGTCCTTTCTCCCTCTCCCCTGCAGGGTGCTGGTCATGGACAAGGGGCAGGTGGTGGAGAGTGGAAGTCCTGCCCAGCTGCTGGCCCAGAAGGGCCTGTTTTACAGGCTGGCACAGGAGTCAGGCCTGGTCTGAGCCCAGACCCCTCAGCCCTCCTGCCACGCCAACCCGGACAGACGTGCGATGCCCTGGAGATACGAGAGACCTGGGGGTCATCAGTGGCACTGTGGTTTTTGGTCCAGACCCCTCTCTGCTCTCTGGGGGCGGGGCGGGGGAGAATGGCAGGGAAAGTGGACGCTCAACCATGGCAGACCGGGAGGATGCAGCAACCCCCAAGGCTGGCCTGACCAGAGCCCATCCAGCCTTGTCCACCCTGGAGCCGGAGTGGACAGCGGCTCTCAGCCCTGGCTGCCCACTGGACTCACTCGGACCACAGGACCTGCCCACACCCAGGCTTCACTGCAGATGGATGAAATCATTATCCTTGGGGCTGGGGCAATGCTGTGTGTCCTTTTCCAAATTAACCCTTATTTTGAGATGACTAACTGCAGACTGACAAGCAGTTGTAAGAAATAATCAGCAGAAGGCCCGTGTGCCCTTTCCCTGTTCCCCCCAAAAGCAACGCCTTGAAAAATGCTAGTACGATATCACACCTGGATGTGGACATTGGCACAATGCACCGATCTTGCTCAGATTTCCCATTTCACTTGTACTCGTGTGTGTGTGTGACTTCTGCACAGTTGTGTCACACATATGGGCGGCATTCACCACAGCTGGGATGCTGAATGCTTCCGTCACCACGATGACCCCTGGGCTTGCTATTTTGTCACCGCACCCCTCTCGCCCACCCCCACAACCCCTGGTGAGTTCTCCCTTTCGGTATACCGTGTAGTTTTAGAGCTCCCCACATGATTCCAACATGCCCTGGGACTCCTGCTGCTCCTCCCACCCTTGCACGTGAGCCGCAAGGGGCATCTTGCTCAAATTGGACACACGGGCCACGGACCCACACCAGGAATGGGTCCCTCCAGGCACAAGCTCACACCAGCAGGTGCTGTTACCAAGGGGAGAGGGGAGGAGCCGGGATGTGGCCCCCACCGGAAGAATCTGTTCAGGACTTGTCACGTGTCGTGCATTTGTTTGTTAAAGACCAAATTACGGACTTCTCCAGGGAGCCCCAAAAGCAGCCAGGGCATTTCTGTTCACATGTTTGCTCCTGAGGGGGCTGTGTGGAAGATGCTGTTGGAGGTCAGAGGTCAGGGGTGGTGAAGGTCCAGCACTTGCTTCCATGAAGGACAGTGCAGAGCGTGCATATCCGGTCCTGTTTCTGACAGCAGTCACGATTCTAATGTGAGGCTCATCAAACCAGCCTCAGGCACCAGGACAGGGAATACCCCAGGTCCTTCACAGACCCCAAGGTGTTGCTACAGGGATAAAGTAATACATGGAAACGTGTTCAGAGCTAAGGTGGGCACAAAGTAAGTGCTCAACAAACGTTCACTGTTACCACTCCTGTTGCATTTGCAAGCCTCTGTGGGCAGCAGAGAGATGTGCACCAGGATTTCTTTAACCGTCACTAGCAACATGCGGGGTAGAGGGTTCTGTTGTGGGGCCGCCCTGCGCACTGCAGGGTGTTTAGCAGCATCTCTGGCCTCCACCCTCTAGATGCCAGTACGCCCTTACCTCCAATCGTGTATAAAACCATCTCCAGACCCTGCCAAATCACCTGCTGAGAGTCACTGGACTAACCTGATCCACTGCCATCAATAATCCACTGGTGCTCGGGCGATGGCTGTGTTGGTGTGTCAGGAGGGGCCTGTGGACCCCCACCTGCCTGCCAGGACACAAAGCCTGCTCTGTCTCAGTCAGGTCACAGGGACTTTCTAATGGAAAGTCCTGACGCAGGTTTTCAGCCCAGAGTAATCTAAATTTAATTGCAGCTTCTACCTCCCGCATTTGCCAAGATGTGGCCACAAGCACATTTTGATGACCTCAAATTCAGATAGGGGGTCTACATGCCTTGCTGGTCCCCGGTCATGCCTACAAAGTGCTGGTTCCCCATTACTAGCTCCATTTGCAGATGAGGAAACTGAGGCTCAGATGGTTGATGTGACCTACCAAGGTTACCCAGTTAGTAAGTGGCAGAGTGGGGATCTGCCCCTGGAGTTATCCAACACCAAAGTCCAACTCATCCTGTGGCAGTTGTCTGTCCAACTTGGAGGCACAGAGCAGGACCAGACACAGCACTTCTCGTTTCTCTGACAGGAGCTGAGCCACCCGACATCCCAGCAGAGACGGCAGGCAAAGGCAGCAGCAGCTGCATATTTGGCAAACTCACTTGGGATCGCTCCAGGGTCACAAAAGCCTACTTTCACGGAGGGAGGTGGTTTGCCGGGGAGCAGAGTCTGGGCCACAGGAGCCAGCGCCCACGAGAGCCTGCTAACAAGGCTGCTGCTGGTCCACACCAGTGCTCCTGGGGGACTGGCCTGTACACCATCCAGACCATTAATCCCCCACTGTGGGCTCCTGCCAGCAGGCTGGCGAGTGAGACACAGGTCCAGGAAAGCCACACACAGACCTCCCTGGTCAGTGCCTCTCAGTAGGCCCTTAACTGCACCCGTGTCCCACTGATCACTGTGAGCCCACACAAAGCCCGGCTGTAAATGCCTTCAGGTAATCCTCACCCCGGAGGAGGGCGGTGCTGTCATTCCACACACCACTAGGATGCTTTGGTGAGGATGTGCTGTCATTGGGCACCTTTCACAGAGAGAAAGCTGAGCGGTTGAGTAGGGATTGAGCCAGGAGGTCCGGTGCCAGAGTACATGTCCCAACCGCTGGGCCATGCTGCCTCTCACACACCTTTTCAGTTCTAGAATACCAGGTCATTGATAAAGATGGAATTTTCTAGAACCCCATCAGAAGAGAAGGGCTCCCATAATTTACTGAGCTGGGGCATTTGTGCATTCTCCCCAGCACCTCGCCCGGTGCAGAGCATGCAAGAGGACTCAATGAATGCCAAATGCTTGACTAAATGAACGAAAGGATGGATAGATGGTCAAAAACACGAGTGAGTGGCATCACCACATCTGAAGGTGCCCTGAGGGCGGGGCATGGTGCTGGGTGCTTTCCCCCGATCTGGGTGCTTTCATCCTCACAACTACCAGGCCAGGTGAACGCGACGGTCTCGGTCATACCAATGAGGAAGCTGCAGCTCCTGAAAGTCAAGCTCTACAGCCCCAGTGACATCACACTTGGCCAAGGCCTGGCACAGAGGGTTCAGTCCAGACCAGAAAGTGCAGTTACTGAGCACATGCTGTGTGCCTCTCCTCCAGAGTGGGGATTCAGCAAAGAATAAACAGATCCGTGCCCTCCTCTCACAGAGCTGCCCTCATCAAATACAGAATGGAGCAAGCAAAGCTGACATCTGGGCAGAGGGAGGCTCTGACACAGGACTGCGCCCCACATGCTAGAACAGCAGAGAGGTGTGTGTGGCTGGACTGGCCTGAGTGGTGGCCAGTGGGGCCAGCTGAGGGCAGAGGTTGCAGGAAGCCAGGTTGTGCAGGGCCTGAGGCCAGGCTAGCTGCTGCCCCAAGATGGGGACCATAGCAGGATTGTGATGTCTGCTTTCACAGCATCACTACGGCTGCTGGGTGAACAGACTGAGTGTGGGGGGAGGGGCTGGCCAGCAGCAGAGGCAGGAGACCACTGAGCTGGCTGTCATAGGCACAGAAGAGACAGCTGATATGTGGGCACCAGTGTGGCAGCAACGGGAGGAATGAGAGGTGGTCAGATCCTGTATGTTTTGATTGATTCTGAAAGAAAGAAGGGGCAAGCAGCTCAACCCTGGGAAGCATCAGGCCAGGTTCCCCACGCCAGTCTAGCCCCGAGAATCCCTTCCCACGAGAAAGCTGTGCAAAGTGCTGAGCCCAGGGTGCACAACAAAGCTTAACCCCCCACGTCCATGGTAGTAAAGCACGTGCAAAGGTTCCCACCCAACCCAACCTCAGCGCCTCTAGCTCCACCCTCTTCAGGGTTAAAGATGCACGCTGCCTCCTTTCACAAAGCAGACTGAACTTGAACCCAGCCCCAGGATTTCTCCCGAGTACTTGGCTGAACTACAACACACCCCCACATGTCCACACCAGGTCACTCCCTATTGAGGATCTGGAATATTAATACTCAGGGTCAGCCGCTGAGGCAGAAATACACCTCACATTAAAAATTGAGTCCATGTGGCTATCCAAGTGCTGCTCACTAATGGCGGTAACCTCACCGGCTTTTTGCCCTTTCTCCACCCCAGCACCTTCACACTCTGGTCCCTAATGCAAGGCAACAACCCCTGATCTGGGACAGCCGTGCTGGAGGGAATATGGCACTAGGATGCTCCATCTGCACATGAACTTGGTGCATGGTTTTAGGGTTCAGCAGAAATGGCATGCTCCCCCAGTACAGGCACTTCTTATTATCCAGACTCACCCAACTCAAACTGAGAAACCCAACACCTGTCTCACTACCTTACTAGCCAAAATTAAGAAACCACATGAATTGCTCTTGCTTATGCACCCCTACATTTCCCGGCTTCCTCTGTGGTTTGCTATGGCCAATAGGCTGCTAGTAGAACTGACTTCACTTCAGGTGTGAGACACTTAAGAGTGGGTATGAGTCATCCCCACGCTCCCTTCCCCTGCTGTGCTGCAATGCTCTGGAGAGGTGATGTCATAAGGCCAGAGCAGTCTGGACCTCTCAGTCACGGCATGGAAGGCGGGGACCCTGCAGAGGCACCCAACCTGACCCTCATCAAGGAATGCATGAGCAAGAAATAAAACCCTTGCCTTCAATTCCCAAGAGTTCACGGCTACAGCTCAGCCTAGCCTAGCCTAGGGCAAAGGGATTTTGAGGGGCAATTTTGGCCACCCGACTTTTGCTTTGCTGGAGTCTTAGAACCCAACCTGGGCCACCGGTGTCACACAGTCACGCCATCTTCACCACAACCTCATCATGCAGGTACAATCAGCTCCATTTTACAGATGAGGCATCTGAGGCACAGTGACTAAGTCACTCACTCAGGGTCACACAGCCAGCAAATGACGAGGGCAGGACTCAAGCCAGGTCCGTCTGACCCCAGAACCCAGGCTCTCTCCTCCATGACATGCTGACTTCCCACTAAACCCCACCCCATTCTTAACCTCGAGTTCTCCCTTCTGACAAGAGCTCCCACTGGCAGTGACACGTTTGCCCGCAGGAAAGGACAGAGACAGACCGGGGTGCCTGTGCTGCCTCCCGGAGGAGGCGGCCGCAGCCTATGCTAGTGCCCCAAAGAAAAGGGACTCATTGTTTAGAAAGAAATAAAATATTTTTTTACTGCAAATTGCTTGTAAATGTTCTCCTTTCCAGTGTAAGTCATTACAAAAAGATTCCCAAGAAAAACTTGGTTTATCTAATGTGAAAGAATAGTATAACTTACAAAAAATAAATATATATTTCCACCTAAAGGAAGAAAGATGCTTCTCTGGGTTTGAAGTCAGCGACGTCATTCGTAGCAAGTCTGACTCTTGGGGCTCAGTGACCTCTCCCTACTTTTTGGGTCTTCCTTTGGTCTCCGGTTGTGAGGCCTGGAGCACAGGCCTTGAAGGTCTCTGTTCCTGTTTGCTTCCGGGAACACACAGACCAACTCGACTGTCAGAGGCCAGGCCAACCAGGCCACTCCCTGGGAGCACTCTCTCCGGCCCAGTACTTCCTCCTAAGAAATTAAAGTCGAGGTTTTTTTTTTCCCCAGGAGCAATACTTTAAAATAAAGAAAAAGAAAAAGAAATCGTTGATATTCATGAATGAGTTCTTTTCTTGTCCTGGAAGACACTCGGTAACTAGATGTCAGGTTCTCTGCACCGCCACTTTTGAGAGCTGAGCGGAGGCCACGGGTGAGACACTGAAATCCACAAACAGGGAGAAGACTCAGCAGAGCTCTTTTCAGTACCGACTGGTCATGCTTGGAGGTGCCTAGCACTCTCAACTCTGAATGCCTCATAAGCATGGGCAGACCTCTTCCCGGTGCCTAGAGGCAAACTCACCTAATAGTGGGTAAGGAGAGGCAGGAGGAAAAGCAGAGACTAAAGTGGGTGAGGAGGTGAGCAACCAATCAGGGGAGGGAAGTCGGCGCTGAGGGGGGATCCCCCAGCCCTGGAGTTCCAGGTCCAGGCCCCTGTCAGTGAGAGCCCAGCGGGGTCCTGTCAGTGAGGAGCGTGCGGGTGGCGAGGCTGCCCCTGGTCTCTGAAGCAGGTCTCCGCGCAGGCAGTGCTGGGACGTTGGTTCCCAGAGTCTGAGTGCCAGGAAGACCAGAGGCTTGGTCAGAGGGGTGTCCAGGCCCTCAGGACACTGCCCGAGGATGAGGATGACCTTTACCAAGCCCCTAACCTCTGAGCTACAGACCCAAGGAAACGAAGCATTCTGGGCAGACTAGACAAGGATGGCAGAGGTGCCGGGACAGCAGCTAGAGGCCGAGTACTTAGAATTCCAGACTTTGGCCGTAGAGATTTGAGGCAGTTGGCTGGATTTGGTCACTAGCATACTTCACGCAACCAATTTCTCCAGAAGTCCGGCTGCCAGAGCTCCCCTGCAGAGCACCAAGAGCAAGAGCAAACATTCCCAGGGGTGCGAGAACACGTGTGCATCTTGTCGGGTACCAGAGGCAAGGGTGTGCGTGTTTTTGGTGGGCTGCATCGCTGTGTCTCTCCTGTCTGTTCACAGCCAGTTCCAGGCAGTGGGCTGGATGGTGGCTGCTTTGTGATTGTGTTGATTTTGGGGTTTGGTTTCTTTTCTTTTTGGTTTCAGTATATGAGAGGCATGAGTTCCCAAGAAGGCTGACTCATCCTGGACACTGGTACTCGGGCCCTGCAGGTCAATCCAGACACACCGGCTCCAGGGCTCACACCAAGCCAGCATCTTTGGCCATGCTGTAAAATAACCCTCTCTGCTGCAGGAGGTCGGAGGGGCTGCCGCACTCCCGGATTTCTCCTTTGTCCAGGACGATCACCCTGCAAGGGGAGGAGATGCAGACATGAGTGGTAGGGCAGAGGTTGGCACCTCATGTCCCCAAGAGCTCACCTAGGCAAGTCCCTGCTCTGGGCCAGTCCCCTAGCACCTTCTGCTAGGTCTGTTCCAGTAGCTCTCCAACTGGTTACCCATTCTCAAGCCCTACTTCTAGTCAACGTCGAAGTCCTGCGATGCTACACACAGCACTCTCCATCACCTTCTCTATTTCCTTCTCAGCACAATTTGCTTTTATCTGTTGCTATGTTTATCATTTGTCTCTGCACCCAGCCCCCAACTAATCTGTAAGGTCCCTTAGGCAGGTTCCTTACCTGACAACTTCCTGCTGAGTCCCCAGTACTTGGAAGAGGGCCAGCTTTGTGGCAGGCACTTCCATACGTGTTGAGTGAGTAAATAATTAAGCGGTATCAAAAATACCTGTTAGTACCAGGGATAAAGAAAGGTTTCCTGGAGCTGTCACTTGGCATAAGGATAGGGTTGAAAGAATGAATGAACGGATGAATGAATGAGTGAGTGAATGAGGTGAACACTGAGGCCTAGAGGCCTTCCGTGCCTGGGGCTTCACCTTGTGTAGTCCATGATGGTGTTGAGCCGGTGAGCGATGGTGAGAACAGTACAATCGTCGAACTGCGTCCGGATAGTGGACTGAATGAGGTCATCTGTTTCTAGGTCCACGGCCGCTGTAGCCTCGTCCAGCACAAGGATCTTTGTCTTCCTCAGCAGGGCCCGGGCCAAGCAAACGAGCTGGCGCTGCCCAATACTTGGCCACGAGAAAAAGACCAGGAGACAGAGTGTCAAAACCACCCCTGACCCTGAGCCCTGGCCTGAGCTGGGAGAAGGGAGAAAAGATACTTGGTGTTCCTTAGACCAGGAGAGTACGAGGGGGGACCCAAAAAAACCTGGAATTATCTTCTGGAGGGTGGGCCCCTTGTAGTACAGGCTTCCCCAGCTAGGTGCGTGTTCTAGGAACCCATCTGTATCAGTATGCTAGCTGGCATTGTTGTGAGGGGCTGTGTTGGGCTTCAGTGAATTTTTCTGAGGACTCTTTCAACATGTGTGTCCATTTCATGATGGGTGATTTAGGAGCACACCTGCCCACACCGTACTGAGTGTTCGGCAGTTTTTGACCAAAAATGCCCTGACACCTTTGCCCCACCCTCCCTATTCACCAGATCTCAATGGAGTGACTTTTTTTTGTTTCCCCAGACAAAAAATCCTCAAAGGGAAAAGCTTTGCTGATGTGGAAAAGGTGAAACAAAAAAATGGCAGAAGCACTAAAAGGCATCAAAATCGACAAATTCAAAAACTGTTCTGAGCAATGGGAAAAACATCTTGATAGGTATGTTACATCAAATGGAGAGTACCTTGAAGGTGACTAAAGTTTAAACATGTAAGAATAAATGCACAGTTTTTTAATAAATTAACTCCAGGGGTTTTTTTGGTCTCCTCTTGTAGGTCCACTCCCACATCTGAGCCTATGGCAGACACCGCTAATGGGTCAGAATGTTTTGACTGTTAAGTGGGCTCAGAATCATTCTCAGACACAGGGCTCAGAGCAATATCCAAAATACTTGACCAGTTCAGCTTGGGTAGTGTGACAGACAGCAAAAGGGGCCCATATCCAGGTCCCCACCTCAGAGTCTGATGTGCCTAGCTTTGGCCAGTGGGGTGCTGGCAGGCATAAGGCCGGCAGAAGTTGACATGGAATGTATGCCAGGCTTTACACACTCGTGCATCTCGGCCGTCACCATGACAACATGCCTGGGCTGGTCTGCTGGAGGAGGGACACGTGCAGCAGACCACAACTGCCCCACTGGAGGACAACGAGATCAGCCTCAGCTGCAGACCCCCAGCCGCATGAGCCCAGCCATGAAACCTGAAACCCACTTCACAGACACAAACTGAGGGTCCAAGAAACAAAAGGCTCATCTGTGGCTGAGCTGGGACTCACACCTGGCTCTGACACAGTGGCAAAAGGACAGACTCTTCAAACAACCTGGCTGAGGTGAAGATGAGGAGACCACCCACCCCCCTCAACCTACCTCAGGTTCTCCCCGCCCTCCGCGCACTCGTGGTTCAGCTTATCAGGAAGACCTGTCACGAAGTTCTTCAGGTGAGCCAGCTCCAGCGACGTCCAGACTTCTTCATCCGAGTACTGGCTGAATGGGTCCAGGTTCATGCGCAAGGAACCCGAAAACAGAACGGGGTCCTGTCCAAGAGAAGACAAGCAGACGGCGTGTGAGGCTCACGTCAGACAGGACAGGGACGGGGCGCAGAGGAGAGACACAGAGAGCTCTTGCCAGAATTGTTCAAGATGCGGCTCCAGAGTTCCTCAGAATCACTGTTTCTGGAGATATTAATAATGAAAAAAATCTGGAAATTCTGGGTTAAGTGAAATAAAATAGATTACGTGGTTTGTTTTTTTTTTTGCAAAACTTCCTGGATCTTTCAATATGCAAATGTGTCAGGAACCTTCCAGAAAGGAGGTGCAATATGGGTAATTCTTAATCGTAGAGTACTGTGGACTCCTCCCCATCTCCTATCCAAAAAAAATCTTCGAAGAAATTTTAGGGAAAATAACACTAAAAGGCAACATATTAGGGAATCACCACCTTCGGAAATCAGTCTAGAAAATTCTCATTTCTGATTTAGCTCTTGGAAGGGTCAGAGAAGCTTGTCCTGACTGAGAGCCGGCAGAGAAGCCAGTGTCCTAGTGGGTCCTGTTAGATGCTCAGGGCACTGTCCGCAGGGCGGTGGACATGACAGAATGATACCTGCTTGATTCCCATTGCCATTTATATGCACAGAGGAGATTCAGTGGAGAAGAAACAGGATAATTTTCATAAAAGTAATAAAGTGGGAACAATTTATATTTGTCCATTGAAAACAGACATCTGCTGCTTTTACTGGGACCCGGCACAGCCCCGTGGCCTCACACAGACCCCACCTGGGGGATGATGGTGATCTTGAACCGCAGATCGTGCAGGCCAATCTTGGCGATGTTGACGTTGTCGATGATAATCTCTCCCTCGGCAGACTCATTGATCCGAAACAAGCCCAGGGTCAGGGATGACTTCCCAGCTCCTGTCCGCCCCACGATGCCAACCTGTGGAACAGGAAGGGCCCAGCGTGAAGTGGGAATGCCACTATCTGGGGGACACCTCCTGCCCCAGAATACCCTCACTTCAGGTTCTGCCCTAGAGCAGTTCAGTCATCTGGTCAACCCAACTCCTGCCACACCCCCCTCACCGCTTCCTGGAGACATGCCTATAGGGGCTGTTTGGCCAAAGGTCAAGAAGGACTCTCTTCTTTTTGCTCTTCATATAAGTTAAAATTATAATTACCTCTTTCTGTAAGTGACTGGAGACTTCCAAAGATCTAGGCATCAGGCAGGAGGGATTTCAATAAGGCCTTATTATTTTCAACTCAAGATAATATTAAGTAATAATCAGATATTCCCCTCACATTGTTTTTTTCAGTTCTTAGATGGTGAGTTTCCCCATCCTGAGCAGCTGAAATAGCTCAAAGACTCAAGGAGATCCCCCTGCACACCCGCTCCTCTCCATCCCAGCTGCGTGAGCACACAGGGGTTACGGATGTGATCTGGTCTCCACTGGCCCTCTCTGGAGGGAACTGGGCTCCCATGCAATGGTCAGTGATTAATGTTCCTGACATTCAACTCCCCTTCCACCTGGGCTCTGAGAAGTGGGCCTCCCCGAGCACTAAGAGCAGTGTCACAGAGCAGTCTCACAGTACGACAAGCCATAAAGCCTCAGTGGGAACACCACCCTTCTGTTCTTCCTCTCACGATAAGTTAGAGAATTATCTCATGGGATCAGAACATTCTGAGTCTGGTAGAAGGGGCAGTTTAACAAGTCCATATGTTCAGAGATGAAGGCAGCACTGTCCCCTGGAAAATGGCCAGGAAGAACCGTGGCCTAATAATTCCTGAGGAGAGTCTGAGGGTGTCAGGGGAAGGATGTCTTCCAGGAACAGCTTGAGACCAAGGATAATGTTCCAAATTTTAACAATCTCACACGTCCCTTGAGTCATCCCTAGCAGTGACGGTGACATCTTTCTATCCTAGAGATCCCAAACTCAAGGCCAGCAGGGTCTAGGTAGGCACCTGATTGGAGTGGAGGGTGGGGACAAGGTGAATGAGGAGACTCATGTCTTGTCTAGCAAGAGCCAGGCGGGGAGACTTTTGGTCAAGATGGTGACATAGGTAAACACAGCTTGCCTCCTCCCACAACCACATCAAAATTACAACTCATTTACAGAACCACCATCACTCAGAACCGGCAGAAATTGAGTTGAATAGAAGAAGTCTGATAACTACAGAATTAAAGAAACCACATCCATCCAGACTGGTAGAAGGGACGGAGACACCAAACAGGCTAGTCCCACATACATGTGTGGTGGATAAAAATTTGGGAGGGATATCTCGGGAGCGAGGATTCCCAGACCCATACCAGGTCACCTAGCCCAGGGTTCCAGTCCCAGGAAGGTAAGTCCCTGTAACTTCTGGCTGTAATAACCAATAAGGATGGAGTCAGTAGAAGAAACCACTGGAATCTCAGGCAGTTTCTCTTCAGGAACCCACATACAAACTTACTTGGACTCACTCCCTCTGAGCTCCAGCACCAGGGTAGCAGCTTGAAAGGCACCAGTGACATACAGGGAGAAACAGAAGTATCTGGCATCAAGGCAAGAGCTAGGGGAGAGCTTTCTCCCAGACAGAAAGGCAAGCAGAGCCACAGAGCCGACAGGTGGGAGCCATGTCTGAGATTCCATCAACCTGGCTAACACAGTCTGCCCCACCAGAGAGATCCCCCGAGGCTCTATCCCAACTAACTTAACAGCTGTTAACAGTAGCTTTTCCATATGAATGGCTGGTCTTGGTTCATGCTTCACAACTTCCTAATTCTTTTCAAGCAAGCAACAGCTGACCTCAGTACCTCTTGCTAAGTAGCCCCAGGCCCAGCACTAGCAGCAACCAGCCTAGATTCACAGCTTGGCTTTGCCTGGAAATCTCCAGGCCCAGCACAAGTGGCAGCTGTCTCAGATTTCTTTATAGCTCATGCAGGGTGGCCCCAGGCAGAGCACAGGTCAGGGCTGACCTTGGCCTGCACCACCCAGGAAACCCCAGGACACATGCACCCAGTGGACATCTATAGACCACACCAGAGCATCACCACACTGCCCCTGCACAGCTGATCCTCCTCAGAGGACTGAGGTTTGTGGTCAGCCAGCAGAGCCAATCCTTGCAACTTACTAGCCTGGGTAAACCCCTCCCATTGACCTGCCAACAGCAATCAAGGCTCAACAAGAGGGGGGTGTACTCAGCCCACATGAAGGGTGTACCTTGAGTACCTAGCTCGGGTGATAGGGGAGGCTGTGTCACTGGACCCTACAGGACATCTGCATTAGGCCACACTACCAAGACATGGAGTCATAGCAGTTCTACCTAATGCATAGAAACAAACACAGGGAGGCTGAAAAGTGAGGAGACAAAGAAACATGGTCCAAATGAAGGAACAGATCAAAACTCCAGAAAAAGAAATAAACAAAATGGAGATAAGCAATCTATCAGATGCAGAATTCAAAACACTGGTTATAAGGATGCTCAGTGAATTTAGTGAGGATCTCAACAGCACAAAAAAGATCTAGTCAGAAATGAAGACAACACTAATTGAAATAAAAAACAATTTACAGAGAAACGACAGTATAGTGAATGAAGCTGAGAATCAAATCAATGATTTGGAATATAAGGAAGCAAAAAACAACCAATCAGAACAACAAGAAGAAAAAAGAATCCAAAAAACTGAGGTTTTTGTAAGCAGCCTCTGGGACAACTTTAAGAGGTCCAAAATTCACAGCATAGGGGTGCCAGAAGGAGAAAAGAAAGAAATTAGAACTCTATTTGAAAAAATAATGAAAGAAAACTTTCCTAATTTCATGAAGGAAATAGACATGCAAGTCTAGGAATCACAGAGAATCCCAAACAAGATGGATACAGCGAGGCCCACACCAAGACACATCATAATTAAAATACTAAAGGTTAAAGATAAAGAGAGAATCTTAAAAGCAGCAAGAGAAAAGCAGACAGTTACCTACAAAGGAGTTCCCATCAGACTGTCAGCTGCTTTCTCAAAAGACTTTGCAAGCAAGAAGGGGCTGGAAAGAAATATTCAAAGTCATGAAAAGCAGGGACCTATAGCCGTGCAGCAAAATTATCTCATTTAGAATTGAAAGGCAGATAAAGAGCTTCCCAGACAAGAAGAAACTAAATGAGTTCATCATCACCAAACCATTACTATATGAAATGTTAAAGGAACTTATTTAACAAAAAGATCAAAACTATGAATAACAAAATGGCAATAAATACATACTTGTCAATAATTCAATCTAAAAACTAAGCAAACAAGAACAGAGACAGAATCATGGATATGGAGAATGTTTTGATGATTGCCAGATGGGAGGGGAGTGGAGGGGAATGGGTGAGGAGATTAAAAAGTACAAATAGGTAGTTACAGAATAGCCATGGGGATGTAAAGTATAGTACAGGAAATGGAGTAGCCAAAGAACTTATATGCACGACCCATGGACATGAACAATGGTGTGGGGATTGCCTGAACAAGGGAGCGGGGTGGGTTGCTGGGTGGAGGGGGGAAAGTTGGGAGAACTGTAATAGCAGAATCAATTAAAAAAAAAAAGAGCCAGGTGGGGAGTATGAACCCAGTGTTGCTAGACGTAATCTTTCAAGAAAAGCAGAAAATAGATTTTTTACCAAGACAAGTTCAAAATTTTTCAATATTTGCAACTTATTCAGATTTTTTTCAAAACCTACCTGTGGGCCATATTTGGCTCTCAGGCTACCGGTATACAACCGCATCAGACACTGAGTGGCTATTACTTCCACAATCCCCTCCAATAGAAGGCCACTCCACCACATGGTATGGCTCTGATGGACTGGGGGAATGACAGTTGGTTTCATCTGCTGGTCATAACCTGTGCCCAACTGTGAATGGGTGGGAGAACAATGCACACCCACCTTTTCCCCTCCATTGATGGTGATGTTGATGTGCTTGAGAACCATGTCCAGGTCCTCTCGGTAACGCAGGCTGTAGTCCCGGAATTCCACTCCTCCCACCTCGGGCCAGGTGCTCGACGGAGCCATCTCCTCGATCCTCCAGGGAGCCTGCAATGGGCGGCAGGAGGGCAGGAGAGGGGGATAAATAAGGAATCTGAAGTCCATCTCAGATCCCAGAAGTCCCTTGGGGCCCCAAGGCTCTATATGAGCTGGACTCCACGACCCCCCTGACCTTACCTCCCTCTTGTTCACTCTGCTCCCCACAATGACTTCAGGGTGACTCCTCCAGGCTTTTGCACTTGCAGCTTCCTCTGCCTGGAACGCTCTTTCCCAAGCCTGCTCCCCCACATCCTGCAGATCTGAGGTCAATTCGGACCACCCTCCTAACCCTGCACCCATCTTTCTTCTCCCCTGCTCCACTCTCCAGACCCCCCATCTCTCCTCTCCCCTGCTTCCTTCTCCTTCAGGGCCCCTGCTGTTGTAAGTGTGCATCTGTTTATTCTGTCGCCCATGCCCACCAGAATATCCACTCTGTGAGGACAGATTCTTTGTTTGTTCATTGTTACATCCCAGGGCCCAGAGCATACAGTAGGCAATCAATAAATATTTATGGACTGAATCACAGTGGTCTTCTCTGAACAGACGCAAGGTTGACTGACTGCCTTCTAGGTCTGGAGTGCAACAATGAAAGTGGCAGCTGATACTTACACATCACTCTATCATATTACCTCACTTAATCCTCACTAGCACCCTGTAAGTGGGGTCCTTTCATCACCCGTTCACACATGAGGAAATGGAGACACAGAATATAGGGTAGTAACTTGCCCTGGGGTCACACAGCCGCTATGTCTGAAACCTTTCTCAGTCTGGTTCAGCGCTTCCTGTGACTTACAAGTGGACATGCTCCAGGCCAGCCTCGGGGCCACCACAGGGGAAAGAAAGGAATGGAGAGAACAATGGAGAACTTCATCCTTTCTCCCCTGTAATATCCTTATATTATTTTTTTACAGTAGGCATAGCTCCCTTTTATAATTTATGCATGTAAATTATGTGTGTATGCAAATACATATGTAAATTATATTTTTATGTGTGTAAATTACAGCGCGTCCCTTTGGGCATGCTGTAAAAACACAGGAGGGACTGGAGAGAAGTAGATGGGACTTTCTGACTATAAATATCTATTATACATAATATATAACATATAAACAATAAATAAGTATATATCTCAATAGTGGTAAGATTCCGGGTGATCTTTACTTCCTCTTGTATTTTTTACATATACTTATTCTAAAAAATGTAACACTAAATAAAAAGTAAAATATTTTTGTAAAATAAATTGAATTCACAGTTTAAGTGGATGACCTGCTTGGCATGTGAATTATAGCTTAAGGCTGTTATTAAAAAAATAAATTCAATGTAAGGTGGGAAACTCCTTGGTGTAATACACTCTTATTTCTACAGGGGTCACTCATACCACTCTTGCCGATGCCCTCTGATGAAATGGAACCTGGTTCACCATTTCAGAGTGTTAAAGGACTGGGGCCATTGGTCACCTGTGCATATCCTTTAAGATGGAGTTTAACTGGGGCCGCCTTGGTCTCATCCCAAGGGGCATTCTCTTGGGAGGCAGTGCAGCACAGTGGCACAGACCTGAATCCTGGGTCTGACACTTACCCCCCCACCATGTGATCTTAGGCAAGTATTAGTAACTAAAGCTCTCTGTCTCTGTTTCCTCCCCTGGAAAGTGGGAGTAATAATAGAATGTGAGTTATAAGACTGTGCAGAGAACACGCAGACTACGTGAAATGTTTAGGACAGGGCGTGACACCTCCATAAGGGCACAAGACGTGTCCCTATTGTTATTATTGGTGGCCATGGAGATGGTGGTGGTGTGGAGACAGAAAAAGGCAGCTATTGGGGGCAACATGGCACTGAAGTCTGGACACTTGGGTCCTACCGACTGCTCATAGCCTTGAATCAGCCACCGTCTCTCTCGAGGCTACCTTTCCTCCATCTACAAACAGTAACCGCAGGGTTTCCCAAACTTGGGTCAATTCCTTACCAGTATCATGATCTTTACAATATCCATGTACTGATTTTGGTTATTGACTTTGAATACTTTTAATCACCTTATTTGTCCTTAACTTCAAAACTTATTAAAAGAAGAAACTAGTCTCATTTCCCATAGCAAGTCCCCCATAAAAATATGTAACAAGTAACATTAAGTTTGTCAGACAGAGGTTGCCTGTTGCAGGCATGCGTGGTTTGGCTCAAAGAGTTCTTTTCGGTAAAGCCACACTGAAGGTCAAGGTCAAAAGGTAAGGGCAGGGGCTTGCTCTACCTCCTTTTCAGTTTCTGAATACTCCTTGAGTCTCTCCACAGCCACAATGTTGGTCTCCATTTCCGACGACATCCGAACAAGCCAGTTCAAGTAGGCGGTGATCTGTGAGTGGAAGAGTCACATGGAGCTTCTAGAGCAGGGACACCCACGCCCTGGGCCATGGACCAGTAGTGATCTGTGGCCTGTTAGAAACCGGGCCTCCCAGCAGGAGGTGAGTGGCGGTTGAGTGAGCAAAGCTTCATCTGTATGTACAGCTGCTCCCCATCACTCGCATTGCCGCCTGAGCTCTGCCTCCTGTTAGATCAGCAGTGGCATTAGATTCCCATAGGAGCACGAACCCTACTGTGAACTGTGCATGTGAGGGATCTAGGTCGCATGCTCCTTATGAGAATCTACTGCCTGATGATCTGAGGTGGAGCTGAGGCCGTGAAGCTACTTCTAGGGAGTGACTGCAAATACAGATTATCATTAGCGGAGAGGTTTGACTGCACAGAGACCATAATAAATCAATCTCTTGCAGATTCCTATCAAAACCCTGTCAGTGAGTGGCAAGTGACAAGTAAGCTGCATCTGGTGGCAGGCTTTAAGTCAGAACCTGACACTTACTTTAGCCTATGAGTGGCTTGCCCATTACTTTATTTACCACTTCTGCCTGCACCTCTTTCTCGCACTGTGCACTTGTCTCAATCACAGATTTGGTAAGTCCACATGCTAACACCAGCATGGGTGGCATAATAATTTCATTACATATTACAATATAATAGTAACAGAAATAAAGTATACAATAAATGCAATGCACTTGAATCATCCCCAAACCATCCCCTCCGCTTCCCGTCCATGGAAAAATTGTCTTCCACAAAACCTGTCCCTGGTGCCAAAAAGTTGGGGACCGCTGTTCTAGAGTGAGCTTGAGTTGCTTTATTTTAATGAATTGTAAGTTGTGAACTATTCCAGATAAGAAAGGTATAGTAATCAGCAACCCTGCAAAGAACCTTCAGCAGACTTGCTGCACAGCATCTCTTAAGCACATTTCAAAATCACCCATGGGCCACACTGGTAGTCAGAAAGGAAATGAGAAAGTATTTTGAACTAGAAAATAACAGGAAAATACAATGTATCAGAATTTGGGAGATGCAGCTAAAGCAGTGCCTAGATGGAAATGTATAGTACTAAGAGCATTGCCCTTGTAGCTGGAGGCATCCAGGCCATGAGTCTAATCTCTGCTGCCCTAGTCAGTCACTGGGATCTACACTTGCTCCTGAAGCTCCACTCAGCCTCTTCCTTTCCCACAGTCCCACAGGGACCCACACCAAGGACAGCTGGCTTTCCCAGGAAAAGAAATGGAAAATCCGGCAAGAGTCTCCCCTCTTACCTGCAACGAATAAGACACTGAGAGGCCCACCAAGCCGGCGCTGAGGCTGTGCCGGGAGATCACTGCGAATAGGGTGGCAAACAGGACAATACAGTTGCCCACACACTCGAGCCGCACAGCCAGCCACCTGCATGAGACACACAGGCAGAGAGGTGGACAGGTGCACACACACCTGGAATCAGCTTTTCAGAGACTTGGTTTCCAGTTCTGGGGGGTGGGGGTGGGGAGGAGGCACTTGGCTAACTGAAATAATCCCTGGTAGTTCCGAGAGAGGCCTTCTCTGCCCAGCTCCTAGGACACACAAGGATGGAGGGCCAAAGGGACATGATTTCAGGAACTCCTCATTCATCTGGCAACCCCAGGGATTAGAGACAGTTCTCTGGAAGCAATCATCCCAGAAAACTGAAGCTCGCTTTTCTTAAAAAACATCTTTTTGTCATGGAAACCTTTAAAATACAGCCATGTGTGCATTTTTGTAAAAAGATGTCCTGAACAACTAAAATACTAAGCAGTCATCAACTGTAAGAGGCACCACTGATTTAAAGTAACTTCTCTTGGCAGGGAATGGCAGCAGTGAGAAAAAAAAATACTATTTTCAATGTAACTGTTAGGGTTCCCACACCCAGATTATCTTTATCTCAGAAACATTAAACTGTATTATTTTTTACCTTTTAAAATATAAACAGATATTTTGATGGTGTAAAGATAACTTCTACAAGGTATCACACAGCATTAGGAATATTATTTTAATGTTTCAAAATGGAAAGCATTCTAGGGAGATGGTTTAACCTTTTTCTACTCCAGCCCTTAAGATTCATGTGACTGATCTTCACAGGGTGGGTGACTCGCACAGACAGACCCACATTCTGACAAACTCCCTAAAATTCTGAAGGGAAGGCAAGGTCTCCAGTAACTCATGGTCTCCCACCCAGTCTTACACTACAGGTTTTTTTCTATATGAGTGGCTACCCCTTCCCCAGCATTTTCTGCCCCACATCTCAAAACCTAGATCAGGATGTAAGCAAGTGAGGGGAATATTTAGGGATGAGACACTTTTCTAAATTCAGTCAATAATTAGCAAACCTCTTTTCCTTTTTTTATTAATGCTATTCAATCATTCTTGATGCCCCAAATGGCAATTTCACATGGTTCAACCTAATATTAATTTACTTCCAATACACATCAGGGGGTGCAGGTCAGGGGTGATCACCTTCAGCTGGAAACTAGGGTAGGAAAATACTCAACAGCTGAATCTGCCCATCACTAGGATTGTGTATTTCCAAGATGACCGTGAAAGGGCAGGCTCTGCAGTCCTTTCTGGCTCCAGAAGAACTCTCTGTCCTGCACTTCAATGCCCCTGGAGTGCTAAGTGATCGTAGTGCTTGTCTGCTTTGAGTGGTCGGTCTGTCCTTGCCAAGTCTAACCATTCTCTCTGAGGGGTCTGAGTCTGGCTTCACACCCTCCTCCACGAACTACGAGGGCTTCTCAGTGCGCCCACCTGTTGGCCACGATGCTGGGGTAATAGGCCTTCTGGTTCTCGTCCACCTTCAGGTCACTCTGGTGGATGAAGCGCTCCTGTTCCGCAAAGGCTCGGATGACACTGACCCCCAGCAAGGTCTCGTTGAAGTGGGAGTAAACCGGGGAGCGGCTGACTGACTCCAAGCGCTTCAGCTGCCGCGAGGAGGCCACGTAGAACCTCTGGGAGAACAGAAAGGACAGGGGAGTCAGCAGAGCTGCCCTCATGCTAGCCTCCTAGGGCTGGGCTGGAGGAAGTCTGGACGTGAACGATGATTCCAGGAGGCCAAATGCTGGAGCTGGGCTGCCCTTAACAGGTGTCTCCACTCACCTGGTGACTGCCGGCACGGAACCAATGACAACGACAATAACAATAGTAACGCTAACACTCACGTGCTGTGGTCACCTCCTCGCACTGGCTCCCTTTCTAAACATCCTGGATGGAAACTGTTCTACAGTGTTTCACCTGCTCAACTGACTCTACTTGTCAGATCTTCAGAATTCTATTCACTATGAAAATCTAACCTGAGACAAAATGTTTTTTAAAAGATTTACTTATTTTTAGAGAGGGGAAGGGAGGGAGAAACAGAGGGAGTGGAACATCAATGTGAAGTAAAAACATCGACTGGATGCCTCCCACATGCGCCCTGACGGGGACCGAATCTACAACCCAGGTAACTGCCCTGACTGGGAATCAAACCGGCGACCCTTCGCCTTGCAGGGTGACACCCAACCCACTGAACCACACCAGTCAGGGCTGAGACAAATTTTTGTTAAGGGAATAATGTGATAAAAAAAATTATTGGCTTCCATTTGAAACTCTATTCCAGAAACACAATCCACACTCTGGACTCGCCTTACTCTTCAGAGACCAAGACAGTGCCTGGTGCCCATGAACGACAATGGCCGCTCCAGGGGCAGCTGCCCGTGCCGGCAGTGGGCCGAAGGCTGCGATGCCAAGACACACAGCAAGTGGCGTCCGTGGAGGCCAGACCATTCCATGAGGCACAAATGCCTCCCTCCAGCAACACGGGAGCCCCTCAGAATTCCACATCACCTTACCTCGAACATTACTGTTTTATAAAAATGACTTGTTTTTAAATTATAACAGTAAAGAATATCCATTTTAAAATGTTGAGGGTAGGAGATATAGATAGGGAGAGTAAATAAATACTATAGTAAGTACATATCCTGAGACAAATAGGCATGATGCAAATTTCAGTGTATAGTCTTTTAGATCTTCCCCAAAAGAGAGTGCATACACACACACACACACACACACACACACACACACACACACACACATCCCCATACGTCCAAGGGGAGGGGGGGACCAGGACCAAAACCAAAACCAAAAAAATCCCCGGAATTATCTTGGGGAGAGCAGGCCCCTTGTAGTACAGGCTTCCCCCACTAGGTGAGCCCGTCCATATCAGCGTCCCAGCTGGTGCTGTGGGGGGCTGCATTCAGCTTCAGGGAAATTTTTTGGAAGATGCAACACATTTGCTCATTTCATGTTGGGTGACTTACCAGCAGGCCTGCCCACACCCTGCTGAGTGTTGGGCAGTTTTTGATCAAAAACGGCAACACCTGTGTGCCCCACCCTCCCTATTCACCCCATCTCACCCCCACATTTTTGTTTGTTTGTTTCCCTGGATGAAAAAAGTTCTCAAAGGGAAACATTTTGCAGATATGAAAGTGGTGAAACTAAAAAATGGCAGAAGCACTAAAAGGCATCAAAACTGACAAACTCCAAAACTGTCCTGAGCAGTGGAAAAACATCTCAATAGATGTACTGCATCAAATGGAGAGTATACCTTGAAGGTGACTGAAGTTTAAACATGTAAGAATAAACAGTCAATTTTTCAATAAATAAATTCCAGGTTTTTCTGAGTCCCGCCTTGTACATCCATCTAAAAGCAACTTTTTTACTGAGATGTAACACATCATTTATTCATACTGGCACAGCCACCACCTGATCAAAACCCAGAACAGTTCAGCACCCCAGAAATCCTCTCACAGCCCCCTGTGGCCAGCGTTCTGACTTGCTGAACCACACAGCAGGAACTCTGGAGTCTGGCTTCTTTCAGTCACCACAGTGAGTCTCTGCAAGACTCATCCATGCTGTGCACAGCCGTAGTTCCTTTCTTCTTATTGCTGAGTCACTTGCACTGTACTGTACGAACAGACCACACCATACTTACTCATTCTTTCGTAAGGGGCATTTCATTTGTTTCTAGTTTGGGGTTTTTATGAGTCAAGATGCTAAAATCATTCTACCATAGTTTTTGTTGTTGTGTTTTTGGCAAGATACAGTCTCTCATTTCTTTTGCATATAAATTAAGGAGTAAGAGTGTTGAGTTATAGGTTAAGTATATATTTAGCCAAAAGCCATTAAAAACAATCCCAACCCTTAGGCAATGTTTCATTTTTGGCCTCCTTTCTCAGTCCTGCCCACGCACGTTATGCACTTCATCTTAGTTAAAACAACAGTGAACATTCAACATGATCCTTAGCTAAATTCATTTCCTTTGTGGTTTAGAAATAAAGCTGGTGGTGTTGCAACAGCATCTCCCTTCTGATCCCCATTAAAGGTACGTATGATTCTGTCATGGAATCACTCCATGGTTTGCTCACGGTCCTGCTTACTGGAGATATCTGAGCTGCTTCAACTGTTGAATTCGGTCTATTTTGTTCTTTTGGATTGGGTCTTTCAGGAAAATTTCCAGCCAGAGTATGACCATGGGTGACATTTTTGGTAAGTGTAGCCAAATGATTTTCCAACACCGGCACGAAGCTGAAGCAAATACAGTGAGGGTTGGGGAACGTGCCTGTTCTGCCCTATTCCACCTTTGTTCATGCTCATCAGTCACTGGGCCACAGTGTGGTGGGGCCCGGGGGCTGGCTGACTGGACCGGGGCCTCTGGGGGGCCCTCCATGAGCAGGCTCTAGGTGAGCTGAGGCATGGAGCCCCTCATGATTCCTCACCCTTCTTTTGTGTTGCTGTCGTTATGCTGCATCGAAACCACCGTCCCCACCAGCAGCCGTGCTTCAGCTCACACTTTAGGGGAAAGAACGGACCAGCAGACTCATGGTTACCAGCACAAGCTTTGGAATCACAAGGACATAAGCTCATACGGCCAGCTCAGCCGTTAGGGCCTCAACAAGCTCGTCTGTCAGCTGGAAACACTATCTGTGTGCAACTGCCTAAGAAACCACAGGGGTGCTGACTCAGCTATCGTGCGCTCCCTGCCCTGTTCCCCTTCCTCAGCCTTGTTTTCTGAAACACAAATGTGAAGCAGTCTGCGGTATTACCAAACTCACGGAACTGCCCTGCCAGCCCTGAGTGGCCCACCTCAATATTTCTATTACAAGGGAGAAAAACAAACTCCTATCTTGTGTAAGCTGCTCTTATTCGAGTCTCAGTTACCTGCAGGGAGCTTAGGAACTAGAGAATTTTGTAAAATTCTGAAGGAAATTTCAATAATAAAAGTATCTTTATAGCTATAGCTTTTTTTCTAAGTCACAGCTACAAAAATAAAACTTGCTGGGAAAAAAGTACATTTGGTTATCGCAAGCTAAAACCAATCAGCTAAGGTGCTCAGAACCGACAACAAATCCAGGCTCGGCCAGCCAACCCTCACCAGCTCCACGGTGGGGAAATGGTGCCCTGCAGTGAGCCCTGTGCCCACGTGGGAGCACGATGCACAGGAGCCCAGGAGCCCAGGAGCCCACCTCTTACCTGGACAAAGAAGTAGATGAGGCCCAGGGGCGGGATGATGACAGCGGCGATGGGAGTAGCCAGCAGGATGATGATGCAGGCGCCAATGACATTGAACATGGAGCCCATGAACATCTTGATGACCTGCGGGATCATGGAGTCCACTGTGTCCATCTCCTTGGAGAAGCGGTTCACCAGGTTCCCGCTGGGTGTCCGCTCAAAGAAGCTCATGGGTGACCGCAGGACATTGTGCAGCAGGTCCAGGTGCAGGCGGCGGGAGGCGACGATGCCCCCGATGGACAAGGCCATGGAGTAGCCAAACACCCCGATACCTACAAACACGCTGGTGTCAAACTCCACACTGGGAGAGGGGCCGAGCTGGGGGCTGGGATGAGTGGCCCTGCCACCGTGTGGATGCAGCAGGGCTGGGCCCCCAATTTATATTAATAATAATAGTAGTGGCTATTATTTTTATCGAGCGCTAACTATACGCTAAGCATTGTACTGGAGTTTTGCATATATCTAAGCCTTATGACAACTCTGCAGAAATTAGATTATTACACCCTTCACAGATGAGGACACTGAAGCTCAGGTGAATTCTGTAACCCTCAAAGTTCTCAGCCAATCAGCAGCAGAGATGAGGTTCCACTCCAGGCAGCCTGCTCCAGGTTCCTGCTCTCCATCAGCTGGTCCACTGCTCTAGAGCAGCCCAGTGGGGCAGAGCCTCCTGTGACAGTGGACACAGTCTCTATCTGCACTGTCCAACGCAGGAGCGGGGAACCACATGTGGCTGCTGAGCACATGAAATGTGGCTACTGCAACAAACTGAATTTTTACTTTAATTTAAATGAAGGGAAACTCAAATAGCCACCTGTGGCCAGTGACCACCATTACAGGACAGCACAGCTCTGGAACAGACACTGATGCTGTGTGAGCCCAAGTGAACATCACACCCTCTCTGTGCCCCACTTCCCATCAATTATAATTTGGAGTCCACAGCCATTTGCCCTAAGAGGGCATTACAGGGACTGAGAAATTTAAAACACCCATGTCTGCTGTTCTGGGTTTTTTCCAAAGCCATCTCCTAGAGTTCAGGAGGCATTTGTGGCTCCTCTAAACAACCCACGGAAGGGCACCCACTCTTTGCAGAGAGGTGATCTCACTGGGATGGAGAGGCTTGTATCCTCGCCTCCTTAGTCAAGGAAGAAACCCAGGAGGCAGGGCTAAAGTGACAGGCTCTGGAGTCAACACTGTCAACTCTCGTCTCTGTCACCTACCAGGTGTGGGACCTTCCACAAGTCACTCAGCCTCCCTCTGTGCCTCAGTGTCCCCATCTGTAACATGGGAACGATATTTATAGCACTGTCAAATGTAAGGGGTCTACCCAGCACTGTGCCTGGTGTACAGTAAGTCCTCAAAAATGTCAAATATGCACCCGTTTACTGTATACATCGAGTACCACAGACACTGAATGCACATGTGCACACACCAACACACGCCTTTAACGGGCACAAGAACACACAGCTGCTGTACTGGGCGGCGTGGTGCTTATGAGCGTGGGCTGCGAGCCAGACTGCCTCGCTCACGGCCAGCACTGCTGCACACCAGCGAGTGACTGGGGGTAACTTGCTTATCTCTGGGCATCAGTTTCTACATCTCTAAAATGGGGAAAATATTAGCTCCTACCTCATGGGGTTTCTGTAAGTGTCACTAAAACAAGTTAAAACACATAAAAGCAGGCACCAGAACAGAACCAGGCACCAAGTAAATGCTCAGTAACCACCAGCCGTTGGTATTAATGCTGTTGTGCCTGGGGACTCTCGTGGGACCCCAAGAAGGGCAAACAGCAGCGTTTCTCCACCTCTCACTGTTGACCTTTGGTGCTGGGAAGACCTCTGTTGTGGGATCTGCACAGTGCACTGCAGGGTGCTTAGCGACACCACTGGTCTCTAGATGCCAGGAGCACCCATCACCCCCCTCAGAAGTTGTGACAACCATAAACATCTCCAGACATTGCCAAATGTCACCTGCACAGCAATACTACACACACGTTAGGGATTCTCATTCCCAGATAGCAGGGAAAAGCCCGCAAATGAGACTGTGCAGAAGCACCAATGCTCCAGGTGGCCTCTCTTCCTCAACTTCCTCATCTGTAAAACGGGCACACTGAAGCTCCCCTCTACCTTCTAGGGCCACATGAAACAAAACATTTAAAAAACATTCATTCCACAAATATATGAGTGTCTACTGTGTGTCAGGTACCATTCGTCTGGGTTTGGCTTGGTTGGGGGCCTATAAAACCCTGACAAGTGGGGGAACCAATTCTCTCACAAGACACAGAACTGGTTCCAAGTGCCAAAATCCAATGGGGCAGAGGAGGGTCCCAAGGGGCAGCTCCCACCTTGTGAGATGCCCAGGGCTCCATAGACACTCAGCCGGACTTTAGTGTGCTCCTGGGTCCCATTGACGATGGGGTCATCGGTCCACAGACTGAGCCAATAGTTGGAGGCCAGGGCAGCAACGTGGTTACACAAGAAAAGGAAGATGCTGAGAAAGGAGATGAAAAGTCCAATGGCCTTCATGTACTCCCAGTACACGGAGAGCTTGACCTGGAGGCCATGGGAAAGAAAGCCTTTTACACAATGCAGCAACCCACCCAAGGCCAGCACCTGCGTAGTTCAGTCCCTCCACCTGTGTGCACAGCTATGACACCCGCCCCTCATTTTTTGACAAAGACAGTCCGCAGCAGACAAAGCCAAGGTCTCTGCCCCTGCTGGGCTTGGTTTCCACAAACTCGAGGCATCTTTCCTCATGTGCGCGCTCACCGTCGTGTCAGACTCTCCAGGCTGAGTTCTGCGTCACAAAAGTCATGTCTGGACTACCGTCTGGTTGAACGGTAACAGTGAAAGCTCGGAGGTCTCATGTGTAACTGAGTGCTTCCTGTTTTTTTCTTTTTCACGTCTCTGTTCTTCAAACTCACATTGTGGGAAGGGGGCGCCAGAATAAAGGACATTTTGGGGGGACCACTTGGCTCCTCATGTAGCTGAGCTGCCTGCCTTGCCTGAATGACTCTGTGGGACTCGGGCACTCCCTCCTCACGAGCAGTGGGACGTGGCAGCGTGGGAGGCACAGGTGGCCGGGTGGGCTGGACCCTGCTCCACTCTTGGCCTGACTTTGGCAATTTACACCCCGACCCCGTCCCCATTTTCCTCGTGTAAAAAATGCAGGTAACCCTAGGACGCATCTCCCCTGGAGGGTGCCATTCAACGGGCCCGGCCTCTCTGGCCCTTCCTTCTCAGGCCCGTGGTTCAGGGTCACTTCTCTGGCTCCCTGGAGGGTCGGGGAGAGCAATGGGGAAGGGCACACGACAGCCACCTCCGCCCCCAGCCACAGGTGTGATGGCAAGAGGAGGGGGCAGGCTGGGGACAGAGGTTCTCGGGAGACTCCAGACTCATCCAGGCGGGTCTGAGGAGCGTGCCCCACCCTCACGTGGTGCCATGCCACCTTTCATGAGACAGTTGTCTTTCTTTATGTACTATTTTTATTTATTTTAAAAACGCTGTTCCCTGTCCTTAAACAAACAAATAAACAAAAACCCCTACATTTATTTTTTAAAAATAAACTTTGGATTATTGCCACAAGTGGAAAACTACTGCTGGCCAATATAGACGATGGTAAAAACAAAACACAAGACAACAAGAGCATTAACCGCACTCAGCTTGTTACAAAGGAAGGTTAGCAATCGTCCATGGCAGAGACTCGAATGTCTGTGTCCCCCTAAAATGCATGTGTTGGAACCCTGGCCCCTAGTATTAGGCATTAGGAGCTGGAGCCTTTGGGAAGTGACTGGTTTCATGAAGGTGAGTGGGGTCAGTGCTCTTATAAAAGGAGGCTTCCAAAGGCCCCCAGCCCCTTCTGCCGCATGAGGACGCAGGAAGAAGACGCTGTCCGTGAGCGAGGAAGGAGGTTCTCGCCAGACACCAAACATGCTGGTGCCTGGATCTCGGACTCACCAGCCTTGGGTGTGTGAACAACAAACGTGTGTTGTGTGTGAGCCCTCCAGTCTATGATGTTCTTGCTATAGCAGCCCAGATGGTCTAAGCTAGTTATTAAATTAAAGACAAGCTAGCAACCAACTTTCTCAGTGATGTAATTGTAAGGGCTAAAAGAGAAATGAAAAAAATTTTTCTTCTGACTATGTAATTTCATATTCTTTAGCTCCATGTCTGTAACAGTCTGAAACGGACTCATATAAAATGAAACCCCGCATGGTAAGAAACCCTGATTTAAAGCAACCAGGTCACCTACTGCTAATGAGAGGCCCCCAGCTGCTCAAAGGAGGTGGCAGTGAGTACTGCAGGGACTACAGATGCCCACCCTGGAGTCGGACTGCTAGGGTTCAAATCCCGGCTTTGCCACTCATCAGCTACAACCTTGGGTAAGTCACCTAGGCTCTCAGGCCTCAGTTCCAGGCACTTAAAAGAGTACTTCTACAGGCTCCTCATCAGGAAGACATGAGCTAGTAGAAACAAAGCCCTCTGCACAGGGCCCAGCACACGATGACACACCGTAAACCCCAACCATCGCCCTCGTTTAGGGAACCGGCCCTCACCTGCCCCGTTTGAGCCTTGTCTGCCTCCATCAACTTCCAGGTGTCCTCCACGTTGGCTCCGGCTTTCTGCAGCTCGGCAGTGCTGTTGTGGTGCCGGCTGACATCCCCGCTGTAGGAGGAGGAGTTGCTGAGCTGTCTGGGGAAAGCGAGGCACAAGGGTGTCAACCAGTGGGAGCCTTGGGCAGGGACAGCAGTCCTAGCAAAGTACCAAACCAGTTCAACCTTCTGATTTTACGGATGCGGCCCAAAGAGGGGAAGGGCCGCGTGTGCCCCAGGGCCCCATGAGAGAAGTGGTCCTTTGTGCAGGCATTATTCCAAAAAGCATTTCTTGCCCACCAGTGGTCATCAGCTTTATGCAGACCATTGCAGATTACCACAGATCATGTGACCCAGAACTCTTTCCTGCCTGAGGCAGTCCTATTCCCCGAGGACTTATAGTCTTGGGAAACGGCATACATTGTGTGTATGTATGTGTGTATGAATGAGAGCACAGACACACACAAGCGAAGGTGAGGAAGTGTGACCCATCTTGGCCACTGACTCCCCTGCCTCCTTGGTTCGCCTGCCTCGGTGAAGCAAGCCCCAGGCCAGAGAGACGCTGGGAGCTGAGGGCTGAGGGCTGAGGGTGGCCTCCCAGCTGCGGCCAGTTAGGAAATGAGGACTGAGTCCAAGTACTTGGAAGTGAATCCGTCCCCAGCTGAGCCCTCATTAGACCCCAGCCTGGCCTCGGCTGCAGCCTGTGAGAGACACTGAGCAGAGGAGCCAGCTAAGCCACACTGGACCCTCCAAGACACAGAACCACGAGATGACAAGCCATTAAGGCATGGTAATTTGTTACATAGCAACAGAAAACGAGTACCCCAGTGTTCTGCATGTTTCTTCAGTCTACCCACGGACCACCCCAGTGTGCGCCCCGTCATCACCTGCCCCGGTACCCCAGGACCACCCGAGTGCATGGCCTCATCTCAGCTGCTTCAGCATATTTTTAGATGCAGCAACTGTGACTGATTGTGCCCCCCGCCACCAGCGTGTCGCGGCGACGCTCTAAGCACTTCACACGCATATGCCTCATTCCACAGGCACCCACCTCAACAGACGCACCGACAGAGAAGGAAATGTTTTCACCTGTCCCGGGTGACAAAAATCTAAGTCTGGGAGGGTACTGTGGCCAGGGCTCTAAGGGCAGAGCTGCTCTTACCGATCTCCATCCCAGCCCCATTTCTGTGAAACAGCCCCACCCCCAGAAGAAGTAGGTCCATGCAGCCCCAGCTCCCCCGATATAACTGTGTGCTGCTTACTGGGTGCTGGTGGCACAGGCACTGTTCTAACTGCTTCACGTGCACCGTATGGTGTAAGCCTCACTACGACCCTGTGTGGCAGGTACACCACAGTCCCTATTTGACAGCTGAGAAAACTGAGGCACAGAGAGGTTAAGCAACAAAGTCCACAGAATGCAGGTCCCCCGAATACCCAATGATCTCACCAAACACAACCTCCTTTAAAGCCACAAACTGTAGAACTGAGGATCAGTGGCTCAGAGGCCAGACTTGGGTTCAAATCCCAGCTCAAATTCTCTCCAGCTGTGCAAGCTGTGGGGAGCTCCCAATCTGCTCATCTGAGAAATGGGCAGATGACAGCAACTACCTCCAGGTTCAGTGGACTGCACGGGCCAGGTCCTAACGGTGCATAAAATGTAGTGGCCACTATTACTGTGACTATTTTCAATTGAATGCTGGTTCCTAAAGACTCAATCTTCCAGCCCCTCAGAGTGACTTGAGCATAAATCCACACCATGTAGGGAACTTGAGCGTCAGAAGCCCAGCCCGACAGTTAAATCACAAGGCCCGTGTGGATCATGCCACCTGGTGGGAACGGTGCCAGTCTCCCCCTGCAGGCCTCCATGCTCTGGAAAGTGAGGTTCCCGGAGGATTTGGGGAAGAGAAGGAGGAGGCAGAAAGCCTGCACTTTCCTTGACCCTGAAGAGCTGAAGGCCTTTTTTGGTAGGTCGAGCCAAGCCACTGGCACCCTGTCCCTCCTCTCTCCCCACAGGCAGGGGGCAGAAACGTGGTGCCTGCCTCCCTCCCCGTCCTTACCTCTGCACTTGCTTCCCGGCAGCGTCCGTCACCACCATGCCATTCTCCATCTGCCTCATCTCTTTGCCTGGACCGCTCATGCCTACTAATCCTGGCAGAAGACAGAGAAAGGGGGGATTGTGGTTTCAAAGGCCAATGCCAAAACCAAAGACAAGGAAAACCTGTCACTTTGGGGGGAGATGGCTGACAACCTGGCCTCCTGGGAAGCTCAAAAAGCAAGACCTGCTTTGCTGAGGCCACAGGCAGGCTCCCAGCTGGGTATAGGAGCTAACTTAATGGCTAGTTAGCTAGTTCCTTGGGGCAGGGATGATGTTTTGCAACCATCTCGAGAGCCCGTTAGCTGAGGGTGGTAGGCCTGAACAGAGGCCCTGGGCCAGCAGCAACAGGTACAATCCATGGACAGTGTCCCTGTTGCATAAAGCTTGGCCAATGGGGCCAGGGTACAAGGAACCAGACATGGGGAATGGGCACAGTCCTCTGGTTCCCAAGGATCCCAAGCAGGGTTGATACTCAAAATAAATAACAACCAGTTCTGACAGGGGTATCCTGTTATGCCAGGAGTTAACCCTTTGGTTGCATAATCACGGGGTGGTCCAGAAAGTCTGGCGCAGTGGTACCTGGGGCAGTGGCTGCTTCCCTAACAGGAAGGGATTTTAATAACTGATATGGGCCCATGGACACCAGCAGGATATCTACCCAATCCCAGGAAGTACCTAGCCGTCAACACTAATCATGGTCACTTCCATGGTGATCGCTAACATTTATCAAGTGAATGGTGGCCACTGTGCTGAAACAAGTGATCTCCTTTAACTTTCCCAACCACTCAGTGAAACACTGATTACACCCACTCTGATCTCCTGATTCAGGTGCTGAGAGAAAGAGAGAATAAGGGAGAAGCACGACACAGGGCTCTGAAGGGATGGCCCCGGGCGAGGAGGGGAGGGATGCAGGAGGGAAGTTACGAAGGAGGATAAATACGCAGCCAGGGTGACCCTGGGAACATGCTGACGTGACATGCATAACAGCAGAATCCAAAACGACAGGCTCTCTGGGGTGACAGCCACAGGAAGACAATGAAGACGGAAAGCTAGGGCTCATTCCTGGGGCAAGGACAGGAGTTCCATGCCGTGATTCTCAACCTTGGCTGTGAAGACCTTGGGGACCCGTGCTGAGCTAGAGCACAGTCAGGTGTGAAGTGTTCTCTCACCTCCCAGGTGTGTGTACTGGGGGAAGTAACAAACCTCTGGGCCTTGACTACCACCTCTGCAAAATGGGAGTAAGAACACCACCTACCCTTGCACGCAGGGAGATGAATGAGCTGTGTCTGGTGCTCGGTGAGTCTAAGTAAGGCAGCATCAGGGTGCTTACCATTCCTTACCTGCGTTGTAAGTGTGCTAGAGTTCTGGCACACAGCCAGGATTGAGAGTCACCGCTTTAAACACTTCCTTTAATGTTGATATCTCTGTTTTTAATTAAAAACAAAAAACAAAAAACACTAAACCGAACAAAAAGAAAAGCCGGGACAGGCAGGACCTTCATGCAGCAGCAGGCCCCCCATGCTCGTGCACATGCGCAGCCTCCGGGGCTGGCCTGGCCTGAGCCAGCTCTCTCGGAGCAGGAGATGCCTGAAAACACTCCCAGAGACACCTGTCCTGTGAACGGGTGCTTCAGAGAGCCCAGCTGCCCCACCTGGCTGCCCAGGCCACCCTCTGTAAGCCTCAACCTTCTCTTCCCCTCCTGCTCCTCACTCAGCACCAGCCCCCAGGACTAGACAGCAACCCCCACAGGGGCCTCCTGTGGTCAGCTTCCCTTCTCAGCCCACTGGGCTTGTAGGCTGATGTGCCAATGGGGGCAGCAGGAAAACTCACCTCTGCGAGGGGAGGGACTGAGAATCCAAGAACAACATGAAGGTTTGTCGCCCACCACCCCAACTGCCTTCTTTGCAGGGGCTCAGCCCTCCCCCGTCCTACGATCTGGGCAGGACTGTCTGTCAGGATGCCCCAGGCTCCCCCAGCCAAGGGTGGGGCCCTTCCGCAGGTCGGCTCACCGGCCCCACAAGGATCAAAAATAGCTCCAACTGATGTGTCCTAAAGGAGTCTCATTCCCAGAGTTCCCGTTTTCCGAGTCCTGTGGTCCAGTTTTGCCTTTGGTTTCTGAGCTTCCGGCAAACTCCCTTGTTGTTAAGTGGCTGGAGTCAGCTGCTGTGGCTCGCTAAGGGGCTCTCTGTCAGGACCTTCGGCCACGCAACGCTGGTTACAGAAGGCAAGGGGGATGGGTCTGAGCCAGCGGCCAGTTCCAGCCTTTACATCACCAGAGGAAGAGAGGGCAGACTTTCTGGCTGAAATTCTGCTAGAAGACATCCCTCCTCTGGGCACCCACCGCCACCTGCAGTTACTCCATCAGGTGCTCATCCCCTGCACTGTTATGGTCTGCCAAGGTCCTGACCATGCCCAGGAGGTATGAGCAGCATAACAATCAGTCAGTGATAATCAAACTGTTGCCATGCATCGTCCATCCACCGTATGCCAGGCATTCCACAACCAGGATCTCCTTCAAGGAGTGCTGGTCGTCATCATTTGACCTATGAGACAGCAAAGCTTAGCCAAGGTCACCCAGCTGATGAGCAGGAGAGCTAGAGATCAAACTGTAACCCTAAGTGCCCACCAGGAAGCCTGGAACACAGTAGGTGCCCAATAAGTGTTTATTGGCTGAACAATGGAGGGGGTGCAAGGGCGGACATTCAAGGGCCCCCTCCCAGGCATGCAGCAACAGGACAAGTCTAACCCACATGTCGCTGACCTTCCTCTTCCTCGTCCACCGCTCTGCTGCCTGGGAATTCACACGATCCAAGAAAGTGTTAAGAACTGAGGCAAAACTCCCTCCCTAAGCCCCCACTCTAAACCCCCTGTGGGGATGGATGGAGGTATTCTCTTAAGGGTGAGAGGCAAGGATGGTTAAAGGACCTGCTGCATTTGTGCCTCAGTTTCCCCATCCCACATGTTTTGGTAAATCCCTGATAAGCACATTATACAAGACCAGGCCTTTCTTCTGAAAGCTATAATTGTTAAGAGTTTAAACAAAAAAAGAGCAGACCAACATTCCGTCTTTACACCTGTTTTCCCAGCAGCAAAGAGAAAGAAATAAAGGACCACAGCGTGGCAGGGCAGGCAGGACAGCTGGGAGGCAGCACAGGCCTCAGCTCCAGCTCACAGCCTTTGGCTCTCAGAGGACGCGAGCCCTTACTCTGAGCCAGCTACTCATGGAGCCGAGAAGAGGGGAAGAGAAGGTAATTTGGCTCAGGTGTCACCCTGGACCCTCCCAGGCTAGAATGGGGACCCCTTCTCGGGGTTCTCACAGGCTGCCACGCCTACCTCCACCACCACGATGTCCTTGATTATTTAGTGCTTGTGTCCCCCATCAAACTGTGGGGGTACTGCATCTCCTCCACTGCTCTGGTCCCAGCACCAGGTACATCAGACGGCTGTGTGGGTTTAGACAGGATGTGCACCACACAATTCAAGGGGCGCCATCCCACACAGTGGCTCAAGTACCAGGCAAACACAGGTACCCTGTGCACCTGTGCATTCATTAGCAAATGAATGGCCAAGTGAACAAGCAGAGCTGACCTCCCGATGCCAGAAGGGGCACCACACCGGCCACAGTGGTGCCAATCTCATAGTCCACTGCCACAAAGCTGGTTTCCACACCAGCCCTGAGAGCAATGGGCAAAATTGGCTCATCCTGTTTTCTAATCTGGATAAGTATGTAGCTGTGGTAATGTCCAAAGCCCACAGACCTGTACAGACCACTTACACAGGGAATGACTCCAGCAATCAAAGGGTAAGTCACTCACTCAGCACATTTACTGAGTATCTGCTATGTGAAAGTCATTGTTCTCAGTCCAAGGGTGACCAAAAAGCCCTCATGGAGCTTAAATTCCAGTGGGGGTGGTGGGGGAGACACAATAAACAAACCAGCAGATCCAGAAGTTGCTATCATGTAGTGATAAGCACTACAAAGAAAAATAAGGCAGGGTAGTGGGGAAAACCAATGATGTGATGAAATAATTTTTTTTCTTATCCTCACCCAAGGACATTTTTCCATTGCTTTTTTAGAGAGAGAGAAAGAGAGGGAGGGAGGGAGGGAAACAGTGATTGGTTGCCTCTCATAGGCTCCCTGACAGGGGATTGAACCCATGGCCTTTCAGTTAGGGGACGACACTCCAACCAACTGACCAGAGCTGAAATAATAATTCTTATTTTTTACAAGAAACCTGTAATTCAATGAACATTCCTTGAGGCTTCTAAGCACCAGGTATGGGGCTGTGATGTCGACACGCCAGGCGCTACCCCTGCCCTTGAATGCAAGTGCTGCCTGGGCTGTGTGCTCAGCCGGCTGCTGGCCCTCACAGCGGGCGCCTCACAGGCTCACTGTTTATTCCAGCAATGCTGCCTTTACTTAAGAAGGTTCTGGAACTCCGCTTGGGCAAGGGCCAGTGGGCAAGCCTCCCTGAAGGGAAAGATCCAAGTCACTGCTTTACAGTCAACGCCTCATTTTTGACCAAAAACGGAAGTGACCGGCTGTATCACCCAACCCTCCCCCTGCCTTCCCCCCCATGCACTGGGCCCTGAAGGTTCTTCATACTCAAAAGAGGAAGAAATACAGCTACTGAAGACAACCGAAAGGAATGTGCAGTCTGCAGATGGACTCTCCGGCAGCTGTGGGGTGTTTATGACAGATTTTTGTAATATGGCGAGGGGTTTATGGGCCGACGCTGGTGGGGAAGGAAGGGCAGGAGACCTGATGAAGACAGAGACAGGTGGGCCAGAAGCCAGAGCAGCGCCCCCCTGTCTGTGCGCGGGGAGAGTGGAAGGAGGTTCTTTCTCCTGGTTCTCTGTTTTTTGCAGTTTGCTATTGTCTGCAATGAGCATATGTTGATTTTATAATCACTGAAAAGAAAATGAGCAAAAATATGAAGAAGGGAAAAATTAGTCACAGAGTTGAAAGAAACTGCCAACAAGGTTGGGAAAAGTGGACGAGTTGTTGGAATGGCCATCTTTTCCACAAGATAACAAGGGAAGGACCTGAACAGCCTGAAGCTGGAGCAGAGTGGGTCCCTCCCCATCCTGCTGGCGGAATGATGCTCTGATGTTGGTGGGCAGAGGCGTGCTGTGTGTTGTAGGGTGTTTACCAGCATCTCTGGTCTCCACCTACTAGTTTCCATGCCCCAATCCCAGTTGTGACAACCAACCCCATCTGCGGACGTTGCCAAACTCCCCCGGAAGGCACAAATGTTCCCCAGTGAAAACCACTGCTCTAGGTTTTAGGCTCCTAATAAAGAAACCAGAGTAAATAAAAAGTTTTCTTCACTTTCCAGGTACAAAGCTTTTGAGCCAATATGTAAATCTCCTTTTGACACCAAAAAAAAAAAAAATCCTTTCCTGGAAATCAGTATAATGAATGTCCATGGCGAGGGACATCTCCCCACTCCAAGCCTGGTTCCTGTTACATCTCCCCCTTCCCTGCCCCAGTGAGAAAGAATCCCCCAAACCAAACACTCCCCCGTCAGCCTGGGTGTTCTAAAAAAGATCTGATTAAGTCAACAAGGAAAATAAAGTTTCCCTTTGGGAAGTGCCAAGAATGTGGTTTCTGGCACATCCAAGGTCCTTGACACTTGGTGCTGGCTAAGCAAGACTAGCCCCCGACGCTGGGCCTTATCACCGGGGAGGCAGGGAGGGCGGGGGGCTGCCCAGTCTGACTTCAGATTCAAGGGCTGAGGACTGCTATGTCCTGTCAGGCAGGAGGCTGGGGAGTGGAATTGGGGAAATGACTCCACAGTGCTGCTAGGGTGGTGGGCGGTATTTTCATCACCAAATTAAGTGCTGACATGCACCAAAAAAAGGGAAAGAGAAAAAAGAAATGGGCAATGCTCCATGTTCTGCATAAACTGCTTTGGACATGCCTGCAGCTGGATAGGAAAGGAGGGGAGGGAGAAAAGCCATCTGTGGTCAGCAGAGCCTAAGAACGTCCCCCACTCACCTGGACAGGATGTGGACAGGGACCTCATTCTGGGGAAAAACGACTCAGCAAAACCCACACGTGTTGATGTGGAAAGCATTCAGGGTTATGTTTGCCTCACTGTAGCTCACCAAGTGGGTCGGTGAAATGGTGATCTCGGAGTAGCCACCACCCATTATGTGACCTCAGCTTGACTTGGGTTCAGAGGAGACTTCGCAGCAACAGGAAACAGGCTAGACCCGAGGCAGAACTTTCTAACCACGAGAGCATGAACATGTAGAAACTCAATCCAACCAGAGAGTTTAAAAGCTGAAGGGAGGGTCAGCTATTTCACGCTGGCAAAGGAAAGCATTTTTAAAACTAGGGAGCATAGCAGCACTACTTATAATAGCCAAAAAGTGAAACCAACTAAAAAATGTCCACCAGCCGACAAAGATAAATAAAATGAGGCATGCTCACACATGGCATATTATGGGGAACCTACCCGCATGGAATGGCAAATACAGCCCAGCCCTGCGGGAAAGCCCATAGGTGCGTGTCAGCACGCAGAACGCCAAACCCACGGATCCGTTCTCTTCGTGGGAAGCCAGGCCTGCACTATACCTAGGCTGCCATGAGGCTTGCTCTTGCTAAAACTCCCTCACCCTGAGTTGAAGTAGCAAATGCTTACTGCATATCCTTAAAGTAACTTCCTGAAGTCTGTGCTAATTCACCCAAGGACTGAAGTGTAACCAGACCAATTACTCTAATTGTTCCCTTGCATTGGCAACATTTTTTCTTTGTTAATCTGTAAGAAGTAACCAGTAACATCCTTTCCATTGCTATCTATAAAAAGTAATTACCTAAAGCAAACCTAAGTATAATGAATGAAAACCTTCTTTGATGTATGCTATTAGAAAGCCAATAAAGGCCAGTCAAGGCAAGGGTTGAGGCACTCTCTCCTTGGAGTGGCCAGGCCATTCCTTTTCCTCCACAGGACTCAGTAGTCCATGTGAATTTGTCTCATCTCATCCACAACGCCTCGGACACTGCAGGCCAGTGTCTGCATCAGCATATTACTCAACAATCAAAAGAAATGAGGTACTGATACATGTTACCACACAGATAAACCTTGAAAACGTCATGCTAAGTGACGAAAGCCAGTCACAAAATACCACGTGACAGAATCCCACTTACATGTTCAGAATGGAGAAATCTATAGAGACAGCAGGCAGACTGGCAGTTGCCTAGGATTTGGGGGGCTGGGGGAAAATGGAGAATGACTGCTAATCAATTTGCAATTTCCTTGAAGGCTGATGAAAGTGTTCTGAAATTGACTGTGGGTAATGGTTACATAACTCTGACTATACTAAAAATTACTGGATTGTACACTTTCAGTGGGTAAATTGTATGGTATTTGAATTATATCACAATAAGACACATACTAAAAACCACTAGGACCTCCACAGCACACTCTGAGTCAGAGGGATTCGCTCCCACCCCAGGCAGGCCTGGAGGCCACTCTAGGAGCAGAGGACAGGGAACCTGGAGACCAGGCCTGGGAGCCAGCCCCACCTGCCGCCATCGAGTGTCCTCAGACAAGGTGCTTCCTCTCTCTGACATGCAGCGGCTTTCCACTGCATTTAGACCAAAACCTAAACTCCTCACCTCAGGTGGGTGACCCCCAGCCAGCCTCATCCCAACCCTCATCCCATGCCTACCATGGTCTGCACACAGAGACCTTCTTTTTGCTCCTTAAACAAACGGAGCTGCCTGAGGCCTTGGCCCTTGCTGTTCCCTAAGTCAGAACACTGCTCCTCACATCTTCTCCTTGCTGGCTCCTTTCCATGCCAAGGCCACTTCCTCAGAGGGCTTCTCTGAGCACCCTGGCATGCCCCAGCACATTATCCTGCATTTTCAAAATTCACAGCACTTACTGCTGCATGAAACCACCTATACTTGTGGATTTGTTTGTTGCCTTCCTCTTCCACCAGATACTAAGTTCCATAAGGACAGGGATTTGTTTATACGTTGTTCACCTCTGTCTCTCCAAAATCTAGAACAGTGCTGTTAAGGGCTAAATTAAATCCCCACCCACACCCAGATCCATATGTTGAAGTCCTAACCCCCAGGACCTCAGAATGTGACCATATTTGGAGAAGAGGCCTTTGCAGATGTCACTAGTTAAGATGAGGTCATTAGGCCCTGCTGGTGTGGCTCAGTGGATTGAGTGCCAGCCTGCAAACCAAAGGGTCGCCAGTTGGATTCCCAGTCGGGGCACATGTCTGGGTTGCAGGCCAGGTCCCAGGAAGGGGGTGCATGAGAGGCAACCACACATTGATATTTCTTTCCCTCTCTTTCTCCCTCCTTTCCCCTCTCTAAAAATAAGTAAATAAAATCTTAAAAAAGGGAAAAAAGGATGAGGTCATTAGGGTGGGTCCTAATCCTATATAAATGGTGTCCTTATAAGACAGGGTGGATTTAGAGACAGACACACAGAGAGAATGCCATGTGAAGATGAAGGCAAACTGGGGAGATGCTTCGACAAGCCAAGGAATGCTGGAGATTTCAGGCAAACCACCAGAAGCTGGAAAGGAACATGGAACACATATTCCCTCACAGCCTTGGAAGGAACCAACCCCATGGACACCTTGACCTCAGACTTCCTTCCGGCCTCCAGAACTGTGAGACAACACATTTCTGTTGTTTAAGCCGGTACTTCGTTACAGCAGCCCTAGGAAAATAATACGAATACTTAACACAGAGTGGGTGCTCAATAAACATCTGGTCCGTGACTAAATCAATGAATAGCAAGTAGCTTTTTTAGTGATCAGCCCCTTTCACATAGACAGGGCATTGCCCGCTCCCGGCATAGAAGGGACTAGTTTCTTTAAGCCTCGGTCTCCTCACAGTGGCCTGGGAGTGATGACTCCACCTCCCTCATGAGTTGTTAGGAGGGTTCGGCAAGAGGACTTCTGCGGAGAACGGGAGCCCCAGCAGGCACTCTGTCTCAGCTGTGTGCCTTCAGATCACAGACACGCCGGCAACAACCTTGCCCAGGGGAGCTGCGCGACGTGGCAGCCCTGCAGCCCTGCCCTTGAAGACAGTCTGTGTGAGACCTGTTTGGGGGCCAAGTATATTGCAAACATGCCACAGAGGCTCAAGAAGTCTGTAATTAGCTCCCGGAGGAGGGAGATCAGGGTAGGATAGTTGACCTCTATGTAGTTCCACTCTTTTTTAGCAACAGCTGAAACCAAAGCCAAAAAGGCATCAGATGACCTCTCCGTGTTAACACGGGTCGTGACTCAGAGAAAAGAGGTGTGCAGAGGACTGTCTGAGGTGCCAGTCTGACCAATGACACACAGGGCAACCTGGAAAGGCTGCAAACCAATCCCTTGACTTCTAACCAACTGATAAGACAGAACAGGATTCTTAGAAGTCTTGCCCTATCTGCTCCAAATAAAGACGGGGAGAGGGCCCAGCCTAGAATTCAAAAGGCACCTCTGAGAGGTCCCTGATCTCAGAGTCCTGGCCTGAAAGGGGAGACAGGGTGCAGTGGCTGGAGAGTGGGCAGGCTCGCCCTGACCTGGCAGGGGCCAAGGGCATGGGGGTAAAAGAGAAGCAACTCTTTCCAGGGGAGTAGTGACATCAGCTGTCATTTACTGAACCCTTTGCGCCAGGCGCCAGAGGCTTCACACAATACAGCACATTAAATCTACATCAAATACTAGAAGGCTGGTTTTCTTGTTATACTGCTTTGTCAGTGAGGAAACTGAGGCTAAGAAGGGGTTTGAGGTCACACAGATGGTAAGAGCTAAGGCTGGGATTTGAACCCAGGTCCTGCCAACTCCAAGCCTGCACGCTCAACCACCTTGCCTTATGACCCTCACATCTGGGTTAAGCCACATGTTACTGGCTTCTCACAGCTTCTTGGGAGTCAAGAGGACTATAATTATCACTTTCCCTATTTTTGTCACAAGGACCCTGAAGCTCAGGAAGCCCAAAGCCATACCACAGAGAAGTATTAGAACTTGTGCCCAGGTCTGCTGACCAGGTCATAGAGCACTGAGACCCTTTCCCACTGCAGCCCGAAAGGATGAAAATGGTCCCTCTAGGTGGTTCCAGAGGGAGCCTGGCCTAGCCCCCGACACCTTGATGGGCCGCCAGTGGCTGACAGGAACCTCTGGGGGACAACTGTGGCCCTGCAAGGTGCCACAGCACTGGAGCCAGCCTCCCTACCGTCGTCCTGCTCCGTCTGCTCCTGTTCCGCGCTGGAGTACGTGCGCAGGAACTCGGCGAAGGCCCCGTCCTGGGCCAGCAGCTCCTGGTAGGAGCCCATCTCAGAGATCTTGCCGCCACTCATGACGATGATGACATCCACCTGAGGCAGGTAGCTGATCCCATGGGTGACCAGGAGCCGAGTCTATGGGAAACGTGGAGATCGGGCAGGTCAGCACACGCGTGCGAGAGGGAATCACCCTGCACCTGGATAGCAGAGCTCCTGTCTGAAGGTGGAAGCACACCTGGCACAGTCTGTGGGTGCTTTCATTCGACACACATGCCAGGACCTGAGATGGGGGCAGCGGTAGCAGGGAAGCACTCAGAGAGCCCTGCACCTGACCCCAGGGCAGGGCTGGAAATGAAGGGCACGAGTAGAACACTGTGTTGTGTGCTGGAGGGTGACCCGCAGCACAAGGCAGGCTGGGGCACGGAGGGTGGGGGCGGTGTTGCAAGTTTAACAAGGGTGATGGGAAGGGGTATTTTTGAATAAAAATATGAAGGATAAAAGGAGAAAGGGAACTAGGCATGCATGGACAAATAAAAAAATGACTGATGCAAAATAATTTGCACATAATGGCTTCATTTTTTAAGTAACCACCCATTTCCATGCCCCCACCCCCCAAAAACCCTTAAAATTTGTACTTGTGCCTTTTTTTATCTAATGATCTGAAAGTCTGGGAAGACGCTCATCAAACTATTCACATGAGTTGACAAACGTTTTCTTAAAGGGCCAGGTGGTAAATACTTTCAGCTTTACGGGCCCCCCTGTCACAGTGGCAGCGGCCAGCTCTGTGGCTGTGGTGTGAGGGCAGTCACCCCCACACACAAATGAAGGGGCCGGCCATGTTCTGATGAAGCTTCATCTCTGGACACCGATATTTAAATTGACAGCATTTTCCGTATGTCACAAAATTATTATTTTTCTTCAGATGTTTTCTGACCACTTAAAATGTAAAGGCCATTCTTGGCTTGAGGGCTGTACTAAGAGAGCAGGCCAGACTGCTGGCCCTGGCCCTCGAGAGAGGAGGTGGTGTAGGGAAGGGGAGGGCCTTTTTGTTCTTACTTTACACAGACCCTTTACAGTCTTTGACTTTGTTACCATGGACATGTGTGGCTTTGATAACAATTTTTTTTTAATATTTAAAAATCATGCCTATATAGAATGTTTGTGGTGTGTATGAGAATAGATCAAGTGGCACGATGCTAACTATATATATGCATGACATGATAACCCTATCAAAAAAGTTTGTACACTCAGCAAAAAAACCCCACAAAATTTGAAATACTAAAATCTCTAATCAGTGAGCAGATACATAATTGCTCTTGTTTTTCTTTTTTGTGTTTTTCTGAATCTGTTATATTTTTCCCATGAGCATGTGTTATATTTTAATCCGTGAAAAAGGAAAGAAAGAATCAGTACTCCCACCTGTAATTCCTCCAAAAAAATAAAATAAAATAATAAAGGAGGACAGGAAACACTTCCTGTGGGGTCAAGGTATTGTGGCAATTTTCCTGCTGCAAACCTCCGTCCCTCAGCCCACGGTCACTTTGGGGAAGGAAGGGAGAGCTGCTTGCTCAGCCACAGGGGACCTTGGTGTGGGATTTCCTTCTACAAAGCCACCCCCATTTTTAAATCAGGAAGAAGGGCCTTTTTTGGCCAAGTGGAGGCAACAACCTCAAGTTAGTGCCAAGGACTTCCCCCTTAATGACAAGAGCGTGAAGGCCATCCTGGGAAGGCTTCCAAGGGAAACATTAGAAAAGTGTCCTGAAATCCAATAAGAAAAGAGAAGAGAAGAGAAGAGGAGAGAAGAGAAGAGGAGAGAAGAGAAGAGGAGAGGAGAGAAGGGAAGAGAAAAGAAAAAAGAAAAGAAAAGAAAAGAAAAGAAAAGAAAAGAAAAGAAAAGAAAAGAAAAGAAAAGAAAGGAAAAGAAAAGAAAAGAAAAGAAAAGAAAAGAAAAGAAAAGAAAACAGCCTGGGAAGTACAGGACTCCCTAAGGGGACACATTCCAACTTAACCAAAGCATGGAAGGGCCGGACCTCAGGCCCTGCCCCTTCCCCCAGTACCTTGTTCTTCAGCATCCCCTTGGGGCCAATCACATTTTCAAATATGTGTTTTCCCACGTGGGCATCCACCGCTGACAGGGGGTCATCAAAGAGGTAGACGTCAGAGTCACAGTACACAGCCCGGGCCAGGCTCACGCGCTGCTTCTGGCCCCCAGACAGGTTCACGCCCTGGGGAGACACATGGCAGAAGGTGGGTTTGCTGGGAAACCTCAAGACATGCAGAGAGGGCAACCTGCTTGGGATACACCAGACCCAGGCTGGAGACCCTACAGGGAGGCACTCTCCTCCTCCTCCTATGCAGCAGCAAAGGCATAAAATTGCACCTGCATGGATGTGGGTTCAAGTTCCACACACAAGATTTAGCCTCACCTGCAAAACAGGTGGAAGAGAAAACCTGAGGCTCCAGGAAGCGGCTGAGAGAAGAACTAGGACATGGAGGGTGTTTAGCAAAGGGGGGCTGGTGGCACTGAATAAGGCTGGCTACAGGAAAGGCTCCTGATCTCAGACTCTGATGGAAGGCACCAAAGGATGTGCTAATGACGTCATCACTGCTAGTATGGAGCAGAGTTACCCAGCAGAGCCTAGTCTGTGTCAGCCAATCACAGTCCACTCACACACCCACACTAAGCCACTGAGATTTTTTGTGACTGTTACACAGCAACAGCTGACTGTCACAAGGGCCATGCTGAAGCCATACTGACCTTCTCACCAATCTCCGTCCGGTCCCCGCTGGGCAGGATTTCCAGATCTGGGAGGAGGGCACAGGCTTCTATCACAGCTTTATAATACCGTTCCTGTAGCTGGCGTCCAAAAAGGATGTTTTCCCGGAGAGAATGATTCTGAATCCAGGCCTGCTGGGGGACGTAGGCCACTGAGCCCTAGATGGCAGGGGGAGAAGAAAGCGAGGGGCAGGGACACAGACCTGGTTAACAAGACAGCAGCCAGCTCGCCCACATGCCAGAACAGCCCGACTTCACCAGTGGCTCTCATCCCGCCCACTGTTTCAACAGGACAGAAACTGAGTCCCCAAGGACAACAAGTGCCAGAGACGAGATCAGAACCCCCATTGGCCAGTATCAGGAGTTCGGGAGTTGAAACCCTCACTGGGGAGATTATAGTTATGTCTCTAGTAAATATTCACTGAATGCCTCCATTACTGAGTAAAACTCCTGACTCCCCAAAATGGGAAATTCCTGACATGATTTAAAAAATTAAATGCTGAGAAAAAGACATAGGAGACCTTTAAATAGTCCTTTAAAAAGAAAGACTTAGTTAGCAACATCAGGAAAGCATTTCTTGAGATAATTTCCTTGATGAAATTTAAGCAGGGACATCTATATCAAAATTGTCCATTTCAAAAGCTGTTGTGTCTTTATTTCCACATAATGGAAGGTATCAAGTAGACCATGAGAAAAGGGCTGGCACTCTCTTACCAGGGCAAAATAACCAGTCACACATAAACCCGTAACCTCGTCAAACCAAATACTCAGCACACACTCAAATTCCAGATCCATCACTTTTGTATTTAAAGGCTTTTTTCCTTTAAAACAGTGGTTCTCCCCGAGGGGTAACTGTGCTCTCCAGGGGCCATCTGATAATGTCTAGAGACACTTTAACTTGTTGCAACTGGAGGCTGATGCTGGGATCTAGTGGGTCGAGGCCAGGGATGCTGCTCACCATCCTACAGGACAAAGGATGGCCCCCAGAGGGAATTATCCGGCCCAAAATGTCAGCAATGCTGTGGTTGGGGAAATGCAGGGTTAATGGAATGCAATGTGGGTCCTGCCATGATTTGTCATTTTCTTCCATTAACCTAGCTCACGTTGCCCATGAATCTTACTTTATAACATGCACTTGAAAGCAATGACAGAACGTTTCCTAAAACAAGGTAGATGCTATTACTTTGGACCCAACTATGGTAATGTATACATTTTTCTAATGCATGTTAGGAGAAAGGTCATTGTATAATCAACAAAGAAAAGATTTTGCACCAAAATAAAAGCAATGGCATAAACCAGCATTCCCAAAAGCAGAGTCCAAGAGACAGCAGTTCTGGGGACGGGAAGAGCTAATGCAGAGACAATGAAGAGGTGCAGGCAAATATGCCCGAGCTGTGCTGCCTTAACCCACGTTAAATAGGGTTTTTCCTCCTTGCAGGACTTCTCAGAGCCTCTACTTTAGTAACGTTTATTCTAAGTCTCCAAGAGACAGGGAATCAGACTATGCAGTATTTTCCAAACTTGTTTAAGTTGGGGGGAATCTTTATTTCCAAAACATCCTGCTGGATGAGTTTGCTGCAGAGCCCACTCCAGGTAACACTGGTGTCAACAAAATATGAAGGGAAGTACTCCTGCATCAGGAAAAGGCCTTTGTGGGGAATGAGCTGAATGCAAAACATGGCTCTTGATTTCTAAAGGGCTCATTTGTTCACTAAAGCAGCCTCTTAGGCTCTCTCTTGAAGAATATACCAGCATAGTTCAAAGTACTTTGTGTATTTAAAAGCAATAAAACCACAGTCTGTTTTAGTCCCATATTAAGAATTCAATGAACATTCAGAATTTAAACAGTTCCCTTAAAAAGAATTCTCTAACATCACATTCCAATGACATAAATCAAAAATTTAAGTTTTGTTACTTTTACAAAAAGAGATGTGCAGAGAGATCCATAGAGAGAACAAGCCAGAAAGACTCATGGACAGAGAGACCACGAGATGCACAGACGGACAGAGATGGGGAGGGAATGGGAGACAGTGAGCAGGCCAAGGAACATTACTAAGTATTTATTGAGTGCACACTACATGCCTGGCGCTATTCCAGGTGCTGAGATACAGCAGAAGATAAATGACACTTCTCTAGGATGGCACAGAAGAGCAGAAAGAATAAGAGAGAAAAAGAAGGAGAGAGAGGGGCCTCGCTGCTTTTGTTTCATGCTCAAGGACCACGATAAAACACAGCGTTGCACTTGACCTTCCTCTCAGACCACCAGCCTCCCCCCGTCCCCGCTCACCCAGCTGTCCTCCTACCTTGATAGCCACATGACCCTCCAGCTTGTCCATCTCGGCCAAGAGAGCTGAGAGCAGAGACGACTTCCCACAGCCCACCTGGCCCACCACGGCCACTAAGGAGCCTTCTGGAATGGAGAAGGTGATGCTGAAAAGACACAACACACCATGTCTCAGTCATGCTCTCACCTGAATGAGGCTGGCGGGGCTGGTGCACCAGCCCCACTGGAAATGGATTTACCCCGAGTGGAGAGAGGGGCAGAAGGCAGGGCTGTCATGAGCCTCTGAGATTTGAAAATTCCTCCTGCATTTCTGCTGCTGAGTTTAGTTCAGTGAAGTCTCAGAAGCCTTTCTGAACCTGAAAGTACAGATCACACCGTACCTGAAAGTGTTCCTTCTCAGTTACGCCAATGCATCTGAGAAATCGGAGACAGCAGGAGAGTCCTGAGCTATCAGCCATGTGGAGGGGTATTAACTTTGCTTCCGGGCACAACGGGGGGGGGGTACTCTGGGGGACAGAGGACCCCTCAAAATGGACTCTGAAGGAAGAGTGTGTGCCAGACACAGAAACTTGGGAACAGCTTAGGAAAAGGCCCACAATGTGAATCACAGGTGTGATCAGGGGTGGACATGTCACTGACACAAGACAGGGCAGGGATGCCAGTCCCAAAGGTGGGTGGGTGGTGGCCAGGCCTGGGAGGATCTGAAGGACCACTCAAGGGTTTCAAGGGACCTGATATGGATGAATGTGGGTTTCAGAAACAGGTTTTTAGTGAAATTTCCCTTTGACAAATACTGGTAAGCAAAGCACAAGACAATACACCGGTCGTTCTGCCAGTAAGATTGGCTGCCACGTGACACGTGTCAGACTTGTGACTCCACCCACCAGGGAAGGGCAGGCCTGTCCAGGACCCTGTGGGGTTTGCTTACATTGGCTGTGCTCTTCTACAGCCTCTATGATGATGTTTAACATATTAATGGAAATGGTGTTAGATTTTGCTGTCACTCACTGCTTAATTCTTGGGAACCTGCTACACAGTCACAGATTATTCTCTTGTTCCTGTACAGTGCGGGGAATGGATTACAGGGCCCAATAACGCAGCTCTTGCTATCATCCAGGTGAGACTGGAATATTTTTAGAGGCTGAAAAGAAAGTAAGTTTGGATGGAGAAAGATTTGGGGAGTCAAGATGGGTGAAGGAGACTGGAACAGGAAAGCCTTTGATTCTGGAAGAACAGAGGAAAGCATGAGGGCACAGATATTATTTGTGAAGTAGAATGAAAGAGAAAAGCTAGAATTGAAGCAGGCAGGAGTAGAGTTAGATATAAGGAGGAACTTCCTGAACATGCAATTCCACCATTAATTTTCAAGAGAAATGTTGGATAGATCCTTTACCCTGGGGAGTTTGTCCTCCATCCCCAGCCTCCTCCCCTGGATAAAATACAGCAGTAATTTGGCTACCCAAAAACAGGGAATTTTTCAGGGGCATAGGGGACAAATTTGGCCTTTAAAAAGGACCCCCAGCACTGTGTTTTGGGAGTCCCTTAAGGAGGCCTAGAAGCCACTGAGCAAGACCTCCAGTCACAAATAAGCACTTGACAAGTTGCCTGGGGAGCAGGGTCAATTCCCTGGACAAAGAGCACTTCATGGGAAAGGTGCCAGGTGGAAGGTAGGTGAGAAAGACTGAGTGAGGCAGCTGGGGAACCCAGGAAAGGATGGAGAACAAGTCCATCCTGAGACCAAATCCCAGGGGACAAGAATTCCTGTCACAGACCCAAGCTTGCCTGCCACCACCAGCCACATCACAGCCTGGGACCCAACTTGGCCAATTAGTGTGCTTTGGTCTCTCCTGGCACAGTAATTGGCTCAGGAGGGGCACATGACTCAAATTGGGCCAATCAGAAGCAGGCAGGTCTCCCAACACAGGAGGAGGTACACTTGGGGTTGATAGGGGCCATCTGACATCATGAGGGGAGAGGCCATCTGAGAGGGAAGCAGAATAAAGACAAGATGGAGAGAATCCTTATGGCACTGGGTCCCTGGATCACCCTGTACCTGAAAGTGGCCCTTCTCAGTTATGCATACCACAAATCTCCCTTTGTTGCTGAAGGTTATCTATGCAAGGTTTATGTCACCTACAATGAAAGGGAACCCTCTGTGCCAGGCACACTCTCATCTGCTTCTCACCAAAGCCCAGGAAGGTGTGAATGCACCTATTTCCCAAATGGGTAACTGAGGCTCAGAAAGGCAAAGTGACTTATTCAAGGTCATAAGGCTGCAGTGTAGCTAGAATTTAAACCCACCTTTAACCAGAGCCCTGTGCCTCTCTACATGTCCTGGCTTACCCATTCAGTGTGGGAGGGTCATTCCTGGCCCACGTGAAGGTGGCATTCTTCACAGTGATGCTGTTCGAGCTCCCGCCTGAAAAGCACCAGATGCAACACATCAGACATAGATAGAGTCATGGGACCAAGAGTGAGCACGAGGCTTACTTTTTTCCCCCCAGTCAAGCAAAGTTCAACCCTAGAGACTAGACACTTTCGATAGGCATTTATCTGGTTACATCCATCTCAGTTTCTAAAGAACACAATTAGCAATTTTGGAGATGGTCTCTGACCCAGAAAGCAAAAGAAAACGGCAAGACGGTTCCGCCTTGAAAACCAGGAGGTTGTACCATCAGACATCCATCTCACAGAGGAGGGGGGACCCACGGGGTTACTCCGCAGGGCTCCAGGGACCTCCCTCATTCCGTCTTGGGCAGGTTCCGGCAGCTCTGGCTGGGAGGGCCAAGCAGAAGCCAAGGTCAATGGCCCTCCCCACACTCCCACAGCCCCTTCCTTCATGTTCAAAGCAGGACTCTCCTCAACTCCTGGATTTTAGGGCTGCCTCTTAACTCATCTCCCTGCATCCCCTCTCCTTCTCTGCCTTCATCCACGCTGCTCGCATCACGGCAGGTCTTTCTAAAGTGCCAGCCACAATGACCGGAGGAAAAGCAGGCTGTGGAGCAGGAAGTGGGGTGCTGTGGCCTGGGGCAGGGTGTTGGAGACAAAGCCTGCACTGTGTGTGGCGCCCCTGTGATCTCCTACCTCGGTCCTCACTGACTTCCCTCCCCTTACTGTCCTTTTACTCCCTGTCCCACACTTTAAAAAAACACAGTTTTGACTCTATTATGAGCCATCTCAAAACCACCTAGAGATAAGACAGGGATGTTTTTCAGTGATCAAATGAAGAACAAAGTTCTCCCACACATCAAAGAAACAAAAACTTGGGGTGAGAGGAAGTTAACCTAACTTGGCCTTCTCCCTCACCACTCCCTCCACCCACCTTCCTGAAAACAGAGAACAAGGAAGAAAGTGGAAAGTGCTATTGAAGGAATTTAAGAAAAGCCACTTGAGTCTGACAAGCTAGTGAACCTTAAGACTTGGCCGGGGGCTGCCAAGGTGGCTGGCTCTGGCACCTGGAGATGTGGATAAACATCTCAGAAAGTCAAACTGCCTCGGAGACTGTCACCAGGGCAGGAAGAGGGGAGCTGAGGTTTCCAGGGACCAGGAGGCCCAGGGACTTTCCAAACTGACTCTTACAGTGAGCTGTGAACAACTTCAGTAGCTCAAAACCTCCACTGCCTGGCCCAAGTTTTGGCCCTGTGTTATGCAGGGAAATTGAACCCTGGGTAGATAGCACTGTTCCAGCATCCTTTTGTGGGGAGGGAGACCACGGTCCTCCGGACAGCGAGACTGGATGAACACAGGCCAGGGGAGTCAGGAGGAAGATTTCCAGCATCCAATAAGCAGTGGTTCTCAAGTGGGGGTGACTTTGCTCCCCAAGGGATATAATGTCTAGAGACATTTTTGGTTGTCAAAATTGGAGTGTGGGCTACTAGCATCTAGTGGGTAGAGGCCATGGATGCTGCTCAACATCCTATAATCACCCCAGAGCAAAGAATGACCCACCAGAACATTAGTGTGCCAAGACCGAGTCAAAAATGCCGCAGCTCACTTCTCACTCACACTAGAGGAGGAGGGTGCACCACCATTCCTGGTTTAGCAGGCACTGTGCTAGGTGTTTTACACACCACTGAAGACACCTGACAACCTCCAAGGTGCCAAGCACTGCTCACACATTATAACCAATATGTACACACATTCACTCCTCTGACTGTATTTATTAGGCTCTGGAGCCAGACTGCATGGGTTCAAGTCCCTTTACAGCCACTTCCTAGCTAGAGAGCTATGGGAAAGTTACTTAACTTCTCTGTGTCTAACTCTCCTCATCTGCAAAACAGAATTGATGATAATGGGGATTAATCTCATAGGGCTGTGATGAGCAGTATATAAGGCAATATACAGCGTCCTTAGAACAATGCTGGGCACACAGTAGGTGCTCAATAAATCTCAGTGGATAAGAGCATAGATTCTACTGACCAGCTATTCATGTGGATCCCAACTCTAGTTCTTACTAGCTGTGCAATCTTGGGCAAGTTACCGAGGCCAGTTTCCTCATCTATAAAATGGGAGTTTCCAAGCCCCTCTCTGTGTGCCTCAGGGAGCAGCAGGCGGGTGCTACATCGATATCCTTAGAACAAACACCCATGGTGGAGTGGCACTGACATGAAAGTGGAAGCGGCTGTTAGTGCTGTTAAAGTAGATTAAGTGCCTGGAGATACAGCCATGGATCAGATCCTTGGTCAGGGGCATTGACTGGGAAGGACAAATTAATAAGCTGCAGAATAAACAAACCTACCAATAAAATCCACATACTCCCCCCATCAAAGAAAAGCACCCTCATTCCCATTCTCCAGATGGGGAAACTCAGGCTTAGAGCAGTGAAGTGACCTGCCCCAGCACACACCACTAACGGGTGTTGGAGGCTGATCAGTCTCCAACATCTAGTTCTGTCTGTGTGTCTACCCAGAATGGAATCAAAGTCCAGGTCCCCTGGGAACTGACCTTCAGGGGGAGACCGCACCCAGTGGCTGCCTCTAAGCAAGAAAGCAGAAGTTCAATTTCACCCTCCTGGGAGGGGCAAGATAAGGCCCTAGACTCCACCCCACTCTGCAGAGATCCTGCTCCCTGCAACCTTGCAGACAAGCTGCTGGGAAGAGCCAAACAGAGGACAGCCTTGGTGGCAGGGCAGCCATCCTGGCACAGAGGGACCAAACGCACACACCGTCTTTGATGGGCCGTCGCTCAATGCTGTCGGGCTCCAGCTCCTCGTGGGACAGAAAGACCCTGAGGCGTTTGAGGGAGACACTCGCCTACACAGGAAGTAATAACAGGGTGCAGTTATTTTTAAAAGCATTTTTGCAAAACAGACCCGAGGCTAATAATGTGGTGGCTTCCCCTGGGTGCAGAGGGGCCCACGTGCCCCCCCATTTCTGAAGGCTCTGAGTTTCCTACAACCAGTGCATGCCTTAGAATAAAAAGTAAGACAGGTTTTGGTTCTTGTTTCTTTTCCTTTAAAAACCCACAACCAGTATTAAAAAGGACTGTGCTAGATGCAAAGGGAATTAAGAACCATAATAACCAAAAGCAATAATCCCCTTTAAGGCACAAATTTGCAGCTAGGAGATAAGCAAGTCCTGGAGACAGAGTGCACAGTGCAGTTAGTGCTCGGAGTCAGCCATACCGGATTATAAATTCAAAGTTGCTAAGAGACTAGATCTCAATTGCTCCCATCACAAAAGGGACGTGGTAAGCACAGGGCGTGATGGAGGTGTTGGCTGACACTGCAGAGGCTGCCGTGCTACCATACATCAGCGCGCTAAATGTGCACAATGCAACGTGTCAAATACATCCCAATAAAAATAAATTAAAAAAAAAAAAACAGGTTCGGAGTCAAATAGCCCAACAGTAAAAACATTAATGAGACAATCCAGAACATATTAATATGGACTGCATATTATTTTAAGAAATTACTCTTTTGTTAGGCATGAAAATGGTCTTATAATTATGTAAGAAGAAATGCACACTGAAGTATTTGCATGAAAGGTCAAGAGGTCTTGGATTTGCTTAAAAATTTTCAGCAAAGAAAAAAAATGAAGGGAGGGAAGAATCAGTGAGGGAGGAAGGTAGAAAAAGGACTGGATGCAGCATGTGAGACAGAATGTTGAATCCGAGTGTCAGGTACACAAATTTCACTACACTAGTCCCTACTTCAGTGTAAATTGGAAATATTTCATAATAAAAAGGGGTTTGATTTGCTTGTTGTTTTTTTTTAGATAAAGCCTACAACCAGAGTTAGACAACCAAATATTGAGGCTGATTCATCTGTGTGGCTGAAAACGGGGTTTTCAACATGAATATGTGCAACGAAAGGGAGAAGAGTGTGAAAAGTACCACTGGCAGGAAGTGGTAGAAGTTCAAATGGTGCAAAAGTGCGGCGGAGCAGTTTCCTTTCCCTGTGGGTTCACTGCATGAGTTTTAGGAACTCTAGGGGGGCTCGGTCAAGGCCTATTAATAGCTGGCAAAATCAACTTACTGGGTTAAGAGATGCATTTTTGAAAAGATAGAATAGGGCACAGGGCAGGGCAGAACAGAGCAGATTGGAATGGAATAAAATATTTCGGAAAGAATCTTAGAGAGCATGGGAAAGCCTGGTTGCATTAAACTTTTGTTTCATATGCGTACGTGTGAGTTCCCTGTCAAGACGTAAAACGTATTTCTTTCTTTGGACCACGACCAAAAGGCATAAAAGCCACCGGTCCAGGCCTCACTGCACCCATGGGCACAGCAGGACAGGAAATGCAGAGGGAGCCACCTCGAGGGGGATTGTTAAGCCCCCCTTTTGTTCTGCTCCCCCAGAGAACCCTCCCTGAAGTCCCCCAGCCTAACCTGTACCTGCACGATGCTGCTGATGACCATGGGGAGAATGTTCAGGGGAAAACGGAGGATGTTGAACAAGGCCAAGGACACAAAGGCTTTCTGGGCATCCAGGACGTTGTGCTCGCCGGTGGTCACATAGACCGCAAATGTACACAGGGCCACCTGGAAGCAGAATGCCCGTCACTGACTGTGTCCTGGAGTCAGAGTCAGAATCTAGGAGAAGTTACATGCCCCCAGCCATGGGTTCAGGCCTTCCCCATGGCAGGTGCGATCGCATGGGGCTGGAGGCAGCAGAAAACGCCCAAGACAACGTCTAGCACACGACAGGCACTCACCAAACACTCAGAGAATGAACACAATAAATGAATGACCGGGAGCCAAAATTACCATCCTCTCCCACCCACTTCCTCTGAGGCATGAGGGATTCCTCAAAACACAGAAGTATAATCACACCTCCGGGCCTTTACGTTTGCAGTGTCCTTTGCCTAAAACAACCTTCCCATCCAGGTGGTGGCTGGGTTACTGTGCCTTACCTGCCCCTCCACCTGAAACAGCCCTGCCGTTGCTCCCCATCCTCCTATCCTGGTTTATTGTTCTTCACAGCACCCACCCCCACCTCTTACTATCCTGTTATATGTATTAGCTGTCTGGCTCCCACACTGAAATGTAAAACCCCACAAAGGCAGGGACTCTGTCCTACACACACAGCACAGCTGCATCATTGGTGCCTCGAACAGACCCTGAGACCCAGGAACACTGAATAAGACCTCGGCCAAGTTACCTCCTCTCCCTGTGCCTCAGCTGTCTCATCTGTGAAACAGGGGTGAAGACGGAGAATTAATGTCAATGTTTAAAGTTCCTGCCAGCTTATAAAGTTTTGTGTAATTTTATACCCCCAGGACAGAAAACCTTACTTAAATAAAAAGAAGGAAAAGAAAACAGCCACTAGCCACTCCCTTCCCCACAAAGTCAGACCTGCCTTAAGCCTTGTGACTTTACTGCCTTGCCTAAGTTCCTGGGATTTACTTCCCAGGCAACCAGGTTTGGGCTCATTGTAGAGAGAGGGGCACGCCACTTCCCTCACCAGGAGGAATGAGGGAAGCCCTGAATGATCCAGGGCCCGGCTGCTTGGTGTAGAGGGGAGGGAAAAGATCAGTGGGTGAATTTCTGTGCCTCGCCCTCACTGCTGGGGACAGAGCAGTGCCAGGTGTCACCAGGGGTGGGAAACCACAGGCGTCCCACAAGGGCGTCTGGTACCTGCTACCAGAAGCAGTCTGGGAAACCTCGGACCTGGCTGATGAACAGAAGCTCCCAGTCCCATGCTAGCCCCAGACTCCCAGAGCCACTGGGGTCAGGGGACATAACTGGGCCCAGGGCAGAGAGCTGGAAGTCAGGAGATTCAAGTTGAAGCCTCTGGTGTGTCTGTGGTTCGGTATATTTTCAGGGTCTCAGCTGCCTCATTTCTCTGCTACCCATTAGAAGGTTGTAAAGCTTAAAAATTAAAACCGTAAGTTTGGCCACGTATCAGCTGGGTGTGCCACCCCACTCCTCCAAGCGAGCCTCCCTCTAGAAAGCAGGGATCCTGATACCCTTTGCAGAGCTGCTGCGGCAGGAAGTCAGGCACTTAGGTGGAGTGCTTAGCACAGTGCCCAGGGCACAGCAAAATGCAGCATGTATATGGCAGCTGTTTTTATTTGTTACAGGACTCAGTCTAAACTCCTTGGATGGTTCTCCCAGAGAGTCTATAAACCAGTCCCAAGAGCAAGGCCCCGGGGAGCCAAGCTGGTTCCTGCTCTGGCTCTGACACTAACAAGCTGGGTGACCCTGTGGCAAGGCACAACCACGTGCCCGGCTCCATGACCGGGAGGGTGGCCAGGCACTCAAAAAGCCACCGACACCTGCTCCCTGGGAGGCCTGCACACCCTGGCTCCCCTCTCCCAGGCAGCAACCTCTTGTCCTAAGGTGCTCTTCACTCGAAACTCCCCAAGTACATCACACAAGGGAAGAGCGTTTGGCCATAAAAAGGAATGAAGCAGTGACACACACAGTGTGAAGGACCCTGAAACAAGGCATTACGTGGAAGCAGGCAGACGCACAAGGCCACACAGCCATGCGACTCCATTTGAATGAACTATCCAGAATGGGCAAATCCGCGGAGACAGAAAGTGGAGTAGTGGGCGCCGGGGCTGGGGCGTCGGGGGAATGGGGAGCGACTGCCAATGAGGGTTTCTCTCTGGAGCGATGGAAGTGTTCTGGAGTCAGATAGTGGTGGCAGTTGCGCAACCTTGTGAATATACTAAACGGTGCTGCGTTTTACACTTAAAAATGGTGAATTATACTGCAATAAAAATAAATAATTTTTTAAAAACCCACCTCACCAAAGTCAGTGTGCTTTGCTTACTGTAGCAGCTAAGCCGCAGGGCCCGCACTGTCCGGCCTCCTCTCCTACCGTTCTCCCGCTCGCTCCCTCTGTTCCAGCCCCACCGGCCTCCACGGTCATTTCTGCTCTGGGGTAGGCAGAGCCCAGCCTCAGGGCCTGGTCCACTCACTCTTTCCTCCCCCCGGCAGGCCCCTCACCTCCATCAGGTAAAGACTCGAGTGTCGCCTTCTCAGTCAGGTCTTCGGTCGTCCTAGGGAAAACTGTAAAACGGATGCCCTCCCCATAGCTCTAACCTGAATCTTTTTTCCCCACAGCACCTACGACAGTTTGGCACACTCTATGATGTATTTATTATGCCTATTGTTTACCGTCTGTCTCTCCCAGTTAGAATGAATGAACACTCCATGAGGGCAGGGAACTCTGTGGTGTTCACTGCTCTATCATGGGTGCCTGGGACAGCACCTGGACCAGGGCAGGTACTTAGGTAATGTGTGTGGGTGGGTGCAGAGATGGATAGATAGATGGGTGGGTGGGTGGGTGGGTGGGTGGATGGACTTGCCTGAAGGCAGGAGGGCATATACTCAGATGTATCTCTTCAGCAGTGGAGAAAACCAGGCCTCAAGCATCTCACCACCAGACCACGCCAGCTCCCTTGGCCCACTGACGGGGCCTGCCAGCAGCACAGGGCACAAGCAAAGAGGGGGTATCACCACGTAGCCCCTGTCAGACCCACAGACCTGGCTTTTCCAGGAAGCAGGGGTCATTCATTCATCCGTCAGTTACTAACTGAGCACCTACTGTGTGTCAGGCACTGTGTGCTCTGAGGTGAGGCAAAAGGAGATCCTGATGTTATCGGCACCCTGAGTTCTTGTGATTTCTCAGGATGGAAATCAAGAGATCACCAGAAACTGACATACTGCCTGGTGCATTGGTCAGGAACCAAACCCAGGAGGCAGGTGAGAATCCTACCACTGAACCACCCTGGGTTCTTGGGAACTCCTGAGATAGAAATCAAGAGAGTTCCCGATAAAGTAGTACTTAGGTGAGAGGTTTATTATATATAGTTTGTGCACCAAGGGAGAGAGCATCTAAAGGGAAAAAGAAATGTTGCTCTCTGAACAAAAGCTAGGGAACATTTTTAGATAAGCTGAGGCAGGAAAGATGACATCAAAGTGTGATATCTAAATATATAGAGGTGGGAACTCTTTGGTGTTTGCGTGGTTAACTACATGTTTCTTCATCAATCTCATTAGCATATTAAATCTCCACCCAGGGGGGTGTTTTTTAGTATTTAAATAAGGGAAGTTCACTGAAAGGACAGTCTATGTTGCTAGCACACATGCATGAGTGACCACCAAAATAAATCGTGCAGATAGCAATGTCCTTCAGTCTAGCTGCTAACTGGCCGTAAGAAGGAAAGCTTTGAGGCAATTAATGGGTCCCTGGCTTCCTGCCAGCTGGACCCAGGGAGTAGCCTGCCTATCTCACTGAGACTCACAGCCTAGTAGGAAATAGGTACTAGCCAGGTTCTCTCTATCAGGGGGTGTTTAGAAGTGTGTGAAGGTGACTGGGTAGCAGGTGGTGGGGACCTAGGGTTGGCTACCATGCTGTAATGGGTGAGAGTAAAGAATGAGAGAAATCCTTCACAAACAACAAAGAACTGTCTCACTCTAAGTGCTAACAGTGCCACCACTGAGAACTACAGCAAATGACTGAACTATCGACACCAGCCCAACCCCCAAAATAACCTGACATCTCTTTGTGTGGACATCTGTTCTTCCTACCTGCCCAGTATCAATTCCGCTGGTGCTGGTAAGAACACCTCAATTTTTCTTTGGGGAAATGAACCTCCCCCAATCTCAGTCTATGAGCTTCAGCCACAGATGAATGGCCCATACTCCACCCCAAACTCATGACCAGGCAGGGTCAATCCAAGCTTCCTGTCTCCCTGGCTTTAGGGATTCAGGATAAGCGTGTAGCCAAGTAGAATCAACAAGACTCAATCTCACAGCTTTGTAGGAACTGACAGAGAAAGGAGGGTTCTCTCCTCATAGGAGGTAACAGGACCAACTGTAACTGCATGGCGAGCACATGTCTGACAAAACCAAGAAGAAAGCAGAGCTAAGAGATGGATACGGATCATTGGAGCACCTAGATGCAGCCATGCCTGAGACCCTCACCACACTTAAAACCAGCACTTTCCTAGACTTTTCAGTTTTTTAACTTGAAAATCTCTCTATTTCACTCTAGTCAATCTGAATTAGGTTTCTGCCTCTTGCAAAGAGTTCCTGACTAATAGTTTCCTCAAATATTTCATTCATTCACTTATTCAATCATTCCTCTACCTACACTTACAGAGTGTGCACCATTTGCCAAGTCCCCTGTGTTCTAGGGATACAAGAAAAAAAACATGATGTCCATGTATGATCTGATCAGTGGAGAATTACAACAGATAACTACCATCTGGAATGATAATTATCTAATGAAGGGAGATATAAGGCAAGTAGAAGGTAAGAAGTGCACAAATCTTCCAAGGCAGAAAATGTTAAATATTGCTGGCTGCCTGGAGATGCTATTTTAAGAAAAGTGCATTAAGTGGACATGATAAATGCCAGGCTCTGTACTCCAGAAAAACAGTCCCATCAATCCCACTACATGGCATCCCCACTCCTGTCTGACCTCCCCAGGCCTCTGTCTTCCATCACACCTACCCGTGGGTAAACACCTCATCATCCTTGAAGCACAGGAATTCACCAGTGAATGTGCAAACACCTTCCAAGGAAACTGAGGGCTACATATTTTATCCTAATGTAGTCAGAGGTTTTGGTGTCTCAGCCATGGCCCAGGGCCCAGCTGACACCCAGGCTCATCTGTTTCACGCCCAACAGCTCAACAAACTCCATCACCCACCCCAAAACTGAGCCGCAGATTCAAGGTCAAGCCAGTCCCACGCTTAAGCATCTCTTGCTGCAGCTTCCTAATAGAGACCAGGGCGGGAGATAATAAATGAAGAGTCAGCACGTTCAGGTGACAAGCTGGAAACTCAGTCTGGTCAGAGGATCTAATGTGCAGGGGAAAGGGTTATGGGAAAAGGAGCCCCTGTCCTAAGAGCACACAAACCATAGACTAAACCCTGACACTTGCTCCTCTGACTGACAATCTTTTCCTATTAGAAAAAAAAGTAATTCAAACACCTTGGAGTTCTGAATGATTGCTATCACTTGTATAAAAGTAACTAAAAGAGATATATAAGTTTAATGACATTACTTGTGCAGAGTCACTGTTATGCTGTATATGTAGGCTTTCTCTGTAAATACACAGAAGCCGCCAGGCTTGGGGGCAGGGTGCACATTTCCATGTCTGGAGACTATTTTGTCCCAACTGGAGAGGTGGAGGGACAGGCACCACTTGGCATCGAGAGGACAGAGGTCAGGAGTGTTGCTAAGCACTGTACAATGCAGGGGACAACCCCCACACCAAACAGACAAAGAATGATCGGGTCCCGAGTGTCAACAGCACGGAGGTCGCAAAACCCTGCTGCAAGTCCTTTAGGACAGCTTTAACCATTTTTACCATGGCAATGCATGGCTGTTTTTAAAACAAAATGTATCACATATACAAAATACAACTACTAGTTACAAACATGTAAAGACTATTTAACAACTTAAAGAAAAACCGCCCTGGCTGGTGTGGCTCAGTGGATTGAGTGCCAGCCTGCAGACCACAGGGTTGCTGGTTTGGTTCCTGGTCAGGGCTAGGGGTGCAAGAGTGGCAACTGATCAATGTTTCTCTCTCTCTCTTCCTCCTTTCCCCTCTAAAAATAAATACATATTTTTTTAAAAAGAAAATAATGAAATGAACATGCTATACAATTACCATCCAGAGTTATATTGCTTTTACTTTTAAAACTCAAAAAGGGGTGTCAAGTACCTGGGGACGGTCGGGGAGACTGGAGTGTGAACAGAATGAGACAGCAGAACCTCCTAACCCAGAATGCTGGAGTGTTTGAGCTGCAAGGGGGGGTCTTAGGAACACAGAGTCCCAGAAGAGCGAAGAGATGCCAAGTCTCTTCTCGTGCCAACTCCGGGCAGTTGACACTGGTCACCTGGAGTGCTGCTCAAACAGAACTTGGTGGGAGGGAACACCCCAGCTGACTGTGGATGTCTGGTGTGGGCGGGGGACGTGGGGCAGGGCAGGGCAGGGCAGGGCCCTGTATGTGACATCTCTGCAGCCTAACCCCTTCATATGTGAAAACCCAGAGGCAGGGAGGCAGGATGACTGGCTTCGGGTCCTGATGTGAGCGGGCAGCAGAATTCAGCAGCTGTCCTGACTCTCAGAAGAACATTCCATTCTGGGCTCAGCATCCTATGGCCTGTGGTCCACATCTGTTGTCTGGCCCTTGAGCTTAGAATGGCTTTTACATTTTTAAATTATTTTTTAAATCAAAATAATAATACTTTATGATGCAAAAATTATATGAATTCAGTGTCTATAAATAAATTTTTATGGGAACACAACCACAACCATTCATTTATGTATTATCTGTGGCTACACTAAGTAGTTGTGATAGAGACCATATGGCTCAGAACACCTACAACACTTACTAGCTGGTCCTGCACAAAAAGTCTGCTTACTCCTACTTTTTCTCATTGTTTCTCAAACTGCCTGAGGGGAGGCTGCCAAAATTCAGATTCTGTTTCACCTGGTCTGGGGTGAGGCCTGAGGGTATGCATTTCTAATATGCAAGCAGGTAATACCACTCTGGTTGTGAGCCACACTGAAGAGTGGGGATTTACTCCAATGGTTCCCAAAGTGTGTACCCCAAACCAACAGCATCAGTAGCACCTGGGAACATGCTAGAACTACTAACACTCAGGCCCTACCCAGACCTACTGGACCTGAAACTGTGGGTGGGGCCCAAGGAGCTATGCCTGAGCAAGCCCCCCAGCGGATCCCAATACCCCCTCAAGTGTGGGCATTGCTGCTTTTCCCCACACTGCCTAGCCGGAGGGTTCCAACTCTGAAGACAGTAAGCTGAGCCTAATAAAATCCAGTGTCAGAATGAATACACTTCGGCAAACACTGAAAACACAGGCGCCCTAGCTGGTGTGGCTCAGTGGATTGAGCACTGGCTTGCCAAACGAAAGGTCACTGGTTCAATTCCCGGTCAGGGTACATGCCTGGGCTGTGGGCCAGGTCCCCAGTTAGGGGCCTGAGAGAGGCAACTGATCGATGTTTCTCTCCTTCACATTCTCCCTCCCCTCCCCTCTAAAAAAATAAATTAAATCTTTAAAAAAAAAAAAGGCAGGAGCTTCCCTAAACATTCTACCTGCAATTCAGCTGTGGTGAAGTAAATGTTAGTCTAAAAGAAACTTATGAAAATGTGAGCTTTTAGTTCATAGAACTTCCCATAAGAATATATATTTGCTGATATAGCTAAGTAATAATCATTATTAGCGCAACATTTTAAGACATAGTTAGAATACCAAGACAGAAGGGAAAACACAAATATGGGCACCATCTGAAATCATCCTTAACCATTCTTAGCTATCAACTGTGCGTGGTCCATCTCCACACGGCCTCTTGGTCTGGGACCATCTTTGTAAAACAGTGGCTTGCACTGCCGTCTTTAAAGTTTTCAAAGCTAGCCAGCCTGGGAGAGACCCACTAAACTACCCCAAACCATGCATATTGGAACATTCGCTGCAGCGTGGGTCATAAGAGCAGAGTAAGAACCACCCTAAAGAGCCGGGCCTGGGAGACAGGAAAGCCAGCTGTGGCACACCTACACACTGCACAGGCACTCGCTGACACGGACAAGGCGGGTCCAAGCAGGAACCAAGGTTATACAGTTAAGTCTAAAAAGGTCTAGAACACTGGAGTATGACTCCACTTCAATATATTAAAACTATTCTTTAAATATCCAAATACATAAATATTTTTTCTGAAAAGATACATGAAATCGTCACTTCAGAGGAGAGGGACAGATGGGAGGAAAGACAACTTATTTTTCATTTTATAACTTTCTGTATGGTTTGAATTTTTTTTTTTTTACAATCAATGACAAATATTTGTTGGGTGCCAAGTTGCACTATTTTAGGCACTGAGGATAGAGCAGTGAACAGAAAAGACAAAATCCCTGCCTTCCTGGAGCTGACACTCCAGTGGAGACACAATAAATGAAACAATTAAGTAAATTTTGGAGTGTGTTTGGCATTGCCACTCAAAGTGTGGTGCACAGGTCACGGCCAACACAAGTTTGTGGCCAGTCAGCCACAGGGAAGGACCTGACACCGTAACATAGCTCAGCTACGGCACTGAGCACGCAGTTTGGTTCAGCGGACACTTGTATGCTTAGCAAGACTTTCTCAATGAAGGACGCAGAGAGTGCGGGTGGACGTTCTGGGGCAAACGCCTCATTTCACAGGGAACCTGTAAAAACAGTTCCTGAACTGGCTGCTTTGAGTACCCTGGGTTGGAAACTCCTAAATGTGATGAATAAAATAAAGGATGTGGATGTGTGCGACAATTTTAAAGGGAATAATAGAAGAAGACCTTGTTGGAACAGTGACATTTTGAAAATACTTAGGTATGAAAACAAAACAAAACATAAAATAATATGGGCCAAGATAGATCTGGCTTCACTCACCAGGAAAGGTGTGCAGACCCAGGTGAAGGTCCCCACAGCTGCCAGGTAGGCAGACTTTTTCAGCACCTTCAGCTCCTCCTGCCTGATGGCCAGCACCTTGTCTTTGAACGCCAGCTCCCAGGCATAGAGCTTGAGCACTTTGATCCCATTGAGAATTTCATTCATCAGCTTAATCCGATTGTCTTTGCTCTTCATGTGGGCTACCTTCAAAGAGAAGAGCAATCAACTCACATCTGGGGCTGGCCCACTCACTCCTGGCCCTGGTGGCAGACCATCACTCCACACCCCTACCCACTAAAGGGCCTTCCTAAGGGTGCAAAAACTGAGCTGACCCTGCAATTGCATGAACCCTACTGCTGACCTGAGAGCACTCCAAGGAACTCCTATCAATGAGAAAAAAACCTGCTTCGAAGCACATTAAATTAGACACAAAGAAACCTATTAGATCAAGGAATAGAGGCAAGAAAATCCTTCAGGTATCCAGGGAAGAAGCGGGGACATGGTTCCTACTCCGAAGATCCAAACATGAGAGAAATCATATTGGGTTTTTCCCTTCTGCTTTGTTATTTTCTTTATAAATTTGCAGCCAGGCATGGTTGTTTACAATACCGAAGTGTTCCTACAACAGCCAGAACTGGTTCCGACCCCTGGGTACCTGCACCATACATTGTTAAACATTTCTAATAGCATCTGGCTCTTTCCACACACCAGGCACTTTCTGAGCACTTTACATGCATTTAGTCATTTAATGCTCATGAGAACCCGATTATTGAATGCTACGGTCATGACTGGGGCACAGACGAGGACACTTTAAGAAGCCGTTTCAGAGGCAGGCCTACTTCCCTGCTCAGGGAAGCCTACATATCAAGAGGATAAAAGCGGATACAGCCACAAGCCCCTTCCTTGCCTGTCCTCTCTTGCCATCCCCCCCCCACTCCTGCCTGAGGAGGCCTCATTCCAACAGGCCCACGTCCTGAAGCCATCTCTTCTAAGGCATCATCGGTGAGGTCAGGCCCTCCTCTTTGAAATGCCATAGGCACTTCATAAATAGCCAACAGCCGTTGACATGGGAGCAGAGAAAAAACTCTGGCCCGTCTCTGCTGTGGACCATTAGGCACCAGTTCAAGAGAATGAAGTCAGGCTGTGGCATGCTCAAGATCCCCAAGGCATGGGGACGACATCAGGCTGCCAAACAGGCCCGTTTGTGTAAAATATATGTGGTGACAATACAAAAAATATGTAAAAGATTTAAAAAACAGCCCCCCCCCCAACACACACACAATGTAACTATTTAACCAGATCTCTACATTAATGCATAGAAAGTCCTAGAAGAATTTGCTTCACGGTGTTCACTGCAGTTGAGGATAGGAAAGGGGACGTCCCCTTTTAATCTATAAACCTTTGTTTTGACATTTTTTAAATAATGAGAAGGCATTCACTCTGCTACTTGGGTATTTAGAAACTTAAAAAATACAAAGTGTCTCTGAAACTAAAGAGTTGACCACTGCACCTAGCATAAGGTAAGAGGGGGAAAGTAGGGGTAATTTTTGCTTACCCTTAAAAACACACACACGAATACATTCCTGGGAAATAAGGAATTTCTTGGAGGATCACAAACATGCTTCCAGTCCCTGGCTCACTAAGTCTAATGATTTTAGGAGCTCACAACGTGGGCTGCCCGTTGTAATCACCGGGGAAGCTTTAAAGACTCCGGAAGCCCAGGTCCTACCCATATTAGTTGAATCAGAATCCCAGGAGTGGAGTCTGGACATCAGTATTTGTTAAAGCTCCTCAGGGGATCCCAACAGGCATGCAAGGCCGAGAACCCCACATCCTGAGCAGAAGGAACTCAGCTAAAACCCACATAGAAAGACCACAGGTCAGGGCCCAGCCCGGAGTCCTGTGGAGACAGAGAGCCTACCTGGTAGGTCTTGGTCTTCATGGCCATGAAAGCATTGAGGGGAACCATGAGGATCATCACAGCCACACCAGCCAGGACGGAGGGGCCCAGGTTCTAAGGGAGGAAAGAGAACAAAGGCCTTCACACAGGGCTTCCCCAGGCCGAGCCTCCCCGCCCCGACTCTGCAAGTTTGCTGTAGTTATGTTACTTTAACCCAACAACGGGCTGTTAAATCAGATATATTCCTGACCATCTCAGGGGATGCCACAACCCCTTTAAGATTATGCAGGTCCATGACCCTTTATTGGAACCCTTGGGACCAGATAAGTTTTGCAAATTTGAACTTTAGAATTTTAGAAAGGTAATAAGGTCTTGAGCAAAAAACAGTTAACACAGCCAGCCTGAGGATTTACCTTGTGTGAAGGTCTGCTTACAAACCTGGCCCTTGGCTGCATGTGGGAGCTCGGGTTTGGGGGAGGGTTCCCACATTCTCAGAACTGATCCAACCAGCTCCCTGTGCCTAAACTGTTGGTACAAACAATATGGTGTGTGCTGAACCCCCTTTTCCTTCTGGAAGTCTGGGAGCTTGGCAAGTGCCAGGCAGAGGCTGACTATGTGACCAGCCCCCGACAAAAACCCTGGACTCCAGGTCTCTACCGAGCTTCCCTAGGTGGCAACACTCCCCACGAGCTGTCACACCTGGCTGCTGGGGAGTCAAGGGCATCCTGTGTGACTCCATGGAAAGGATGCTTGCAAGCCTGTACCTAGTTTCCCCCAAAACTTTGACCCTGCAGCTCAGCCCTCCCCTCAGCCTGCTGTAACAAATTACAGCCCTGCATCCTCCTGAACCATCAACCCGGCATGCACTTGGGGACTCCTGGCACACGGGTATATGCCCTTCGACTGCACCCACCCCCAGCAGGCCCCGGCACAGCACTCCATAATCAAATGCATTGATTTTACAGCAGCAAAATAAGTATATCTGCATGGAGAGAAACAATCAAGGTTATAAATAGTTCATATCCATTCAGGTCAAGATTTGCCACCAGATAAGTTAAGAAAAACTCTGGATTTTCATAGCTGTTTGAATGAGATTTACAGATAAGAGGTTGTAGATTTTTTCTCGTCCCATTGGCAGACTACAGTCTCTGAGCGGTTGATAGGAGGTGACAATACAGATCTGTATCTTCCAAATTCCACAAATACACGGAGACCGCCTGAGAAGTTGGCCCTGTGTGGATTTACTTAGCTGAAACACAGAGATGGAATTATAGGGCCGTGTGCTTCTTTTTCCCCTTACGCATTCAGAAAAACAGGAGTGTTAGTCCCTTCCCAGTAGTCACCTGCAAGGGCTCCAGGCCTAGTCCCAAAAACAATACTCCGGTTGATCCAAATGGCTTTGGTGAGGTGAAGATTAATCTACCTTTGAGAACAAAGGTGATTTCTACCAACCAATGAAAGCATTCAGAGTATTGACAGCAAATAGTAGTAACTAAAAGAAACTGAGAACATCTGTGTACCATGCACTGTTCCATAAACATTATCTGCATTAATTTACTCGATTCTCTGTCTCAACATCCCTCTGATAAGAGGTACTGTCATCATCACTGATTTACAGAAGAGGACACTGAGGCTTAGGGACATTAAGAGTTAAGTCATAGAGTGAGCGATGGAATGAGGCAGGATTTAATAAACCCAGGCAGTCGGAGTCCAGAGCCCACGCTGTCACCCACTATCCTACACCATGTTTTTGAGGATCAAAATAGAGAAACCTATTGCTGAACTAAGCCTGTGGTCTCCAACCAATTTCCCCCAAGGGGACATCTGGCAATGTCTAGACACATTCAGGCTGCCATAACTGGGGAGTGAGGAGAGTTTTGTGTTGTTGGTGTCTTGTGGGTAGCGGCCAGGGATGCTGCTAAACATCCTACACCACGAAGAGCAGCCCCCACAACCGACAACTAACCGGCCCCAAATACCAATAATACATTCACCAACCCCCACTGAAACAAAGCAATTTTCTTAATAGTTCATAAACCAACCCCAAAGCAATTCTAAAAGAAGTATTCCAAAAATATTTTGCTCACGGCAGCACTTTCTGGGCAAGCAGGTGCCAAAAAGATATTAATTTTGATATCTAAATTCTAGCATTTATTTTCTAAGTTTCATTAAGAGAAACAATTTATAATCATTTGCCACCTGCTCTATAAATACACAAAAACCATAAAATACAGCCAAATCAACAGATAATTTGTGGTGTACCTATTATGCAGCAGGCCCCACTGGGACTGCACCCACAGGTTCCAAAAACAAGACCCTATGAGTCCGTGAGTAGCTAACAGACTCCCAAGAGAGGAGGGGGTGTTATACTGAGTGTGCAATACACTATTTTAAAAGGTAAAATCAGATGAGTTTCTATACTAAAGCTACTGGGATTCAAAAGAGGAATAAATCCGTTTATGTGAGAAGGAAAAAAATCAGTGGCACTGGTCACAGTCTTGAGGGGTGGATAGCATTTCATCCTTAAAGAGGAAGGATGGAAGGGTGTTCCTGGTGGAAAGAAATGCACATGCAAAGGCTCAGAGGGGGTAAAAGAATAAGGCATGTGACAGGATATGAGCATCTTTGCTCATCATCTTCTGATTTTGGAAACTGCCCCTTTTCTGGTAGAAGGGCTGTCAATCATACCTCCACCCCTTCCACAGTGTGAGGGCTTTGACCTAGGCTGGACAATCAGAGAAACCTATTTTTGGTCTACACCAGTCATCCCCAACCAGACAGGACTTTGCCAGGCCAATCAGAATGCTCCCTGGGGCTCTGGCTAAGGTAAAGAGTAGTGCTATCTGTAAAAGTAATACAAGCCCAAAGCTATAAAAGCCACTTAGGGAAATCCCATTGGAAATAAGGTCAATTGGCAGGAAAACATGACTAAAAAATGATTAAAGAGCAAAGCTAAGTCCCTGCAGCATTCCTTGAACTCCTAGATCCAACCATGTCTGAAGTCCCTGGACTTTTCAGTTACACGCATGCACTCCCAAAATTGCCTTTATTTGCTTAGGCTATTTTTAAATTGTGGGATTTTTTTTTAATTTTTAGGAAAATGTACTCAGATGTTGCAATTATGCCTACAGCCATAACACTGGATGTTGTAATCCTATCTGCCTCAAACACAAAATTGCATCAAGAGATCTCCAAGGAGCCCTAGACAGTGTGACTCAGTTGATTGGAACGTCATTCTGTAAACCAAAAGGTCGCTGATTCAATTCCCAGTCAGGGCACAGGACTGGGTTTCAGGTTCTGCCCCCAGCCACAGTGCATACGGGAAGCAACTGGCTGATATCTCTTTCACATCAGTGCCTCTCTCTCTCTCTCTCTCTCTCTCTCTCTCTCTCTCTGTCTGTCTGGAATCAACTAATATATCCTCAGGTGAGGATTAAAAAAGAGAGAGAGAGATCTCCAAGGAACCAGAGGGGCAGAAAAAGTGTTGTTGCCTGAAACAGGGGAAGCTCTAACCATCTTATTACTCAGCAGACATTGGGAGTGAACTCTAGTGCAAATATTTTGAATGTAGTGCCTTCTTTCTACCCTTTCCACTTTTCCCAACTCGATTTTTTAGTTTCTTTTTTTTTTTCTTTTATTCCCATCTGTCCACAACCCCCCTTTGGCAACTATCAGCTTGTTCACTGTAACTATGGGTCTGTTTCTGCTATTTTATGGGTCATGTTCTACTATTTTAGATTCCACATCTAAGTGAAATCATACAGTATTTGTCTTTCCCTGACTTATTTCCCTTAGCATAATACCCTCTCAGTCTATCCATTATGTCACAAATGGCAAGAATTCATTCTTTTTTATTGCCAAATAATATTTCATTGTGTACCCATTCATTTAGATTGCTCTTATATCTTGGTTATTACTACTAATGCTACATGGAACGCAGGAGTACAAGTACCTTTCCAAATTAATGTTTTTGTTTTCTTTGCATAAATATCCAGAAGCACAATTGTTGGGTTATAAGGTAGTTCTATTTTTAATTTTTTGGACCCTCCACACTGTTTTCCACAGTGGCTGCACCGATTTACACTCCCACCAATGGTGCACAAGGGTTCCCTCTTCACATCCTCATCCACACCTGTTATTTGTTGATTTATTAACAGTAGACATTCTGACAGGTGAGACAATATCTCACTGTGGTTTTAATTTGCATTTCCCTGATGATTAGTGATGTTGAACATCTTCTAACAGGTCTATTCGCCATTTTTATGTACTCTTTGGAGTAATGTCTGTTCAGGTCCTTTGTTTTTTTTGGTGTTAAGTTGTATGAGTTTCCTCATATATTTTGGATATTAATCCTTTATTGGATTAATATCATTTGGAAATATCTTCTCCCATTCAGTAGATTATCTTTTGTTTTGATTTCCTTCACAGTACAAAAGCTCTTTAGTTTGATATAGTTCCATTTCTTTATTTTTTCTTTTGTTGCCCTTGCCCCAGGAGGCATGTCCAAAAATATATTGCTTTCTTTTTGTTTCTGTTTGCATGGAATATTTTTTTCCATCCCTTCCTTCTCAAGCTGTATGTGTCTTTCAATCTGAACTGAGTCTCTTACAGCCAGCACATCGATGGGTCATGATTTAAAACCATTCAGCCACCCTGTGCTTTTTCGCTGAAGCATTTAACCCATTTACATTTAAAGTAATTATTAATAAGTATGCACTTATCGCCATGTTGTTTGTTGTTTTTAGGTTGTTCTATAGCTGTCTTCTGTTCCCTTTCTTCTCTTCACCTCTTCCCTTATGGTTCACTGTTGCTCTTTAGTGTTCCTTTCTCTTTGCTCTTTGTGCATCTTTTGTAGATTCTTTGGTTTGTGGTTACCATGAGGTTTTTGTACAGGTGGGGCGAAAGGAGGTGTACAGTTGTGAGCATGAGAAACCAAGAGCTTATTCTTGTATCACTATTTATTAATTATTGTATCCTTTTTCATAGGAACTGTAAGCCTACTTTTGCCCTACCTTATCTATCATTCTTTATCTGTAGCAATCTATTTGAAGACAGTAAGTCTGAATATATTTTCTAAGGACCAGGTTTTTACTCCCCCTTCCATGCTTTATGTTATCGATGTCACGTTTTAGATCTTTCTGTGTTGCATATCTCCTAACTGCGTATTTTAGTTTGAGTTGTTTCATACTTTTTTCTTTGGACCTTCATAGTAACCTTTTAAATATCTCATTTGCTGTATTTATTAAATATTTGGCACTACCTGTGAGATTTTTTTTCCTTTCCCATATATTCTTATTTTGGGTTATGGCCATTCCTTTTCTGCTTAAAGAAGACCCTTTAACAGTTCCTGTAAAGCTGATTTAATGGTGGTGAACTCCTTTAGTTCTTGTTTGTCTGGAACACTGCTTTTTCTTCAACAGTGAATGATTGATAACCTTGCTGGGGCAATTATTTTAAGTTGTAGGTTCCTTTCTTTCAGCACTTTCGAGATGTCCCACCACTCCCTTCTGACCTGTAAATTTGCTGATAGTCTCATAAGGTTTCCTTCATATGGAACTCATTTTCCTCTTGCTGCCTTCAAGACTGTCTCTTTAATTGTTGCCATTTTAATTACAGTACGTCCTGGTGTGGGCCTCTTTGGGTTCATCTTATTTGGAACTCTTGGTGCTTTCTGGTCCTGGATGTCTGTGTCCTTTCTCAGGTTAGGAAAGTTTTTAGCCATTATTTCTCCAAATGGGCTTTCTATCCCTTTCTTTCTTCTCCTTCTGGGAACCCCTATGATGCAGATGTTAGTATGCTTGATGTTATCCCAGAGGTCCCTTAGACCATGCTCATTTTTTTTTAATTCTTTACCTTTTTGCTTTTCTGACTGGTTGACTTCCACTAGGGTTTCAGGTCTTTGATACACTCTTCTGTGTAGCAAATTTGCTGTTCATTCCTCCTAATATATTTCTTCATTTCAGTTATTGTACTCTTTGGGCCTGCTTTCTTCTTTCCTTTCTCTTTGTTGTTCTCCCTAAGTTCCTCTATTCCCCTCTCCAGTTTGTGAGCATCCTTATGACTGTTTCTTTGAATTCTTTATTAGGCAAATTACTTACCTTCACTTCCTTAGGGGTTTTATTTTGGGGTTTTTTCTTAATTCTTTCATTTGAGATTCTTCTGTCTTTTCATTTCGTTTGATTTTCTATGTTTGTTTATACAAATTAGATAAAATAGCTACCTCTCCCAGTCTCGGGGAAGTGGCCTAATGTAAAAGCAGTCTCTGTAGGCTGTGTGTCAGGTGGTTCTGGCAGCCAGTAGGAGCCCAGCAGGTGCCTAAGGCATACAGGGCACTGGCCTAACTAGCTGGAGAGGCTATGGATGGAGAGGACACATGTGTGTAGTAATACTCAGTTGGTCCTGCTTGCTCCCTTTGTTTGGGGCCAAAATGGGCTTGGGTGGTGTGTCCAGAAGCACACTGCAGCAACCTTGTGGGCAGGCCAGAGACCTGGATAGAGCCCCCACCCACCCTATGGAAATGGAGGGGGATATACAAATGGCTCTCTGGCCCTGGCCAGGTGGGTCAGTTGGTTGGAGCATCATCCCACACACCAAAAAAGGTTGCAGGTTCAATTTCCAGTCAGGGAACATACCTAGGTTGCAGGTTTGATCCCCAACTGGGGCACATGCAGAGGCAACCAATCGATGCTTCTCTCTCTTTCTCTCCCCCCTCCTTCCTCTCTCTAAAACCAATAAGCATATCCTTAGATGAGGATAAATTTTAAAAAATTTTAATGGCTTTCTCTGGCCCCTCAGACCCTGGAGAATCCCCACGTACCCCGGAGAGCTCCTGCAGCTCTCCAGTTTGCTAAGTCTCTCTCGTTTGTTACACAAAAGATGGTCTTGTGTAGAAGTGACCTCTGTGAGGGCTCGTGTGCTGGGCAGTTTGGGGAATCCAGCCAGATCCAGGCAGGTGCTGATGGCTCCTGGGGCACTGGCTGGTCTGACCAGAGTGGTCCCAGCAGGAAGGCCAGGTGCATATGGTGACACCTGCTGCTCCTGCTTGCCCCCTTCGTTCAGACACAAATGGCTGTTGGCATTATTAACTGCTGTGGTGACCTTGCAGACAGGCCAAAGCCCAGATCAGAGCCCCCATCAGCCCTATGGAAATGGAGAGGACCTTAGGCAAGGGCACCACCTGCTCCCTCAGCTTCGCTCCCCCAAGGAGAGTCCCTACAGGGCTTCTGTAGCTTCCCAGCCATCTCTATTTAGTCTCTTCATGTTGTTTGCTGTTCAGAAGCTGTTTGTTCTCAGCATACCTTTGCTGATTTATCTGATATATTTCTACCCTTTGCAACCAAGAGATATCTTGACCAACATAATTTAGGACCAGTGAATAAATGGGTAGGTTGGTATGTGGGAGAATACAGTGGCAGAAATATGAAGTGTATGTTGTAGAGTTGTTCATTACATATACTTTCAAGAAAAGATAAATGCAAATACCATTCCACTGAAGGGAACATAAACCTAACAACTGAGGAAAGGAATAAAATATCCAGAAATTGGCTGATGGGTCAGAAAATAAAAAGCAAATGACAGCATAAATACCAGTGAGTTACATGACTTCTTATCATGGACACCAGCTCCCTTGCCCCCACCGCCCACCCATGGAGGTCCCTCCCCACATGACTGGGAACCACATCAAACACACACCAGCCACAGAAGGTAGAGCGCAAGGATGACTTGCAGAGGGGCTGACCAGATCATGTTAATGTACGTGGTCAGGTCCATGAACCTCTGGGCGTCCACAGACATGAGGTTGACGATCTCCCCAACCGTGGAGGATTTTCTGGCAGAATTGGTGATCACCAGGGCCTGTGGGGCAAAGGAGAGGGAAAGAGGGTGAGCGTGGCAGGTGAGGAGCCCAGGAATGCCTCCAGGTGTGTGTGAAGGAAGGAGACTACTCACATGTGGAAAGGCCATTCTTTCCTCCTCCCCTGCCGACTTACCTGCCTTTCCAGCTCATCCATCTCATCACAAAACCCTCACTCTTATTGACGGCACTCACTGCCTCCCTATCTTGAGCTCTTCAATGTGGAAGGGACCATAAAGGTCGCCTCAACTCGGGCTTTGCGCACTGGTACATGTGCACTCACCTCACCTGGGAAGTTTGTTAGCACACTGGCTCTGATTCAGCAGGTCTGGGGCAGGTCCTGAGACTCTGTATTTCTAATGGGTTCCCAGGTGATGCCGATGCTGCTGGTTCCCAGACACACTGAAGAACCAAGAGGCAGGCCAGGGCTTCTCAATGTTGGCATTCCTGGCATTGGAGCCTGAGTCTTTCTTGGTGGGGTAGTCCTGTACATTATAGGACATTTAACAGCATCCCTGGCCTTTCCCCACTAGATGCCCCCACGCCCAGTTATAACAACCAAAAATATCTCCAGACATGGCCAAATATCACCTGGATGCATAAAATCACCCTGGTTCTCAAGCATGGTTTCACAATATTACCTGGGGACTTCTAGAAATACTGATGCCTGGCTCCCACCCTCAGAGATCCTAATTTAGTTGGTCGAGATGAGGCCTGGGCATCAGAAGTTTTTAAACCTCTCCAGGTAAGTCTAACTTGCAGGTGGGGCTGAGAACCAATGATCTAGTCCATTTTTTTCGACTATCCCAACCCATGGGGCCCAAGCGGCGTCCTTGCCCTAGACGCTAAAGAACGTAGGGACTAAGAAGGTAATCCAGTTCCTTTAGGACTGGTGCACAAATGCCTGCTAAGTACTCTGTCATCCAGGGAACAGCCATCCTCTCAGTTCAAAGAGAGAGTCAGAACAAACTCAAACACAGACTATGAACAGCAGAGCAAGGATTTGAACTTGGATTTCCCCAAATCCAACACCACCTAAGAAATTCAACCTCCCGGGGCTGACACGGGAACTTAGGGACATTCTACAGACTCATCCCTGAAATCAGCCTTGCTGAGGCCTAATGCGTAACTGTCAATCCTTGCCACTGGCAGTCACTTAGCCACCCCAGTGCTACTGTTCCAGAAGCTGGGCTTGCAATCCCCATGGTGGTCCCAGAGTGACTGGGTCAAGTCCCTATGGATTCTGAGGCCACAGCAGATGGTAAAGTCAGCTCACTTGCCCACGCCCTGGCCTCACCCACCTTCCGATAGACAGCACCAATGACGGCCGTCTTGATCCTCATGCCGCTGACGAAGCAGATGTGGAAGTACTGGTGCAGCACAAGGGTCTGCAGGCAGGCGCACACAAACAGGAGCACCGTGTAGAAGTAGCCCTGCCAGTCTGGGGCCTTCTTGTCATTCACAAAGCTGATGAGCAATCTAAAAAGGAGCAAGGACAGAGCCCAGAATGACGTCACACCATGCCATGCACATGGAGGGAAAAGCCTTTCGGTTTCAGCATTTTTGACTGTCTCCCAAGCCGCGTGAGGTGAACACTAGTACTTCAAGTTTATAGATGGTGACCTGAGTGTGCAGGCTGCCCATACCAGTCTCACATGACAGGGGGCCTTAGGCTTCTCACCACCCGTTCCATCTCACCACCTGTGAGTCACCCAAAGGTGACCAAATAGAGACCATAAGGGAACAGAGCAGGAAGGGTTAGAGAACAAATGTGTGGCCCAAAGAGTCACACAGAGAGAGGAAACAAAGAGACAGTGAGAGAGAGTAACGGAGGGAGGAAGGGAGATAGACAGAGAAGTGGGGACCTCCTTTCTGACTTTCTGGTTGAGGCTGCAGTTTTCATGTGATCTGGCATGCTCTTCACTTCCTAAGACAATCCTCTATCTTCCCCCTTTTGGCTTCAAGGGGGCATAGTAGGTTTCTGTTACTTGCACTAAATGTGGCCTTAATTAAGATGCTAATAAAGCAAAGCACTAAGCACAGCAGGCAGAGGAAGAGACTGGCTATAAGCCCCCTGGGGCATGCCGCATGACCCCAAGGGAGAGTTAGGAGCATCACAAGAGAAAGGTCAAGGATGTGAAGAGTTGCCCAGCTGGGAGGGAAGAGATCTTACTTCAAGAGCTCCGGGCCGGCAAACATCATAAGGTCGTGCAGGGCCTTGAATAGGAAGCTCATGAGAAAGTAGGGCCCAAAGGTCTTGTAGAGCACCTTGAACAGGGACGGCTCCCGCTCCTTCTGGGGGGACTTGACAATCAGAGCCTCAGCCTCCTCATTCACATCCACCTTGGAGCTCCCTTTGGGCTTGGCGGGGTCGTTGGAGGAGTACACGATCTTCACCGGCTGCCTGGAACATAAAGAAGGTGGGCCCTATGGGGTCTGCCTGAGACTGAGGCCCCCGACTGCAGGAGAGGGCCAGAGAACCTGCATTGCACGGAGGCCTGGCCGAGGTAAAACAGTCATCACAGAGGCAGCTTAACGTGGTGGTTATGAGCATGGACTCAGGATCCTGGCTTGGCCATTGGCCAGTGGTATGACTTCAGGAAAATTCCGTAACCTCTCTAGGCCTTAGTTTCCTTGTCTGTAAAATGGGGATAAGAGTAGGACCAACCTCAAAGGGCTGTTGTAGAAATTAAATGAGTTAAAATACGTGAAGGGCACAGGAAGGTGCCCATTCCAAGCAGATTCAATGCAGCCACTATCAGAATCCCAGTCGGCTTCTTCATAGAAATTGACAAGCTAATCTAAAATTTATATGGAAACTCAAAGGACCTAGAATAGCCAAAATTGTCTGGAAGAAAAACAAAGTCAGAGGATTCACACTTCCCGATTTCAAAACCTACTATTAAACAACCGTATTTAAGGCAGGCATAAGGAGATAGGCATACATGGATCAATGGAATAGAATTAAGAATCCAGAAATAAACCCAAATGATTTTTGACAAGGGTGTCAACACCATTCAAAGAGAAAAGAATAGTCTTTTCAATAAATATTGCTAGAAAACTACGTAATACAAAAATGAAGCTGAATGCTTACTTCACATCATATACAAAAGTTACCTTGAAATGTATCAGAGACCTAGATGTAGAGCTAACACTATAGAATTCTTGGAAGGTAGCATAGGAGTAAATCTTTATGACCTTGGAATTTGGCAATGGACTCTTAGATACAACACCAAAAGCATGGGCAACAAAAGAAAAAAATAGATAAATTGGACTTCATCAAAATCAAAAACAATGATGCTTCAAACGGCACTATCAAGAAACTGAATCCTCACACAGTCTTTGAGAAGTGGGGGGCGGGGTGGGGGGAAGAAAATGAAAGACAACACACAGAATGGAAGAAAATATTTTCAAATCAAAAGTCTGGCCCTGGCTGGTGTGGCTCAGTGGACTGGGTGCCAGCCTGCAAACTAAAAGGTCCCCAGTTCAATTCCCAGTCAGGGTACATGTCTGGATTTCGGGCCAGGTGCCCCGCTGGGGGCATGCAAGAGGGAACCACACACTGATGTTTCTCTTCCTCTCTTTTTCCCTCCCTTCCCCTCTGTCTAAACATAAAATAAATAAAATCTTTATTAAAAAATCTGATAAAGGACTTATAACCAAAGCCCATAACAAATTCTTCCAATTCATTAAGAAAAAGACAACCCAATTTGAAAAGGAGCAAAGAGTATATGCAAATTGCCTGTGAGCATATGAAATGTTACTTACTTAACATCATTAGTCATCAGAGCAATGGAAACCAAAACTACTGTGAGATATTGCTTCACACCTAGGTTGGCTATCATCAGAAAATCAGATAATAACAAGTGTTTGCAAGGAGTAGAGAAATCAAAACCCTGCATGCCCCTGTGGAGTCCCCTCTTTCAAAATAGGATATTGCAGAAATGATAGACCATCTCTTCCAAGATTAGGTTTAGAACACACTGTGGCTTTCGCCTTGTCATCTCTTATAGCATTCGCTCTGGACACTCAGAGGGCCCTCTGGAAAACCCCTACAGTGAGACCTGGCCAGCGGCCAGCACTAACTTGCCAACCACGTGTAACCTGGCAGCAGATCCCGCAGCCCTTGTTGAGCTGTCAGAGGCCTGCAGCCCTGGCCACCATACTGACTGCTATCTCATGAGAAGCCCGGAGCGAGACCACCCAGCTAGGCCACTCCCAGATCCCTGACCCAGAGAGTAAATGTGCACTGTTATTTTATGCTGCTAGGTTTCGGGGTTCACTTGCTGTGCAGTAACATACACATCCCCAGTTCCCATCTACCAAAACGCAGTTAAAGCAACATTCTCAAATGGCAAAACATGGACTCTAAGCTTCATCCCCACCCAGCTCTAATGTTTACAACTTACCGAATTCTTACACAGCACAAGTTCACTGAATAAGCATTCGATTTCAGGGGACTCTTCCTCGTCACATCGATGACACATCTGCCCATCCGGACCACGTGAAACTCTCCCCTGGAAACCAGAGCCTTCCAACCTGCCCTGGCTCCGCCCCCACTCCAAACCGTGGACACTAGTCTAGGCTCTGTCAAGTCCTTCTCCTTCTCCTCTGTGCCCCCTGCCCCAGGAAAGGCCCAGAAACATGGGGGCCATCCTCGACCCCCACCTTCAGGACCTCAGGTCCAATCAGGCGTGGGTCCTGTCCATTCCACTTGCAAGATGTGTGTGGTCATCTGTTCACCCTTTGCAGCTCCACAGCCTCCAACCCATGCAAGTGACCACTGCCAGGACCTCCTCACCACTCCCCACTTCCTCCCCTTACAACTATTTCCCTGTACAGCAGCCAGAGGGATTATCCTAAAAACTCATCATCCTCCTCCAACTCCACTGGTGGCCTCCCACCACACGCCCGGTATAATCTGAACTCTGTGTGAAGCTGTACAATGTCCTGTAGCCACTGTAACAAATGACTACTAACTAAGCGACTTAAAATAACACAAGTGTATCACCTTGTACTTCTGAAGGTCAGAAATCTAAAGTGGGCCTGCAGGGTTGTATTCCTTCTGGAAGCTCTCGGGGAGAATTGGTTTCCCTGCCTCTCTAGCTCCTAGAAGTCACCTCCATTCCTAGGGTCAAAGCCCCTTCCTTGACCTCCAAAACCAGCAGCTCGGCATCTTCTCTCCCTCTCTCTCTCTCTGATCTCCTCTCTGCCCATCTTATAAGGACATTGTGATTATTTGGCCCATGCAATGCACAGCAGTCTCCCCATTTCAAAATCCTTCACTTAATCACACTGCCAGGTCCCTCTGCTGTATAAGGTAACATATGCAAAGGTTCTGGGTATCAGGATGCGGACATCTTTGGGGAAGGGGGGCATCATTCCACAGACCACAGAGGATTATGTTTTCCAACTTGTCCACGTGACCACATAAGGTCTCTTCCTGCCCACTTTACTGACTTTCCCTGAAGCTAGGTTTCTGGCTAGGGTTTTGGTGTTTCTTCCAGCACACATGCCTTCTTGGCAAGGAGGAGAAGGCAGCAAGCTGAGAGGAAGGGAGTGGCTCAGCCTTCCCGGTGTCTGCTCTCTGCACTACTTCCCAAGCTGGACCCGGGCCCTGGGCCCACAAGGCCTGACAAACCCAGGGCTGTTTACCGTGGTCAGAGATGGGCTGCTGAAGGGCCAGGGAGGTTTCAAGCAGATCGGAAGGAGGATGGCTCAGGCCTGGGTGGAAGAGGTCAAGAACAGTGGAAAGGATCAGCTAAGGCCTAGTGAGGGGAAAAAAACAAACAGTGGCAGGAGGCCTGTGGGGAAGGTGTTCCAGGACGGGAGAAGAAGCAAGCAGGGCATCTGAATGGTCAGGCTGGGAGGGGAATGGAAAGTTCAAGGGGGAGGGTCTGAGTTGGGAAAACTGCCCAGAACAGGGCAACAGAACCAGGTGAGGAAGCTGGAAACTGGGGGGAAAAGGGACTTGCTGACTTGACTGGATTCTGATGTGGGCAGAGGTGCCCATCGGTCACTCATCCATGAAGGAACTGGACACGTGCTTTGGGCCAATCGCTGGGGAGAGCCCCACCACTGAGGAGCCTTGTGAGAGAAATGGATCATCTTCACAGGCCTGTGTGAGCCAAGAGCTTCAGGGTAAGGGAATGGGCCCAGCTGGGGGGGGTGCGGGGGGGGTGTGGTCCAGGCATGGGGAACAGGATGAGCAAAGCCTGAAGTGAAGGATTTTGAGAAGAGGTGAAGAGAGCAGGTTGGAAGGGCCTGGGACCAACCCAACAGCAGTGAGGAGCTACTGATGGCTTTGCCCGTCATTTGTTACATAAGATCTTTCATCTTCTAGCTAGGGTAAAATCTCAAACTTAAAAAATCTCAACTTCATTAAAATGCCACATTTCCAGACATACCCTGAGCATGGTCTTTGACCCGTAATACCCAATATGATGGAGAAGGGTGGATCTGGTCTACAATCATGGAGAAAGGATTTTACAAACTTAAAGCACATTTCCACTCTTCTTAGAACTCACAATATACAGGAAAATGGTTTTGGAAATCACAGATGAGGGTGATCCTCCCTCCCCAACGCCACCCCCCAAAGCCCCTCCTTGGAAAACATAGGCCTGGAAGGATTTTAAGTCACTTACAAAGGCAAGTAACTCAAGATATTCTTCCTTTTAGTGTTTTTTGTTTTGTTTTTTGAGTGCTTTTTCCTTCCTCAAAAACGCAGGTTTCTCAAGAGGGCTTGTTTTGTCAGCTCACATTCTGTTTGTAGTGACCAGGGCACAGGCAGGACCTTCTGTGAGGCACAGAACATGCCCAGCGGAGGAAGACCCAGCAGGCACCCATGGAGGCGAAAGGCCTGCCTCAATGACCTAAGTCTAGAATCCAATGCCAGCTCTGACAGAAATCCACGCACAGTGTGTATTTTCTGTTTTGCAAGTTTAAATATGCCTCAAAACTTTTTTTCAGGAATGCAATTAAGACAAGATAGTGAGAAGCTGGGAAATTTCCTTGGCAAGTGGAACAGGGAAACTGAGACAGCTGAGCACAATGGCAGAGCAATTTACAGCCGGGTACAGAAGGTCACCTACCTGGAGTTAACAACTAGGACTCAGTTGTGTTTAGGTTCCAGGACCAGAACAGCAGCAAAACCAGGTGGGGAAGCCAGAACAACTGCAATGACTAAAGACCCCCTGTCCTGTCACTGACCCTGAAAGGGCGCACCTGGAGAACTCATGAATATTCTGCTGAAACCGGCCCCTGGGAGCTTCCCTAAGATTTCCACCTACAAGAGATAAACACCTCATGACCATGACAAAGGACCCAGCACACACCATTCCCTCCCCCACCCCCACCTCCTTCCCCACAGGCATGTGTCTCCCAAACTCTAAGGCAGTGGGCAAGATCATCCCAGGCTAACCCTTTAAACCTGTCCCCAAAGCCCTTTTCTCTGACTTCCCAGGTAGCTCAGGCAGCCCAGCCTAGGCTCTCCCATTGCCTCTTCTATGCTAAGCCCTTGTTTCTCCGTCCCCAGCTTTAATAAACAGTACCGTCCGAGTCACCAGGACTCGGGTTGTGAAATCTTTCCAACAAGAAGTCAAGAACCCACGCACTACAGCTGGCCCTACGCAGACCCACTCAGGGCCAGGCCCCTGTGCAGCAACACAATGACTGTGCAAATTAAGGAAAGACTGTATTTTGTTAGGAACTTTGCCAAGCGTTGGTATTCACTTGGTGAAAACCGGGTCTGTGAGAGCGATAGCAGGGGCCCTGGTCTCCAGAACCACACAGACCCAGGCAGTTCAGAGCTGAGCTGTCACAGACAATCTCCAGTGATTCCTTATTTATATTCTAGAGCACACCTATGCATTTATGTCCTGAAATACATGTCATTTAGTATAAATCTCTCACTTTTTAGTTTTCCTTTAAGGTCTAGAGAGAATATTCTGTTGATTTTATAAATTGGATATGTGGTGGGTTATTTCTGTTTATCTATTTCCTTAAAGTTGAGGGATAGAATGCAGAAATAAAATGCACTCACTATCATCAAGCAGCTAAACTGCTAAAATCAAGGTGGTTGAGGCTTGAAGAAACGATTCTATTCTTGTTTGAACTGTCCTATGAACTTAGTTGGTTGAACTTTCTGGTCCTATGTCAATACCCTGATATGCCACACATCAGACCTGCAGGAAACCCTGATGACCCCTTGAAGGACACAGGAAAGAGTCTTCATGTATCCAGACCTCCTGATGTCCAGCAGCCAGACCAGCAGTCATCAAGAGGAGTTCCATCTCCAACCAGGCCAGAGGCTGAGAATGTACCACTTACCAGTGAGAACTCTTACCAAGGGTCCTCCTGACTTTGTTTAAATTTAGTTTTAAACACAAGCACTAGAAATCATCTCTTTCTCTCCATACCCCTCAGTGTCCTGGCCTTTCCCTCAGATAATCAGCAACCCCTGAAGTAGCAGAAGACAGTGGCCCAGCCCTGACGAAAGGTCACAGGTCTGGACCCCTGGCAGGCTAAAGATAACATCTTGCTTGGCCTATGTAAGCTCCCCTAGCTACTTTCCCATGAGACCAGACAGACTCTGGGGCAGACTCAGAACTGTCCTCAAGACCTGAAGAAATGACTTAGTATCCTTATCTTACCTCCGACCAATCGGTTCCCAGAATGACTTCACACCCCCTTAACCCTTGATGCCTTATATTTAATCTGATTTTGCCTTATATAAAATCTGTGCCTACACACCACTGGGAGTCAGGTCTCAAGCATTAGTCTCCTGTCTCCAGCCTGGCCAATTCAATGTTGAACTATTTTTCCTTCCACACTGCAAAATCCTATTTGTGCATTTCTTTGGACCAGTGCATGCAGGCCAACAAACTCAAACACCAGGATCCTGGGACCATACTCTGGGTACTACCTAGCTGTGTTCCTGCTTAGCATGCCCTAAACCCCTTAAATAAACCTTTATCATTTATCTCTAGCCAAAGCCTCCAGCCCTTTTGAGTTTGTTCAACAAACTCCAGTAAAGGAGGCATTACAAAATCTTTGTCTCCAAGGGGACAGTGATTCTGAAAGGTTGAGAACCACTGCTTAACATGCGTATTTTGAAGACTTTTGTTTTGTTTCTGTTATTTGCTGTTCGTCTTCCTTTATGAAACATAGACAACAAAGTAAATGGTCACCTTTTCTTTAAACACTACTGCTTTTTAAATATACAGCTTTATTGGGGTATAACTGATATATGAAACCGCACATTTTTAAAGTGTACAATGTGATGAATTTTGACACATGTATACACCTGTGAGTCCACCAAGGAAATAAAGAAAATGAACACAACCCTCACCCCCAGAGGCGGCCCTATCCCTTTGTCATTTCCCCACCCACCTCTCTACCTCTCCCGCATTCCGGGCAACCACTGACCTGATTCCCGTTCCTACAGAACGGTTTCCATTTTCTAGAGCTGCATATAATGGAATCGCCTAGTATGTACTCTTGTCTGGCTTTGTTCACTCTGCATAATTATTTCAAGATTTTTCCATGTTGTCAAACGTACCAAGAGATAATTCCTTTGCATTGCTTAGAGCAGGGGTGTCAACCTCATTTTCACCAGGGGCCACATCAGCCTTGCAGTTTCCTTTGAAAGGCCGAATGTAGTTTTAGGACTGTATAAATGTAACTACTCCTTAACTGTTAAGCAAGAGCTCTGTACCGTTGACAGGTAGAAACAAGGTGCTGGGCCGGATAAAACAAGGTGGAGAGCCAGATTCAGCCCTCGGGCCTTGTGTTTGCCACCTGTGGCTTAGATGTGTTCCCACATATGGCTGCACCATGGTCTGTATGCTGTTCACTAACAGTTGTCTGGGTTGCTAAGCTATCACTGACAAAGCTGCTACACAAGTTTTTTATGAACACAGCTTCAGGTCTTTGGGGTATACACCTAGAAGTAGAATGGCAGGTGGTACAATAACTGTTTAAAACTTTTTTAAAAGATTATTTATTTATTTATTTTTAGAGAGAGGGGAAGAGAGGGAGAAAGAGTGAGAAGCGTTGATAGGCTGCCTCTTGCATGCCCCCAGCTGGGGACCTGGCCCGCAACCCTGGCATGTGACCTGACTGGGGATTGAACCGGTGACTTTTTGGTTTGCAGGCCAGCAGTCAATCCACTAAGCCACACCAGCCAGGGCCTATTTAACTTTTTAGAAAACTGTCGAACTCTTTTCCAGAGCCACTGAAGCTTATATAGTCATGCTAGCAGGAACCACAATCCGAAATGGCCTTAACCTACAGGAGGCCAAAACTCGAAGAGAAATTTCCACTCCATTTTGTTAAACTCAAAACCATGTGATAGAAACCAATGAAACACTGCATTTTAAAATCCAAAGGTGGGGACAAGGGGGTGAGGGATAGGTGGGGCAGAAGGCAGCTCAGACCTGACTTTTGAGAGGAGTCACTCAAGGCTAAAGAGAGAAGCTAGAGGGAATGGGTGTCAAGACCCCAGACTGAGAAGTCAAGCCAGACACCCCTGCCCAGGCCGCCACTGCCCATTCCCCAGCAGGTCGGGACCCCCAGCAGCCCAGAGCCGGCACAGGCTACCTTCATTCTCTAGCTAACTAAAGAGGCCACACCAAGAAATTCCAGCCTAGAACAGGACTCTCCTCTCACCACCCTTATGTCCACAGGGGCTGCAGGCACCAGATCTGACTTACACCTCCAGGAACAAAGTGACCCATATGCCAGTGTCCCGAGGCAGTGAACTCCCAAGCTGAGACCCCGTAAAGGCCAAGGTGTTCTGATGGAGCCAGCGCCCCTTGGGTGGCCCACACTCGAGCCCTGTGAGCCAGCTCACCATGTTCTCCCAGGCAAGATGGAAGTTCACAGATGAATAAAACACAACCAGTACATTACCTGCCCAGGTTTTCACATGACTTGTCTGAGGTTAGATAGCTTATAATACAACAATTATCTCCCCACATTCTTAGAAGGCCCTCTGAGTGGGACACAAAGGCTCCAGGGCATGAAGGCACTCAGGCAGCCTCTGAGGCCCTCCCTGGTCTCCCCCAGGATCCGCCTTCCCCAGGGCAGCCCCGCTGGCCGGCATAAAACAGATCTCACCAAATGCCACCTCTACCTTCCCACTGAACTTGGGGTCAGACCCTCACTCACTCCCACGGCCTGGCAGACCCCAGAAAATACTTCTACTCTATCTCCTCCCGGTGACGGGAAGGAGGTGACCCAGGGGCCCTAGAGGGTGTCTGGCTTTCCCCTGTGGCAAGAGGACTCACACTTACTTTCTGGATTTGGCACATTCCTTCTTCCAGTTCTTGACCAAAATGGGCACAACTTGTTCTGACATGTCCTCCTTGTTCAGGGACCACAGGTCAGTGTTCTCCAGGGGCTGGCGGTAGCCGCGGATCATCAACCTGGGGCAGAAACACAGGGGGGAGGCAATGAGAGTCGAGAGGAAGAGGACGATGGCCCTCACCGCACACGCCCGCCACCACCACTGCCACCGCCACCTCCATGCCACGGCAGCCCCACAGCCAAAGACGGCTGAGCAGCAGGGGCAACCCGAACATGGACAGACACTGGGCATATTGAACAGTTATTGCTAAACTCTGACAGGTCACCCAGGAAAATGGCCTCACTTCTTAGAAATATATACGGAATATTTAGAAGGGAAATATCAGGATGGCTCCAATGTACTTGAAAAAATCGTTAAGTCCAATATGGCAAAACATTAACAACTGTTAACTCTGGGTGGCCAATTTAGTGAGGTTTACAGGTTTGCACACTCATAGTTAATAGTAAAGCTGATATTTTAACTGGCTATTTTGAAATAATTTCAAATTTATAGAAAAGACATGAACTGTACAAAGAACGCCTATCTACCCTTCACACAGTTCACCACTATTAATGTTTTGCCACGTGTGCTGTATCGTTTTTTTCCGTCTCTACAAACACACACATGAGAACACATTTTTTCCTGAATCATTTCAGAGTAGCTTGCAGAGGCTATACACCTTCAACCTAAACATCAGTGTGCACCCACCTAAGAAAAAAAGACATGATCTTACATAACCAGAGTACAAAGATCAAAATCAGAAATATTAGCATGGGTGGCACAGCCCACAGTCAATATCTAAATTATACTAACTGTCCCAATGGTGTTCTTTAACAGTAATTTAAAAAATAATTAGTTATGAAAAATATTCAATTTAAGAAATGCTTGTAAAAACTTTATAAAGACAAGGAACAATGCTTAACAGAGGGAGAGGGGAGCATTCGAATAAGCCCAGCAAGATGCTGACAACGTGCGGGCGGTGGGGGCAGGAAGGACATACGAAAAGGAAAGGACGAGAAGGGAGATTATCGAAGTGTTGGCTGAGTTGCCTCTGGTGCTTCAGTCCTCGATTTATGCATGTTTCTCTCACCCACATTTCCCACAGCGCACGTGTAGTACGTTTCTAATGGTGAGGGGTTTGAAACAGTGCCAATAATAATAATTATCCCTAATGTAAAAAAATACCCCCAGCTCCCAAGTGAAGGCAAGAGCACTGTCATGAGCATCGTTCACAACGTTCTCCACAAGTATGCACCTTCTAACTGCCCCCAGCCAGCTGTCCGTGGAGGTTTATGTGTTTTATTCTTCATGCAGTTCGAAAGTTCATGAATGTGGCGACAGGGTCAGTATCTCTGAGACCCCTGTCCAGGGCAGGCGCACTCAGGACACAATGCTGCCACACACTCCCCCTCGCCCTCGACCCCAAAGCCCCCGCTCCCCAACCCTGCACCCGAGGCAGGAGGGCCAGGCTTACCCTGTGATCCACCAGAAGGTGATCCTGGAAAGGAAGGATGCGCCAGATTCTGGGCAAGGGTTCTGGTGGAGAGAAAACATGGGGTGGGGATGAAAAGGGCAATGAGTGATTCAACTTCTCATCTATGAGGACTCTGGCCAGGGAGCTGTCAGCAGACCAGTCTTCCTCCCAAAGGACCAGCGGCTACTCTCATGCCACTGATCTGCACCCTGAAAGGATCTCTCTCCTGAGACCCAGTGGCCTTAAACAAACACATGGCAGCTCCTCCACCTTCACCCAGCAAATATCTCTGAATGTCCACTGTGCGCAAAAATGGTACAGTGCCTTATCTTACATCCCCACAGCAGCCCAATGAGCATGGTGCTACCGCCGCTCCCACTTCGTTCCATGAGTTCTTTCATTCGCTCATTCACTCAACAAATATAGTCTGAGCATCTACTATGTGCTTGGCACCATGTATACAAATCTCAACAGACAGACACAACCCCTCCCTTTAGGAAGCCCAGGACATACCAGGGTGGTAGCAGTAACAACAACAGCACCTGCTAACATCTTCTACTAACCAGCTCTGTTCTGAGAGCTTTACCTAAATTATCTCATTTAATCTCCAGAACTACCCAACAAGGCACGTAAAAAAACATCAGCCTCATTTAATAATAAAAGAAACTGCGGAGCATGGGGTGAAATGCCTGGTCCATGGTCCCCAGCGAGATGTGGCAGAAACAGGGTGTGAGCTCCAGGCAGGGCCCAGAGAGAGACATTAAGAAATGATCTCGTGAACAAACACAAACCCACACCTGTGGTGGGGATCTCACCCTGAAGGGCTGTCAGTGGGGTCACGGGTATCTTCCTGGGCCCGCAGTAAGAGAGCTGATAGGGGGTGGGGACTGATCTAGTTGATAGAGGCCAGGGAAGGTGTTCCTGAGTGAGATGTTCCAGCTGAGGTCTAAAGAGTGAGCAGAGGACAAGGAAAGGGGAGAGGGGAGGCAGTCCCAGCAGTGAGAGCAGTTTGTGCAAAGGTCCAGTGGTATACAGGAGCATAACCTCCTCTAGGGACCAAGAAGGGGTCTGGGTAGTCTCCACCGCAGAGGCCACGTAAGGAATCCTGGTCTTCACCCTAAGGGCAATGGGAATCACGGACAGATTCTCGCGAGCTCCCAACGAACCCCTTTCCTAAGGCACAAAGATGAGCTCTAGCTGAATAACACACAGACGAGGATGGGGAAGCAGTGTGGAGCCTCAGGGCTGCACACGGAGTGGCCAGGCTCTCGGTGCAGACACGTTCAGGCCTAGGTTCTGAAACACCAGCTTCCCTGAAGGGGTCACCATGCAGCGATGAGCCCTTCAGCTGACGGCAACACTCAAGGTTCCAGCAGTTTTCAGAGATGCGGCATTGAGAGATGCCTCGACCCAAGCCGTTTTCCATCTGGGCTGGGAGCACTTTTAGAAAACAGCATATCTGCCCCCCACCAAAGAGTCTGATTAAGCTGGTTTGGGGTGGGACCGGGATGTCTGAGTCTTTGTTTTTAATCTCCAGAGTCTCCTTAGCAAAGTGACTGGGCAGGAAATGTATAAGACAAGCCTAGAACACCTTGTAACACCCAATACCAAGGAAACTAAAGCTGAGTAGGATTGCTAAAAGTTCTTGGAAGCCACCAGAAGTGGCTCCCACTAGCCCAAAAAGGGATAATCTGAGCTTCAATAAGGACAGTAAATAGAATGAACTGAAACACATCACCTATGTTTAAATACACAACCTCATACTGATACTGAAAAAAGAACCACCTCTTGGTGTTGGTGATGAAAAGATGCTGGTGAACCAAGCTGTTGTTTTGAAAACAGAAAATGGGTAGGAAACAAGTATTTTCCCATCTGTCCTAAATGACCTACACCAGCGGGGGACCAAAGAGATGAGAGGAAGTGTCTGCCTACAAATGGTCCAGCTAGTAAGTGAAGGGATGATATAACGTAAAGGAATGCACCACGCTGTGACCACCACGGAGTATTATTTGATGATATTAATCAATTATGATTAATGTTTTTAGGCCAGATAGTAGTTGTACTGTTTAAAATACTCATCTTTCAGACACTATCGTTGGGGCAAATTGAGTGAATGTACGCAGGAACTCTACTATTTTTGCAACTTTGTGAGTCAAGTTATTTCAAAATAAAAAGTTATGAAAAATTTAAAATTCCTCATCTTTCAGAGATGCACACTGAGATCTTTGCACATGCAATGCAGGGTGAAGAGTCCATGGCAGTTCATCATACTGCACTGTCCGCTTCTGTACACACGTGGAAGTTCCATCGTGATAAGTCTCCCCAGTGATTCAAACGCACACCCAGGACTGAGAACCAGCAGGCTCTGCTCTGGGGCCACACGGCCTGGCTGTCCTAGAGTCACCCTGGTGCCCAGGGTCCCAAACCAGACCAACCAGTTCAGTACCTCCGCGGTGGGGCCCTGCATCAGTATATTTTTAATAAAGTAAGTAGATGCAGCCAGCACAGACCTACACTCCAGAGCAACCTAAGGCAGAGTAACTTCAGACTGTGGAGCCAGACAGACTTGAGTTCAAATCCCAGGCCTGCCATTTTCTAGCTGAATGACGTTGGACAAGTCTTCACTTCACAGCCTGTTTTCCCATCTGGGAAATGGGAACAGTTAGTCCTACTGCTCAGTCTACCGTCCAGGACTGCAAACAGGAACAAGTAAAACGAGGTCCGTGGGACTGTGTTATAAGCTGGAGCTCTCCCAGCAGAAGGCAGCAGTATTATTCACAGAGGAGGTGGTGATATTCGCCGTGTAGGCTGTTCGTTTTTCCTCCGGAAGTGGGTGGGTTATCGGGAAATCACAAAGGCACTTCAAATGTAGCCCAATCCCTACCCTTTGTGAAAAGCTAAGCAGTGCTGAAAGAGAAGGGCGATGGGGTGGGGCAGAGCTGGCAATGACTCATTTATATCTTGAGCAAATATTTAGGGAGGACCTGCCTATATGCCAGGAGGCAACTGAGGGGTGGGGACAGAGCCAGGAATAAGAGAGCAAGGTCCCTGCCCCATATACAGTGTCCCATATGAGGGGGAGATGGACAGGAAGCAAACCAATATGCAAATAAATATATAACTATAAATGATGAGAGCTGGAATAAAGGAGAAAAAGACAGGATGCCAGAGAGAGAAGGGGTGGGGGAGCAGGGGCGGCTTATGTGTGAAGCAACACAGAGCTGGGTTAGACGAGTTTCAGTCCCAGCTCCGCCACTTACTAGCCATGGGATCCTGGACTCGTTACTTGGTGATGAGATCAAATGAGATAAAGCATATTACGTACTTAGAACAGTGCCTGGCACAGGGTAAAAACTCAAGAAATGGTATCAGTAGCATTAGAATAGACAGGAATAATAAGTGGAATGACAAGGCCTTCCACTGCTGGCAGGCCCACGACACATCGAGCACTGGATTGGACTCTCCGCCACTGAGCAACAAAGTTTAATTGGGACACAGTGACGCTCACTCATTAACAAATGTCTGTGACTGCTATGATCACAGAATTCAGTAGCTCTGACAGAGACCATATGGTCTGCAAATATTTACTAGCTGGCTCTCTACAAAAAATGTTGGCTGACCTCTGCTCACACCAGACCTCATATACACCCAAGAACACAATGGTTATTACAGGTGAAAGTAGAAGCCAGTCTTTCTTCTGTCGTGGCATCAGCATACCATTGTGCAACTTAAACCTTACACACAAAGGTAGCTTCCCCCGGCTGAGGGGGAAGTGAGGGCTGAAATGCACTGTGTGCCTAGCTCAATAAGGCAACCAGGTCCTATGCCAGGGAGGGGTCTTATCAGCTTAAAAGAAGCAGGGTCTATCTCAAATTCATCCACCCGGGGGTGGGAGGAGGTAAGTCATCTTTTTCTAATTTGCACGGGGGCTTGGTACAAATAGCAGGGATGTTAGGCATAATCTGAGGGGCCTCACAAATCCTGGCCTCCTTTCACAATCAGGCAAGTCCAGCCGCGGGTCAAGAATGAAGCAGCCTGTGGACTGTACAACTGAGGTCAGACTTGTTCCCTTGTACCCAACTGCACACAGATAAGACCATAAGAAATGATGCCCCAGAGGGAAAACACTAATCCTCCCTCCAGCCCATAAGAATCCCAACCCCTGTGAGAAAATTTGCCCTGCAAATTTGGTAAGGCTGGGTTATCACCATGAACATTCCAGTTTCTAATTTGTACACTCCAAGAGCTTTGCCAAATTCGTCTCCCCAGCCTTCCTCCCTCCAAGTGATCCAAACACAGATTTTCAGATTACTGGAAGTCTGTTCAGCTGACAGAGTCCCCATCACCAACACAGAGAAGGAAATACTGTATCAATTTGGGAGCCACTTTCGGGAAGTCCCTCTCTGACATGAACGGCCTCGTTCCATAACAGACAACTAGAGCACTTATGAAGCCAAGAATTGATAAAAAGAAGAAGAAAGGGCTAATGAACGGGTTCCAGAGAGCAGACCAGTCAACCGAAATCAAGCGAATGTTTGGTGTAGTGCTCTGCCTCTGCTTCCCACAGAGGCAGAGCTGCCAGCTGGGGGTTTCTGGCCTCTGAGACTGAAACGGACTAACTCCTGACCCAGGGCGGAGGCAGCTCATTAACTGGTCCCCCATTCATTTAGAAAAGAGAATAATTCACTCAAGCCCTGGCTTAAGGCAGAAGGAGAGAAAGCCTGATTTATGCAAACAGAGCTGTGTTCTTTGGCACCTTTACACGGCTCCCAGTGATCTGGCCAGAAACTGTGCATATTAAAGTAATTGGACATAAGAGCCCAGGCACTGGTTCTTTAACTACTCACTCATTCACCTCTCACATGTTGCCCTTTGAGGGCGTCTTCCAGGCCCCCACACCTTTTCTGGTTTTGATTCTGCTTTTAGTTTAATTGTCTGCCAGTGACTCCCACTCTGCACTTCCTAGATGTCCAGGAATAAGGGGTGAACAAAAAAGCAGTATAGCTTTGAGCAGGGGTTTTTGAATGTGGCCCCCATCACCAGCATCCACAGTGCCTAGGAA